ATAGATATATAAACAGCTGTGGCGAGCCATCATACACGTTGGGTCGAAAATTAACTAATATTTCGGGTTTATTCAAATATGCACTACTCACTAAGTACAATTTATTGTCCCATATTTCACTGTTTCTTCGTTCCTATAGAACGCAGTCCAATGTTGCAAACCAACACAAATATAATTTTTAATTCGAACCAGTAATTCCTGAGTTTAACGCGTTAGAACAAACGAACTCTTCAGCTTTATATATCAGTATAGATTTAACTAGCGTCGTAGTGAAATTTGTTGGAATTTTTATAAAGCGAATACGAACAAATAAACGGTAAAATAGTACTAAAATTCCCTTACAAACTTTTATCATATCTTTAAATTCAAACCTATCAGATGGCTAGTGAAATGAAGCGGTTAATCGTATTTTAGGGCGAAGTACTGGGGTTCCGTACTTTATATGTATATAATAATGTGTTTTTTATAGTAAAACCTCTGTTACAGTAAATATCTCATGAAAATGTGCAAGGTTTTCGAGATAAAAAATGTATGAATGCAGAGTCTGAAGCGTGAACTATATCAACGCCAAATTTTATTAAAATTGGTTCAGCCGTTTCGTCGGGAAAAGTAAAAAACATGTATTAAAACCTAAAATTATATCGTTCGTAAACGACTTAATACAAAATAGATGTTTGAGGCATAAAGGCCAGTCGGTCGGTCGGTCGTTCGATGTCGCGAAATGTATTAAGATCAAAATTTCATTTAAATAAAACACTTTAACGGTTTAAAATGCGACATATATTAGTTAAACTTATTTGAAAATAATTTTAATTACATGGTCACGGGGAGACCACAGCTGGACCAAAGCGTTCGAAACGTCAGGCCGTAGTCAAAATAATTTTCAAATAAGTTTAACTAATATATATCGCGTTTTAAAGCGTTCAAGTGTTTTATTTAAAATTCACATATTACACTGGTACATACATTGGTACTGGTTTCCGAGACGATAGATCTTAATAATCTTTCTACATCATATGGCTTGAAGGTAGATGTCATCAAATTGTTGCCGGATGTTTATATTGTGGCGCGGTTCAATATAAAAAACAGTTTTATCTTGCACAGTTACTTATGAGTCACTAGGGATATGCATTGCGTTATTTTCTGAAAAAAACGTGCTTTTTCGTGTTAAAATGCTGTTTCCTCGCTTCAGAGTACTGGAAAACATACAACTGTGTTAAATTTAAATTAATAATAAATTTAAAACTAACCACAATATTGTATTTCCATGATTAGAACTCTAGACCTCTGGCGCTATATAAAATACCACTGTGCAAACAAGTTTATACATGAAAACGTTAACATTTTCTACCTAATGGCATTATATAAATTAAAATCTATTTATATTGAAAAAAATTACGACAAAGGCGGGACTTGAACCGACATCCGATTTCATGTGCCAATTTGGTTAGACCAGCAACACGGAACGTGGATGCCGGTTCCAGCGGCTCCTGTGTCGTATTTTTTTCAACCTTATGTTTAGATTATTAGGTATATTGAGTGTCGTGATTAGAATCCCCACCAGGTCCAACATTTTTAATTAAGTTATAATTTTTCTGTAACATGTTGGACTCCTTCTGAACATCTGGATATTAAATGGATGGTAGGAATATCAAAATTCCGCCCAGATAACGAACCGCCGTCCACAGATGAAAAAGCCGTCGAGTTTAATCGCGTTTCGGTTTCAGTCTGTGGATTTCCGAATATCCAAAGCCAAAATAGGTCGACATCAAAATTTTACCTACCATCAAGTGAATCCTCTATCATAAAAAAATATAATAACCCAATTACTTTTTTTTTATAGAAACATTTGTGTCTGATAATACCAAAGGTGTGTGCTATTTGCCCAAGGAACCCTAAACCGAGAACTCTAACTTTATCATATCAGTATACGACGGCTGCAGGTGCCATTCCGTCTCGTTATATGTCAGAAGAAGAATTTCCGTATTTATGACTTTATGGCATGCATAATAACCACCTTCGATATAATTAATAGTATGCTAAACGGCCCTTAGTCGAAAGTTGGAACTTTCTAATATGGAACTGGAAACAACTTAAAAATATGTTGTTGGACTATAAAGAGTATAGTCGTGTAAAACTTATAATAATTATCATACAGTTGTATGGTAGGTGAAGTTATTTTATATTGAAAAGATGGTCGCTATTGGTCGTCCCGTTCAGGTATTTTTTAATAATTCTTAAATAAAGATCTCGTGTGCATACTTCAAAATTAAAATAAGTTGTTTAAATAAAACATTTTGAATGGGTTAAAACGCTAAATATATTACTTAACTACGGTTCGTCATTTCGTAAATAAATTAGCTAATATATTGCGTATTTGAAACCGTTAAAAGTGTTTTATGTAAAGATCTACTACTTAGTAATAATAAGAAAATTAAATTTGCGTAACTTTTTTTATAATCAAACAGTTTAAGAGTCACTATGCAAATACATTACCTAAGCTTCATAATTTTGGAAAATCCTAAGATTTAAATTAACAACAACAGTTAAAATTTCGTAAAATAAGACCAAAAAAAATGTTGACATTAGAGCATACGACTTGTATACTGAAAGAGGTAAATTTCAGATTCAGCATAATATCAACAGATGAAAACCCCATACAAACCATTCAACGTATAAATTATCACAATCAAAGCCTCATAGAAGCTTAAAAGATTCGTATGAAAGGCTTTTTAAGCTGCGATAAAGTAACGCAGGCATAAAACACTAGCTATAAGCGCTCTTTTAAAAAACATTTGTAGAACAATGTGTATAGTTTGCCTTTTGACCGCTGGCCCTATTCCTGGACAATGGGCTGCAAGTGACCTGTATAGATGAGCGATGTAAGGGCTAAATGAAAAAGCTTGTAAAGCGCAGCCGACAATGAAGCTAAAGCTTGTAGGAATAAGAGATTATAGCTTGCAATATCGTTAGTGTCGTTTACAGCTTGCAGGATGGGTTTACGTCTTTTCAATATGTGTGATTAAGGATAGAAGAAATATGTGTGGTGTTTAAACCGTTAAAAAGTAAATAAAATCGCTATTGTCTGTAGGTTTTGCGAGTAGTAAGTAGTAAATGTACTAAACTTATTCACAAATTATTTTAACTACAGCCCGACGTTTCGGGTACTTTGCAGCAGCCGTAATCACTGTCTGACCGTTAAAAGTTTTTTTACATTTTCGTTAAATCTTTTAATCCATTGCTACTGAATAAATATGTTTGCATCCGTTTAATTAAGTTTTATTTTTATGTGTATACGGGTCAAACAGATGCAATGTTTGTGAAATTTAATTTAATTTTAAGCTAATTAAAAGAAACGACGATGCCAATACTATAATTAAATTAAATAGATTGTGAGACATTATTTTTTCTTTTGACTCAGATTTAATTCACTGATATGGGCCTCACGTGTTAGATGATAGATTATTTTAACAGAAATTGTACTGCTTCTCTGACCCTTTTGATTCCGGGTCCGAACAATAGAAGTCCATTTATTCAGAAACAACGCCATCTTAAAAACACTTAAGTAATAGAGGTAAAATATTTTCAAGGAAATGGTTAAGTATAGTCTGTAGTTTATGCAAGTTTACACATTTAAATAAGACACTTTGAACGGTTGAAAACGAGAAATATAAATTATTTACAAATCATATTAACTACCCCACGACGACGTGAGTTAAAATAAACTGTGAATGAGTTAACGTTATAATGTTAAATTATTTCGCGTTTCAAACAGTTAGAACTGTTAGAACTGCAATCCCAATACTGATCGCATGGTTCTGGCATAGACCGAACTACATCATTTGGTTCGAGGACTATAATATTATGTCCTCGAGTAGAACCAAATGTTGTAGTTAGAAAAACTGAAAACTAATACAAATAACGACTAACAAACCTCTCAATTATCATTTAGCTCAAGTAATTATGATGCAAAGCTTTTTGTCAACTCAGTAAAACTACTATGAAAATTAGCAACACAGATGCTGTTTTCTATTCTGAACGCTTAATGTATGCTGATAGAGTTCAAATTCCTGTGTTGTGAATAATTTTGAAATGTCGCGACACCACGTCTACTCACCCACGCTTCCATTCAAATGTTATGCTCGTGTGCGTTACGTTAAACTAGAATCATTCGTATGAATATATTGTTTTAATTCGTGCTGTATATTCTATTATTATATATACACTCTGTGGAACTCTGTGTCTTTATGGCTATCGGTTCTTATTCTGGAAGAAAAATATTTGTCGGGTAGGTCGGGAAAAGTCACTTGTAAGTAATTTTAAATGAAACAATAATTAAAACAAATACTACCCAAACAAAATAATGTGTGTTTTTGACCATTTTCATTATGTGTGTAGACTTATCGTTGAGAGTAACGAAATATTTTCAGATAGACAATTTGTTTTTTTTTGTCTTGTTCTGCATTACAGATATCTGTCTTAAATCAATAATTGGATTTCGAGATCAGCGCATTCAAACAAACAAACTCTTCAGATTTGTAATTATAATATGGCTTTATTCAAACTAAATAATCAGGCTAAACAGATTCCCCAGCAATAAAGCCTTTAGTTGCCGCACGTAGGTAGCGTGTGGGCGACTGTAGACCTTATGGCCCAGGTCACAGCCGCTGTTGCCCCAACAAATTACTAACTCATTACACTCACCTTTCCACTCTAATGATCGCGCATTGTCAACTATTCGCCGCCCACCGAACCAGAACCGGCCACAACACTATTCATGACGTCACAGTGCACACAAACGTTCAGTCATCGACAACACTATTCCCAATCCAACGATCACAGATGAAACCGGATCTCGATTTTCGAATTTAAATTTCGAACGGCAACGTGTGCGACGAGCGTCGCGCGCGCAGCTCTGAACGCAGAAGCCTCGAACCGATCGCCTCCGCGATTATGCGTGGGCGCTTACCGGTAAAGTGAATTTGCGTAATACAACTTAGATGAACCGACGACCGTCAACAGCAGGGCTCCGCGGCGAAATGGCGAGCTTTCTTCATATGCTCAATAGAATTTTAAATGAGCATCGAATGCAGCACATAAAAAGCTATCGGCTAACAATATTATGTGAGCTGGTGCGTCGGAAAGCCAGTTGCGGAGTTCCTTGTATGGTGAAACGAGTTCGTCTGGAGTCCCACACGTTTCGACTTTTTGCTGATGCAAGCGCTAGGGCATCTTCGGCTCACGTAACTTGGAACTTCGACGTTCACACGTCCTTAAGGATCGAAGAAGCGGTTGGGGCTCATGTTATTCTGGACAGGGTATGGTAAGGAGGAGCATTGTACGTACAGGTCGTGTGCAAACCACGTCTTGACTTCGTACATTCGTAATGAAATCGTAGCACAGTTTCTAATTACATGGCTGGTGTACACTGAGATCGAATGAATTGGGATTGAGGATGTGCTATCTTATTTAACAGCTTGGATGTCTAAATAAACGCTTAATTTAAACTGCAAATCAAACGAGTAAAGCTTATAAAACTATTGTCCAACTGCGTTGTGTTTAAATATAACACTTTAACTGTTTAAAACGCGATATATATTAGTTAAAATTATTTGGACATTATTTTAACAACGGCCCGACGTTTCGGATGCTTTGCAGCAGCCGTGACCCGGCCGTTCTAAACTGTTAAAGTGTTTTATTCAAATGTGCACTACTCGCGTAAACTACAAACTGCTTTGTACTTTTCAAATGTTTATTACGGTTTTTTTCAACCATTTATCCAACCTTTTAGCAAATCTATTTGTAAAATAGATCTTTCTATCAGATTATACTATTCAAATGAAATCATTATTTTTATAAATCTTGATGAAATATCTTTTGTATCAATTATTATCTGTGGTATCCTACAGCCATATAACATCTGTCCAGATGTGCATCCGATATATATTGGCTATATTGGTATTGGGAATTTATAAATCCACGGGCTGCTACGGAAACACGATTGAAATTTTCCATTGGTGACAGTGGTTCGTAATCGACACTAAAGTCTATATTCCTACCACCCATTTAATTGTTGTTGTTTAAATGTTTCAGAAAAAATACATACTGTACAAAATACATACAAAACACTTTAACGGTTTAAAACGCGATATATTAGTTAAACTTATTTGAAAATGATTTTTAACTTCGGCCAGACGTTTCGGATGCTTTCCAGCAGCCGTGGTCACGGGGAGACTGACCACGTGGCCCGTGGCACGTGAATTTGTAGTCGAAAGTTTAAAATATTTATTTATGTAGGTACACTTAAGAATGTCAATTTAAAGTCGTTTTAAACCGTTAAAGTGTTTTATTTAAATGTGTACTACTCGCGGAAACTATGGACAGTATTTAAACACATACTGATTAAAAACATGATGGACCTGGCAGAGATCGAACCCACGACCCGTTAAGTATTAGATATACATTGCTACCATTGGATTAACGAGACCTTCAGACTAATAATGTAATTATAACCCTGTATTTTAAATATTATACGACTATACCGTACAGTCAGCAGCTAAAAACATTTCGATATCAAATTACTGACAGCTAACAAATATTACATTGAAATATTATATTACATGTAACAATAAACAGATATGTCGTTTATTCGTTCATTGTTAATAACAGAGACAGACTATCTTACCACCAATTTAATACCCAGTCGAATATGTTTCTAAAAAAATATTTTTAATATTTTAGACCCGGTGGGGATCGAATAGTCCTTACATTGGTACCATTCGAACAGAGTCCGGCAATAATTAATAAAACAACTCCACAAAAGTCACTAAGTTCATATAAATCACTTTAACCGTTTAATACGCGAAATTTATCAGTTTATTTGATTTACATAAATGCCCACATGTCCACGGCTGCTCAAAGCATCCGAAACGTCTGGCCGTAGTTACATAAAGTTGTAAATAAGTGTAATTAATATATTTCGCGTTTTAAACCGTTAAAATTGTGTACTATTGACTGGATTGTTTAATAATGATAAAGGAGCACAGACAAGCAAGCGATTCATTTGATGAAAGGTAAAATACTGCAGTCAAATAACATCTGAACAATCTTGTTAAAAACGAGGTCGACCTATTTTGGTTTTAGATATTCGGAAATCCACACACAGGCTTTTTCATCTTAGATTGCGGTTCGTGACCGGGGCGGAATTTCGATATCCTTACATTTGATCTCCAAAAACTTCAACACGTTTCAAACAAAATATAAATTAATTAAAAACATGTTTGACCTAGTCTATTGCTACCATTACACTAAATAGCCCGTCAAAACATATTGAAGAACCACTAAAGATATTTCTTATGACTTATGAATGTAACTTTTGCCCTTCGTTGCGGACCGTATGTGTGTTTACCCGTCAAATTAACAGTTACACGCGGACGCTACCTACTAAAGACTACTTAGAAATTAACTACTAAGAAATGCTAACAGTAACTGCATAATAATGATATCGTTAAGGATCTGTTTAGACATTTAGCTTATCGTTAATTAGTTGATTATTGATTTAGGCTTTGTTCGTGTTTACTCCTTTATTTTTTATTAGTTTGTAAGCAATTAACTAGGCAAATTTGTTGTTTTATTATTGTTTGTATAATAATAAAACCGCTTAATGTTGCTATATGTATTGTTTGTTGTTTACGCGAGTAGTACACATTCAAATAAAACACTTTTAACGGTTTAAAACGCGATAGTTAAACTTATTTGAAAATTTTGTATGAATTTTGGATGCTTTGCAGATGAAACGTCGGGTTAAAAATATTTTTTTAACAAGTTTAACTAATATATATCGCGTTTTAAACCGTTAGAGTGTTTTATTTAAATGTTTACTAATCTGTAGTTTCCTTTGTTAACTAATCGCGTTTTTAACCATGTTGATTTTAATATTTTGGGCTTAAATTAAGTTGTTTAAATAATTCAACCCTATTTTCAAGCTATAGTTTTTTTTATGAGTTCCACTAGAGTTCCAGACTATGACAAGCAACTATCAAAACGTATAATACAAATTGTTTCTGATCGTTCTAACGCAATATTTTTGCGCCTGTTGTAAAGCTTGTAGCAATAACGGCCTAAGACGTATTTAAGTAATTATTTTCAGGCACTTTAAACGTTAACAGTAATAATAAATGTCAGCAATCTACTTCCTAGATAGTTACTGACCAAAACTATTATTTCGAACCCTTAAGGGTCGCTTATAACGCCGCATCGGCAAAAAACTGATTAGCAATTTTGTTAAGCGATGTGATCACTACCTTTTTTTCTAGTTAATTTAGTGATGGTCTTAATCTTGCTGTCCTTCCGCGTCACCACAGATTAAGTCACCCTTTTCTATTTCCGGGTTCTTTTTACATCTACTCTGTGGGGTCATATCTAAAGCAAATTAAATTAAAATCTCGAGGTAAAAGAGCTTTTTATAATATTCTTATGTGTAGTGTACGTAAGAACTACGCATAATAAGATTAGAAAGCTTCGAAACGTCGGGTCGAAGATAAATATATATTAAATAATACATTTCATGTTATAAACCGTTAAAAATGTTACATGTAACTGTGTACTACTCGCGTAAACAACAAACGTTATGCTATATTATAATTTAAAAACGTAATATAAGTAATCGTATATGTAACATAAGAAGATCAGAGTAAATAAGAAAACTTAATTAACTTCCTCCGTGACCAGTCGTGGTCACGGGGAGACTGCTGCAAAGCATCCGAAACGTCAGGCCGTATTTAAAATAATTTTCAAATAAGTTTAACTAACATATATCGCGTTTTAAAGCGTTAAAGTGTTTTATTTAAACAATTTAATTCAATCCAACGGTTTGACAACGCCCTAAGTGATACTGATGTTCATGAATATTGTAACGAGTCTAATTGTTGCATTACACTGTGCATACTTGCAGTTGCTGAAGAACTAATTAGTTTGAAAGTTCCTTTGTACTATCGGCGAGGGAATTCGTCTTATTACAGACCGAAATATAACACTCTAGCCTCTACGTGTCTTAGTATATGAGCTCGCTTGACGTGCTGGTCCAGTGGCTGTTTCGAAATAATTATAAATATATTGGAGCCGATGGGAATCGAACCAACGAACGGTCGTCGTGACTATGGGTATTAGAACAACGAGCTGAAAATTTCTTATTTTGTTATATATTGGCAGGCTCGTTGGTATATATGGCTAATAATAATCAGCGGGTCGTGGATTCAATCCCCTTTAGGTGCAAACATTTTTCTCTGGATGTATGGATATAAAATGGGTAGCAGGAATATTGACATTCAGTCTGGGTTGCGAACCATCCACAGATGATTAAGCCATCAAGTTTAATCGTGTGTCGGGTTCAGTCTGGGAGTTTCCGAATGTCCAAAGCCAAAATAGGTCGACAGCAGATGTTATACGACTGGGTTATTTCACCTACCATCAAATGAACCAAATGCTTGTCTCTCCTTCTCTATCATAAAAAAAATGCGGTAAACCTAGAAGAGGATTTTCTTCTAAGAGATAAGAGTCCAGTGCCCAACACGATAAAACAAAACCTAATATAGAACGCAATGAATAAGACGATGGGTACATATCGCGTGATTCAACTATTTCGAGATAATTTTAAATATTGAGGCATTGACCAATGACCCTATACAAGTTTTGATATTCTAATCGTGTATATAGTTTACCTACCGAGTATCGAATTTCCTTTACTTCAAAGATTACTTATAGTTTTTTCTATTACCCATTTGAATAAAACACCATAACGGTTTAAAACGCGAAATATATTACTTTGACATTAGACACTATCCATCTTTATCCTCCCTGATAGCTGCAAAGCATCCGAAACGTCGAGCCGAAGTTGAAATTTTTTATAAATAATTTTAACTAAGTGATTTCACGTTTTTAATTTAGAGTGTTTATTAAAATTAAGTAATATCGTTAACCTAAGTTATATCAACGTAGTAATTTTAACCTTGCGAACAACAAAACTAAAAATGGCTCATGCAAATTCAACTTAGTATCCAAATGATAACGATTTTTACATGATTTAACCAATTCCCATACTGATCCCGACCTCAGACGAAATCCTGCGCTCCCGATTCAATAAAACCACGGGGTTAATTCTCGTAACAGCGACATAAAATCTACGTCGACTCCAATCACTAGTCTCATACAGGCTTGACATAACTCGTGACCTATGCCGTAAACGATATATCACTTAGTCGAGAATCGCCCCCAGGAGCTAATCGAACACAACATACAAATAGTATCACATTACGTACGCAATTCGATCATTACATCCGCCAGCGCCCTCTTCCATTCATCATAAGTCTTGTGTTAACAAATTCTAAACTCGATAATTAAGCGATAAACATATTTACTTTACCCCAGTGACCCTAGATAACCGCAGTTTTGTCATTTCAATGGTTGTTCAGCTCTGTGCGAAACGTGTCCGAAGAACCATGATTTGATCATGATGTACTTTTGTGTTTTTGTACTGTGCTTGTGGTTATCCGCTGTTGGAGGATCTGGGAGTGAGTAGCTTTTAAATCTAATTCGGCCAGTTCGTTTACTTTATACGTTTATTCCTTTCCTATCTTATGTGAGAACGAGGCACGTGTCTCCTATGTGATTTTGACGTCTAATATACATATAAACTTCTCGTGTCACATTGTTTGTTGGCAAACTTTTATAAACCAAGAACGACTTGACAGATTTTGATGATTTTTTTTATATCCAAGCGTTAGGTTAGCTTAGGTTTTTATTTATATTTGTTTGCCTTATAACTCACTTATCTTCAACATACGTTAGATACTTTTATTTAAATCTGGAAAACTTATATATATTTGACATGTCCGATAACAAAATATATTCCTTTTCAACAATACCTTTTTTATTGATTGAACATATAACGACGAAAAATGTATTTTAACGGACGCAGAAATATGTCTGAACGCACACGTAGCGTAATTCAACTTTCATGACAATATCAATAACAAGTGTAATTTGATGTTGTTAACTATTATGCAATGTTATGTTTTGAGAAAAAAACGTCGACGTTTTTTACTTAATATTTCGATTACATACTTTTCTGATATATATTTTAAACAGAAATACGTGGTATATTAGACTCCTGAAATATACAATTTTTGTCTTAGGAATCAAACTCGGAAATTTTATTTAAATACTAAGCATTGCGTTGACATACATATTATATATTATTATGAAGAAATTATATTTTACAAATTATATAATCACATAATGATTCAATAATGCCTTTTTCACCGACAACACGAAAGTTATAGAAAACTTTCAAAGTTCCACAATCAGTCAAAGTTGGGGACATTTTGTATTATGCAAAGTTTCTCGTGTGGTTAACTTGTCTTTGGCAGCGAACCGGCTAATGATAAGTGATATACCTACATATTATAATAATATGTACCTATGTAGGTTGTAGATATTCGATATTGATATTACTTTTAACTATTACAATGGGTTATAATAACAATGTAAATATTGTGACAATTTACCCTCTCCCTCCCCGCTCCTTCACTAAAGTAGGCAAATAATATACTAGCTGTGTCAGCGACTTCGTCCGCGTAGACTAGTAATTTTGGGTATCCATGTTTGTAGTTAAGTTGGTCATTAAAAGAGGAATCATTCTTCATTTAAAAAAAAAATGTTTTAACTCGAACCAGTAGTTTCTGAGGTTAGCGTTTAAATAAACAAACTCTTCAGGTTTATATAATAGAATAACTTATGGTTTGTTGTATTATTATTATTTTCTAGCTGACCCGGCAAACGTCGTTTTGCCATATAAATAAAATTGAAAATTGAGTATTGTATGTATTTTTGTATGTTGTATCATAAAAAAATATAAATTTAAAATTTTGACAAAAAAATAGATAAAAGAAATTAGGGGTGGACAACCCCTAACATTTAGGGGGATGAAAAATAGATGTTGGCCGATTCTCATAGATACCGGATAAGCACAAAAATTTCATCAAAATCGGTCAAGCCGTTTCGGAGGAGTATGGCAACGAAAACTGTGACATGAGAATTTTATATATTAGATTTAACAGTCGAGTAAGTTAACAGACGAGCTACAAGAATAATCTATTCCAAATTAATTGTTTCCCTACCCGTATCACTTTATTGAGACAATTACGTACTTTTAATTGAAATTTCTTGAAGAGTCACAATCTTATATAGCGGAAGCACAGATTATGTTTCTTCAATATTAATGTTATGTATAAATAAAGCCGAAGTTGGATTTAATTAGAAACTACGTACGATTAAATTAAGTTATTTGAGTGTTTAAAAAATATTTAGATATATGTATTTTTTTGCTTCTTGCCTCCCAAAAAGAAAAAAAGAAAAATACATACATATTAATGGGGCACAGACTGACAAAATATCTTAAGGAAATTAATCTATAACAGGTTATGTCACCCCATAGACTTTAAAATTTACAAAATTGACTGTAATGATATGGCAATATTACAATGATAATAGTACACTAAAAAAAAACAAGACAAAATCGTTTCTGTCTGTAGTTACACGCGAGTAGTACACATTTAAAGAAAACACTAACGGTGTCTCCGGTAACGGCTGCTTCAGAGCGTCCGAAAAGTCGGACCGTACTTAAAATAATTAACAAATAAATTTAACTAATATATATCACATTTTAAACCGTTAAAGTGTTTTATTTAAAACCGTTCCGTTCTTTTACCGTAGTCATTAAAAGTCTTCTAGGAGACCCAAACACGCAAGAGAAGTCGCTTACAGCATTACAGCGTAGTCAAAAAAGCCAACAGTATTTTATCGCTAATTTTATTATTCTTCCATCCCTCACAGAATGTAAAGAAGTTCGAATATAACGCCAGGCTTAATTAATGACTCTTTACATCCTGAGGCGTATTTTTAATTAATTTTTGCAAATTTCCAAGGGATTTCCTTCTACAAATATTATTATAAGCTTATAACTGGGCTTTTAATTATGCAATACGGAAAAACGGAAGAATCCATTAAATTTTCATATTACGATTGTTTATCATCGGTACACCCTATTCACTGCTGTGAATCCCTAGCTCTTATACGATAGGTCTTTTAGATTTAGACCCACCACGTTCCTGTGGCCTTACAAATTTAAAAAATCCAACTGACATTGAGACTGACTTGAGGTTTATAAACTAATCCACATGGTTGTATACTAACCTCTATTGGACTACACTAACCAGACGGTTACCGCCGACTACATACAGTTAATCTTGTAATGTTAAATTATCGTACCCAAGTTCGTATATGAGATTTTCATTTAAGATCGGCAAAATATAGGCGGCAAAACTCATCGAATCAATGACTCAAGAGGTGCTTATCCACTGTCGACCAGTCACCAGACGATGTCCCTACTTGACCCTAGCCTATAAAGATGATACATCGAAAATACCTAATAAATTAAATAATTGTTGTGCGCCCCTGGCGATTAATAAATGAGACAACTTATAACTTGTTATTAAATTTTGCCATGGTTATACAACCATAAAAACGGTTCTTGTGGGTTAATTTTAAAAGACAGACATACAATGTCGCGGACAGTTACACATATTTCTTGGGCAACTTGAACCGCATCAACGAAAACTCCTTAAGATGAATAATTTTCCCCTTTCTGCCACATTTTCCACTATTTCTTTGCTCGTTTGGTTTTACTTACTAGTAGTTCCTGCGATAAGCGCGTTCAACCAAAAAAAAATCAGCTTTATAATATTACTTCAGATTTTATCATTTCGTAACAAAATCTACTGAAATCTAGTTCTAAACGAATCTTTATTTCGTGAAGTGTTAGTAACTAGCACTGTGCAGCTAAATGGTTGCTTTTTTACGAGAAGATTATCGATTAGAGATTTAGCTATGATCATATTTAGATAGATCATAGATAGATCAAAGCTTATTAGTTTTTAACCGGCCCAAACGTCTCACTTGCCTGTACATAAAATTAACTAGTGCAACAGACACAAAATATGGATAGAATATGTCCCATGCCGAGGACGAAGGAGAAAAGAGCTTCACTGTGTACAAACATTAACAATGACCGAATGATTTATTTAACTCACGTCGCGTGTCCAAGCTTTTGTTTCAATTATCTCTGTACCATTATCAAATTGTTTGTGTTGTGTTTTCCCAGAATCGATTGTACATACTTAGAAAAACGTATTTAGTTGTTAAACAGCTGAAAGTTACATGATGCAATTCTTATTAAAGACAGCTTTGGTCGAATGGGTCGCTTTTAGTAATTCTAATATCTTCTGGGGTCAGTATTAACGTTTTGCAATCAAAGAAGAATTGCGTTCGAAGCCCCGGTAACTATTTGATGCACATATATAAACTCCTTTTCCATAAAGATTGAGATTCATAGAAAGATCAGGATATATAAATAAGTACAAATTGAGCCTTGTTTTGTACGCAACGTACCGTATATATTTTAATTAGGAGCTCTCATACATCAATACCTGGTAAAGTTCTTTTCAATAAATAAAAAAAAAGAATAATCTTTTTCAAGTTCTTTTCTTATCTTTTAACATAACATCGTTAAAAAAGTCGATCCATCTTGTATATGGCCATCCTCGTTTTCTTTTTACACGCTTTTCTTAAAAAACGCTAAATAAAAAAACTTAAGAAGACCATGTTCCCATATTTAATAATCGACAATAAAATTTGCATTGAAATAAACTTCAAATATTTTTAATGTCGCCAACAATATGCAAATTCGAAGCAGATCATGCAAAATATACGGAAAATACATGCAACATTTTATTCTGTGTTGCCAGTAGACGCGGTTATTATTCCGTGTCGTCGGTTTTCAATACTCAATCGTTCGTATTTACGCTCGCATGGGATTTACATCGTTTCCTAGTTACTGGTTATAGCAAAATTCTCGTCTTCTGTATTTTAATACATGTTTTCAAAGTATTATTAATAGCTAGGATTTATAAATTTCCTAAATTAACTAAAAGTTCTTTTTCGTAGCCTAGGTATATTTAACACTAGTCTAGGACTGTTAAAACGGATTCATTAAGTTCCAAAGAATCTTATATCTATCCCTAGTAATATATTTTTTACTATTTACGCATTCAAAACAGCAGTGGAAAGCCATATCTACGAATTAGGTTCTTGTATATAATGTTCTTGAAATTCTTCACCGATAAATAAGTTACAGCATAAAATATACTAGCAACTAATATATAAACCGATATTTTACTATCAATAGATATGTAGCGCGCTAAACATCCGCAACCGACCGAAATGTAAATGAAATTGAGACTATGTTTTTGTTACAGATTCATTGAAAGATCCGTACATTTGTGGATCACCGACATGCATTCGTAAGTTTTAATAATATTTTAACAAAATATCTACAATCACAACAATAAGTCATTTAATGAAATTTACCAACTTAATATACTTATTGACATAGTACGAGACTAACTTAATAAACAAATAAATTACTATTATCGATTATAGCAGTAAATCCTCTGATAATAGATTATATCTGTATTTTTATAGCAATTTCTCACATCTGTGGTCATAATCGCTTTCTTTTAGTCTGTCTTGTAGACTTAATCTGTGGTTGCTAGTAATATTTGTTTGTAAACAAGACTATGAAGTGCAACAATGATCAAATTTTAATCAGAACATTATTTTATTAGAGAATATGCTATTTCTATTACAGCTTCCGATAAATTCAAGTACCTAACGTCCATGACCTATCATTACGAATACAAAGTAAATGTGGAAACGTACTTTGCCGGTTCAAGCAATAATCGTTCTAGTTTGGATATAAAAACAAAGGTAAGATAAACTAAGGTCGCCAGAAGCAGAGTAGCCTAAGTGTAATTTTTATAACTTGAGTAATTTATATTTTTATAGTCTAAAAATGTTATTCTACAAGAGCACAGTGATTGAAAATTGTTAACACAATTTCTATATAATTAATAGTCACCAAATTAATTTATCATTTTTATTTTCCTTCTTATTGAAATTATGTTTTTTATTATTAGGCCACTCTGCCTTGAGCAGCCTCAATTCAGTTTGTATGTAATAGAAAGATTTAAATTTTAACTGATAAACTTAAAATATGACCTGATAAATGGAAGTTAGTTATACAATTATTGGTTTATAATTTTAGGCTGTTCTACAATTCATCAGACCTTGTGAAGGTGTGCTACAGTTAACAGAAGTGCAACTTGAAGATCAGAATGAAGAATATCCAGTTGAGAGAGCTGAAAAGTTTATTCAAGCTCTATCACAGTACGATCTTAGGTAATACCTGTATTTTATAATATCTCATCCTATATATGTCTAACATTATCTTTGATTAAAGAATATGAAATGTAAGCATTTATTAAAAACTCGTAACACTAAATTACAATAAATGTTTCTTACAATTATTATCCTACTATTCTACTATCTACAAAAAAAGTAGATAATAAAGAATGTCTATAAATCCATTACAAACTAATATTGTATCATTAAATTGGACTATTTATGTGATTATTTTGGGCTCGCTTGTCTTCCGACATAGGCCTCCTCCAAACTTCACATTATAGACATTTTGTTCTTTACAGTCCAGTTCAGTTGTTGCAGTTGCTAAGATGGGACATCTTATTTTTCTTTTAATCTGTTTTTGCCTACACGAGTGCCTAAACAAAGTAAAAGCATCTTAAATAAATCTAATCTCAAAAGATTTATAAGTCAAATTTTAAATTAACTTTTTTTGTTAGTTAACAAGACTATACATTATAACTTCAACAAACTAACTGTAACTTCAAATTATATAATTGTATTTTTACATCCACAGATTTTCTTTCCATGATGGAATTATATCAGAAATATGTCCAGAAGATGGTGAAGAAGATTGGGTCCTCAATTTTAAGAGAGGTGTACTTTCACTCTTTCAAAATAGTATGAAGAGGTTTGATATCAACTTTAAGGGAATTGAGGTAATAATAAAAGCTTATTTAATCAAACTAGACTAGCTTCTAGCACTAGCAGAGTTACGTAGTTGCAGTAATATTAAAAAAATATATAATAACTAGTAAAGTCTTGTTCCTTGTAGTATTTCACTTAATATTTAAATTCTATTTTAACAGTAATAAACTTTCATATAGATCCCTCAGTAAATAGTTATTTATTAATTAACAATTGTATTTGGTCTAAAATAAGATGACTACATAAGAAAAGGTTAATATCTTGTTTTCAGCAAGACACCCATGGCACATGTGATGTTGATTATAAGGTTCGAGGGCAAGAGAACACAAGCCTGATCTTGGTTAAAACCCGTGATCTGTCACAATGCAGAAACAGATATAAATATATGTCTATCTTGCAGACTGTGCGATATGACTTTCAAAGTGTAAGTAGTTTTAATGTTCACATGTTTAAAAAATGTGAGTTTTTAACAAGCCTGCCTTTATGATCATTATGAATATGATACAAGCAAATTAAAGGCTTTTTATAGGAAAAAATTAACAACATGCAGAACATAATATCTCCATTTACTTATTTACATATTACTTCATGTCATCTTTGTATTAAACTTTATTTTTATACTAATATTGATATACCATTGTAATTGGTTCCAGAAATTCCAAACATGGCCTGTACTTAAATCAGAAAGCAAATGCCGTATCAATGTAGACCATCATATTTACAAATCGGTAAACTGTAAGGAGAGACATCTCTTTGAACCATTCTCAGGCAAAAACTCAGGCGCAATGACAACAGTGATTCAAGATCTTGAACTAATCAAAGAAGTCAATAAAACAGACGAGTTAACAGTGGATAGTGATACTAAAGGCAAGCTTTGTGGAACATATACACATATACTGTCTATATTTTACGCTAGTAGTACACATTTAATAAAACACTTTAACGGTTTAAAACGCAATATATTCAAAAAAACTTATTCAAAATGATTTTTAACTTCGGCCCGACGTTTCGTATGATTTGCAGCAGCGTTTGACCTTTGACCACCGTTAGTGTTTTATTTAAATATACACATATAATACAGATAATATTCGATCTTTTATGAGTGGGATATTTTATCTTCTATCAAGTGAACTCCAAGCTTCTCTGTCCTGCTCTATAATAAAAAAACTCCAAAGTCTCGGTCATTTTTTAGTTTTTAAAGAAGTATTAGAATATTATGTGTTAATATCAATTATAATTATTTTAGCTTGGACAGTCATTCAGAAGAGGTCCAGTCTCCTTCATCACCATCACATGCCATATGGAAGGTCTGACAGTAGCGAAGTGAAATCGGCTAGAGATGTTCTGAAGTTGCTCTGCTTGTGAGTAGGCTTAATTGTGCTTCTACTTTATATTTTTATCTTCTATTAGAAAGAATAAGAACACAGTCTATTTATGGATTAATAAAAATGACAAAATAATCAACTATTACTTGTTAACTTAAATTTAATCAAGATAATTTATTTAAAATTTTGTTTTGTAGTGGCAAAAGAGCGGTAAAAGTCGAAAGCGATAGAGTTGCAAATAGAATCTTGCCTTTTTAACTCCTAAAACTAGTTGTATTGTGTATATGAGAGCCAATTAATACTTAATAATTATAATATATCATAAATGTCTCTAATTGGTTTAAGTAATTATTATAATTACTAAACGGCTATTTATATAAATTCAATCTCTTTAAGTTATTGTATTGGATATTTCCTATACATTGATACTTAATTCTAATGTTTTATATGTTTTTAATAATTATTATTATGTAAATGTTCAAATAAAATTAGATTTTTATTATTATACAATTTATTATAATAAATAACCAAAACTTAATACGATTGGCATCCAACTTAGTGGCGCCAACTAAAGCTGTTTTACTTTGTCCACAGAGTAAAACCGAATACAGACGACGAAATGTCTACGGTCGATGATAATATGGACAGCGGTTCTACAGTCGGCCTTTGGAGTCAACTTGTCCGATCGGCTCGGAAACTGCATCATACAACCCTCGCTTTGTTATTGAGCAGAGCGCCATCTATGTGCAGTGCCGCACAGTGAGTTTTATATATATATATAAAAAACAATCGAGTATCAAAGCTATGTTTCATCTTATTACAATAGCTATAAATTATTATGTATTATTCATATTTTATTATAAAGGAGCATGGGGTTCTCTTGATGGAAGTTTGAAATACCCCGCCCATATAGAGGCTATTTTTGCTTTGTATACTTGGAAGCCAACAGACTGAAAACCGAAACCTGATTAAACTTACGGCTTTTTCATCTGTGACTGTGACACGCATAAAATTTGGATATTCCAACCATCCAGATTTTTAAAGGAAGTCCAACATATTTCAGATAAACAATATATTAATTCATCACAAACGTGTTTGACCCGATGGGGACTGAATCTATGATCAGTTGATTATTAACCATACATTGCCACCATTATACCAATGAACCCATCAAAAGTATATATTCTACTGTAATTCTAACCGTGTACGATTACAGAAAGCACATACTAGATGCCCTGCCCTACATCGCTAGTACTGGTTCGGTGGAGTTGATCAAGGACAAGATAATAAAAGATGAAGTTAATAAAGAGACTAGACACGAATGGCTTATGTCAATGGCTATGATTCCAAGGTATTCAAATATATTATTTACAAAAAATTCCGCATATATTTACTCCTAGGAACCCAGAACTTTGAAAAGAGTTTTATTTAATATGCAAACAAACATACAAAAACAAATGATTCAGTTTGTATAGATAGTCTAAGTTATGTTCCAGTAAAAATTACTAATTTTATAACTCTATATTAAGCACTAAGCTTCCTTGGGTAGGTTAGATAGGTATATAAATTTATGATTTAAAATAACACAATTTTAACGGTTTGAAAAGCGAAATGCTTTAGTTAAACTTATTAGTAGTTAATTTAATTACGGTGAGACGTTTTGGATGATTTGAGGCAGACTTAGTCGCCGAGAGATCGAAGATTGAGTGTGTCCCAAATGTCAAAGTCAAAACATGCTACACTAGCGCCATCTGTTATTCGTAGTTTACAAATCCAATAGGACACAAGCTTAATTTCAAGTTAAAAACAAGATATAAAAGTTATTTGTTTTCAATTCTATGTTCGGTTGTGTATATAATGTTTACATGTAATAATATTAACTATTACAGGCCTAAAATAGAAATGCTACAGAGTATGCTGGAACTGTTGCGAGAGCAGAAGAACGATAAGGTTGTGAGTTTTACAGTATCGTCAATGGTGCATTCATATTGTAAACACAGTGGAAAGTCATGTAAGTATAAAAATTTAATTTACTCATAAGTCGGTCTATCGATCGGATCTAGGATCTCTTGTGCTTATGTAAAGTACAAGAGATTCTAGGTTCGAACTCCTAATTTTGAAGTCGTACAATCGTCTCCCAGTGCTCCCTCGAAAACACAGTAGCGGGCTGGTGGTGAGTTTAGTGGTTCAGATCGGCTATTGTCATCGAGGAGGTTGTAGGACTTATTACCACATCCGACGTTACTTTTGTCCAACGTGGGCGTGTATTAGGCATTCATACCATCAATGTGGTCAAAAATTCAAATGTGAACCCCGGAGAAATAGTAAATTGTTTCAGTAAGGTAGAGCATAGAAGTCTCTATCTTTACTTGTATGTAAAATCAATCAAAACGTACATAAAATTGTGTTCACCATAGAAAAACGAGGTTTCACAATATGGAACTCAATTATAATACAATATTTTGTGTGTGGGTTGTTTAGCCAGTTCTTGGTGGGTTTGGTCCTATGAGAATCGGACTTTGAATACTAAGTTTTGAGTCTATGGCGTATCTATAAATTTATCTCTATGTGTATAGTACGTGAATGCTGCAAGGAAGAAACGCCAAAGTTAATTTTGGAAGAGTTCGAAGGCATCGTCAAAGAACTGATAGCGAAAGCGATTCCCAGTCTCGAAAGAAAAGAAAGAGATAGCGTAAGTACCATCCAATTAATACGCGTAAATCGCTACTATATACAGCAACTATCTTTGTTTAGTTAAGTGCCATCTAGTGTAGAAATATAAGAACTAGCTGTAATTCCAAATGTTTATTAATGTGCTTTATTATATTTTGCATATATCATAAAATACGATAGCAACCGGTAATTGTTTGAGCTATTTGAAACGTTGGGGCGAAGTTTCAAATCGTTTTCAAATAAGTTTAACTAATATATCGCGTTTTAAACCGTTAAAGTATTACCATACTCATACTTTTGCAGCTCGTAATAGCGATTAAAGCGCTCGGAAACATAGGCGGATTCAACCAAGAATTCGCGGATACGCTGATGAGCATTATTGGGGACACTGCTGTCCCAGTGCCCGTAAGGTTGACAGCCATCGATGCTTTCAGAAGGACCCCGTGTACAGAGACGAGGTATCAAAGTTTTGCTATACAAATCGATCGAATTCTATCAATGATATTGATAATTTCAACTGTGTTTCTTTAGACTTCTTGGTCCATTAGAAGCTATAATATGTATAGTTGGCCGCGTGTTCGATTCCCACCAAAACCCAATACACAACCAATTTAAAACTTTTCTGAAACATGTCATCTAGATATTAAATAGTACCTAAGTACCGTCCGGGCAACGAGACCACATCCGTAGATGACAATCCACAAATCAATCCCTGATTTGAACAATTTTCTGTATACATTATAATCTACACACTAAACAATACCACGGTTGTTTAAGACAATAGTAGATAGCAAAATATTAAATTAAAATATCTTATCCAACAGTTTCAGTTTTACTGTTTTCAGTAATCAATACTGAAAATCAGTGCTACTGCAACCGACAGCACTGTTTGTATTTTCAATCGAATGATTTTGTTCCAGCGAATACTTCCTAGAGACTTACAGAGCAGATCTAGTGGACGTTGAAGTTCGCATCGCTTCATACTTACAAGTGATGCGTTGTCCAAACCTCAGCACAATTCGAAAGATTTTCCATGGACTGAGAAATGAGCCGGTCAACCAGGGTATATTTTCAATCAATATTAGTATAATATTATAATGCTGAAGAATGAATGAATGTTTGTTAGAACGCGCTAATCTCAAAAACTACTGGAAACATTTTTTGATGTTGGTTAGAGCATTTTTTAGGAAGTCATTAGTTTATAAAATCATTCTGCGACCTAGTAGCGAAGAAATATAATAATATAGTATTAATCTACTCGAATGTCGTTGGCACAGCTAATAGCTTATAACAAGAAATTAAATAACATTTAACGCCCGCCGAAGCCTCCGGCTAAAGCCTTTGCAGTTAAATAGTAAAACGTATAACATTGTGGGACGAACCAGGTCTTGGGTTCCTTGTTTTGGTCACCGAAGTCTGGTTATCTTCTTTCCTGTGAATATGATCTAAATGTATGTAAATCGTTATAAGTAACGCTTAAAGCTTAAATGCGTTTAGATTTCAATATTTGGACTCCCGAATAAGAAACGACAATATAGTTCGACAGCACATGTCGTTTAGATGTCAAATGGCTGAGATATTTCAACCATCATCCAGTAAACCTCATGCTTTTCTTCTATAACATAAAAACACACACACAAAAATATCTTTTTCCCACAAGGGAAATGGGATTTTACTTTTTGTCAATTTAAAACAACTTTACCCCGCCAACTCTTGAGTTACAAAAAGTGTTTTACAGTGGCAACATTTGTATGGAGTCACTTGAACAACCTCGGTCAATCTTCGCTCCCTTCTCGAGTGGAAATCCAGGGGTTGCTGTCGGGGCACGAGATGCCTCAATTAGAAGATATACCGGACTTCAGAATGTTCTCCCGGAACTACGAACAAAGTGTCTTCTTCGACCAGTATAACGCAGGTAAGTGAAAAGTCAATAGACGAAATGCTATATCAAACTTTTCTCGCTTGCTTTTTTTTGTCATCCTATGTTTGTTTAATTTCTTTTTTTTTGCAGGTGGCAATTACGAGGCCAATGTAATATTTTCGCCGGATTCTTACATACCGCGTTCCGTGTCTCTTAACTTGACTGTGGATATGTTCGGCGAATCGATCAATTTACTAGAGGTAATAATATTATTATCATAGATTTTTACGTACTTTTCTGGTTTGTAAGATATATTTTGAGATTAAACTTGGCAAAAACAGTGGCGTTTCTTGCCAGTTTCATTCGATTTACGCTCTCGAAATTGAAGAGTTTGGTCTGTAACTATATTAATGTTCAACACTGTCTATAGTTTACGCGAGTAGTACATATTGAAATAAACACTTTATGAAAATGATTTTTAACTTCGGCCCGACGTTTCGGATGCTATGATGCTCTGGTCAAAGTTAATATATTGCGTTTTAAACCGTTAAAGTGTTTTATTTAAATATATTGACGTTCTTAAGTATTACCTACATAAATAAATATTTTAAACTTTCGACTATAAATTCACACAAACGCGAGATGGCGCTTTTGTTTTTTTTAATATAACACTAAAGCACAAGGCTTTAATAAATATCATCGATCTACATGAGACCTTCTAAAATTAATAAAAAGAATCACTTATATTTACACTATGTTTTTTTTACAGATAAAGGCAAGAGGTGAAGGTTTCGAGAGATACATCGAAAGTGTTTTCGGTAAGAACGGGCCTCTCAACAAAAACAAAGTAGTCGATAACATCAGCAAGCTCAGGTTCTTCCGTTCTGCCAACGAGGCGGATGAACTGCGGGAGAAGATAGATGATATTGGATACAAAAATAACGCTTTGAAGCACCGCTATCCCATAGCTGAACTGGGATTCAAAGTCTTCGGAAACGAGATATCGTTTTGGAGTGCCGAGGGAGACGATGAGATCAGAAAGTCTTTGGAACGGATGAACCCAAAATTAAGGATTCTAGAAATACTTTCTGGAAAGGTATGAAACATGAAAAATAACTAGTTGATACACTTTACAACGACATCAGTTCCGATGTCAAAAGAAAAATATCTGGATGTCTATATTTCCCTATACTCCATCTATCGTAACGTTAACCATCCAATCAACTTTGTATAGTTTAACTCGCTTTTTAACGGTTTAAAACGCGAAATATATTAGACAAGTTATGCCTTGGAGCAGCTGTGGTCATAAAAGGGATCCGAAACGGCGGGTTGCAGTTAACCCATGTGTTTCACGTTTCAACTTGTAAGGTATATTTAAATATATACCTCTAGCGTTAACTAATATTAGTACTAATAATACTGTCATCTATTATTCGGAACAAATATATTCAACACTAGTTATTTTGTAAATATTTATTTCAGGAAATATCATATAACAAAGCCTCCTTGTTCTTGGACACGACGTTCTCTGTCGCTACTGGATGTGGATTGCCTCTAAACATGAACCTAATGGGCACCAGCTACGTCGACACGAAAATGTCTGGAACAGTCGTGGACAAATACACGCAATCGGGCAACTTGGACTTCGAAGGGAAAATACGACCCAGGTGAGGAGACACTGAAAATTATATATTCCTGATTTTAAACCGTTAGAAGAGTCCTCAATGTTGACTATACATTTTAACCTTATTTCTATTATAATACAAGACTTCGTCCTCCTCTATTTAAGCGTAGGGTTTACTTGACGGAAGGTGAAACACCCCAGCAATATAACATAACAAAACGATGCGCTGTGTTCTATTTTGGCTTTGAAGACTAGGAAATCCATAGACTGAAACCGAAGCGCAATTAAACTTCACGGATTATTCTACTGTGGACGGCGGTCCGTGACCCGGGCGGAATTTCGATATTCCTACCAGCCATTTACTGTCCAGATTTCCAGACGGTGTCCAGCATGTTTTCGAAAAACTATAAACGGATTAAAATCATTTTGACCACGTGGGGATCAACCCACGACCATTTGATTATTAGCTACCATTATAACGAATAGTCCATCAATAATCGGTTTTTCAACATTACAGTGTAGCTGTAAATATTGCGGCGACTATGAGTGTACCAGCTGGCTCCTTAGCTTTAAGCGGTATTCGCTTGTCCTCGCGACTGTACACGGCTACCGCAGTGGAAGCTAAACTTTCAATACGCAGCCTTGGATTGCTGAGGCTGGATCTATCTTTGCCCAGAGACAAGCAAGAGATATTTGCTGCAAAGTGAGTTATAGAATCTTGGAAATACTTAAACTTGTAAATGGTTCTTTAGACTACATCATGTTTTATGTCCTTCTACAAATAACATGTAATATGTTATGTTCAAAAATACTTAAGGTTTTCTATATTTTGAATAAAACAATTAAAATCACTGATCAATTACACTGAGACGGTTTAATAGAGCGTTGTCTCTTTTCCACATTATCCTATAAAGGACAAGGACACAAAATTGTCAGTGTGAAACAACTTGACAAAAACTATAGGCGCATTTATGGGAGTAAGAAGAATCTAGAATTAATGTACATAATACTTATTTTCTAGATCTGAATTGTTGATTCTCCATGGGGATAAAGAACTACAGCAACAAGGCCTGAATAAGAACAGAATAGAACAGAACACTTGTAGTTGGACGACCTTCGACAAGGCTATTGGTATCAAAGTCTGTGCTGCATATCAGGTGAGGTGTTTACCCAAGATTCCACTACACCATAGCCTATTTTCGTAGCTTATTATAAAAAATATACTAGGATTTCATAATAAAAAAAATAAAAAGTTGGTTCCATTTGTCCACTTCAAACTTATACTTTACTTATAACATATGTAACCTTTGAAAACATTAATATTTTTCACATGTTATTGCACATGAAGGCACTATATAACTTAAAAATCGAAAATAAATTGAAAAAATTTTCGACTCGGGCAGGACTTGAACCGGCATCGTCAGCTTTCCGGGCTGTTGCTCTACCAATTGAGCTACCGAGTCCTACTAGTAGGACTCGGCTCTACCAATCTGCCTTTTTTTTTGATAACTTTTTAGAATTAACACACTGACTAAAACTTTTTTATCTGTAGACTGTGGTTGTCCCTGACAGAATTTCGATATTCCTACCGCCCATTTAATATCTAGATTTCCAGACGTAATCTAACATGTTTCAGAAAAATTATAAATTGATTGTTAAATGTTGGACTAGCTACCAACCACTACACCAACGAGCCTACTTTCAGAAATTAAACTGAAAAGACCGGCTCATATTACCTCATATAGCCAGATTACTACTTTTAAAATTATGTACACTTAACTAAGTGTTATTATCTCTAGTTCCCGAATATGACAAATCTTCGCAACGCTCCCTACTTCATAATGAGTGGACCAGCCAAGTACATAGTTTCGCTAGAAAAGGCGGACCCATCGGCGAAAACTTACGCCTTACAGTACAAATGGGACAGGAACGACACTACCGACGTGTTGGAATTCTCCTATGACACGCCAAACAGTAAAGTAAGTACAACTATGATTACAAAATGATTTAGTGTATTAAGAAATGTTCATATTGTCACTATTGTATATTCATGGTTTTTTTGATGTCGATAATAATAAAGTAGAGAATACCCCAATTATAAGTAGCAGCACGGATCTTTAACGCTGAACGAATCCTGCGCAGAAGTCAAAAGTAAGATAGTGAGGGGACAGAAGCAGGCACGGGGTGAGTGAACGTCATGTTCGCTAACGTTTATTGGTCCCCCAGTCGTGTTGTCTTTCTCGGACCAATACGACGCTCCGCTTGCTTCTCAAGTACAGTCAGGTTTCGCAATCAATTACGTGCGCGATTGTACAGATGCGCAACTATCCCCTCTACATTTCGTTCAACGCTAAGCATTCGTGCCGCGACCTATACCTATCCTTTCAAAAAAAACCAGATGTAAGAGTGAAAAAATGAATTTCATAACTTGCAGGAAAAACGTATGTTCAACGCGATCCTTAGTATATCGAATACTTCAAGCACAGCAGCAGTGACCTTCCAATCCTCGGAAAGCATCATGAAAGCTAAAGCGCTGTACAGAAACCAACCTTACGACAAGTCGGTGGAAGCGAGCTTGGATGTGGACGGACGGAAACAGTTCGATACTGTGATGTCCGTTAAGCGCCACGACATCAAGTACGGTTTTGTGTGGATCCCACATGCGTATTGGGTGGTGAACGATCAACGGGTCGCTGAATTGTCTGGTAAGATTGCAACATAAACACTATAAAAATACTTAGGTATTGGAGCAGTTCGGCCGTCGTAATTGGGAAACGGTTGTCGACGTTTTATCATCACGACATTTCGACATCGTGAGTTGTTACGTGTTCCTCGACTAAACTTAGAAAATTATTCTTTACTACTCTATTATTCCGTACACCTACTCACTAAATTAGTCCTTTTCTATTTCTTGTCTCCTGTACTTCAGGCTGCCTGGAAGAGATCGCTACTTAGCGATAAGGCCGCCTTTTATTTATAAGTTAATGCGTAAATTTTTTCCTTACTAATATGAATGTTCTGTGGTATGTATTATAATTCAGAAAGCTTCGGTCTAGCAGCGCACAGAAGTCTGTTCAGCTACTTGCCTGTAAATAAAACCGATCAGTGAAACGGACACAGATGTGTGTTCGCCCTATGCCCCACGAGAGGAAACGGGATTTCAACTCTCAACATTAATTAATTTTTCAACAGGAACCTTGAAAGTTAAATCAAAAGCCGGTGTGACTCAGTGGGATATTTCGGCCGATTTCCAAACTAAACAGTTGGCCAGTCGCCTCATAGGATATTACACCATAAATGGTCCCACGGAAGGCATGAAATTGCAACTCGACTACCAGTTCTATAAGAACCCGAAGCAAACGATAAAACTCGAGGGTCTATACAGCGAAAGAACATTGAACTATAGACACGATTTGTATGGGGACTTGGCTATGGAATTTACAGCTTATCCAGCTTACAATTTCTATGCTGTACTTAGGAATTTGGTGAGTGTAACACTAAACCTACTTTTGTTGGGGCACCTCTTCTTTCCTTTCTTTCTTTTCTTTTCTTGTATATAAACTATTTTTATCTTCAAATATGGGAGATAACAATTTTTCTTTTAAATTAGTTGGAATAAATGTTTTGATAACTTAGAAATTATATTGTTTTATTAAACGTTTTAAATGTCTTAAAATGTTGGAAACCCTACTTTCTAATCTGAAGTTTAAATTTACTTACTTAAATCATCTTTAATCACGTTTTTTTTTTCAGAAAACACAAAGCCACATAGATATAGGTTTTAATGTGAGCTCGTCTAAAGATATGAAACAAGATCCGTCGTTTACTTTCTTGTTTAAACGGATTGATAAGCTGAATGGTATAAAATTGAGCACACAGGTCAATTTACACAGACCGAGGCCGATATTCTTAAAGTTACAGTTCGAGCGGGTATGTTTTTTTTCTTACTTTCTGTATTTATATTTATTAAGCATCTGTACTTTTGTACTGCGTTCTGAATTCACTGAAAAATACGTCTATCAGGACAATAAAAATATAAATTTGAAATGCAATAATGTTTAAAAATATATTTGTTTATTGTTTAAGTGAGTACGAACGACGTCGTCTAAATACAATAGTTGTAGCTTATATCTGTGTTACAATTTGTTTTTCTTTTTCATTAAAACCATCGCCATTTCATTTTTATTTTAATGCATTACTAATAAACTATCTGGTGGAAATGGCACCTATGACTTGCTATTGAGGGAATAATTAAAAATATATGTAATGCCAAACTTAATCAAAATATGTTTAAATAATTATTCTTGCTTTATTTGAAGAATTCATCATCTCCTGAAGATGTTACCCACTCGTGATGGTCGTTCGAAACCATTTCTCAATATCACGGCCGAACAGGCCGAAAAACCTAGTAGTCATCACAGTGTAAATTGCAAAATTTCAGGTAGGACCGAAATACTCAGCTCTGGCTGTTTTGAACTTCAACCCGAAATCTAGGGAGATACTCGTCTCTGGGTTCCTATTTGCACCCCCCGGAACTCAATTATACGCTGATGCCGAATTAAACGTTACGTTGCCGACCCTACACCCTTGCATGCTTAAGGGAAAGTTGTTTGAAAAACGACCCAATGAATTTCAGGTATTTTTTACTTAGATTTGCATAAGAATTAAATTCGATCACATAGAAATCACAGTTTGGATCCTGTGGTATAAAAAATAGCGCATGCGTTGCCGATGTGGTGTACCCAAACACCTATACCCAACAGTTACATTTAATACTAAAAACTGCCCGATATTTATGTTTGCACTGAGTACGCAGTGCGTGTACGCGTACGTCTCAAATGTGCGTACACATTTTTGTTCTATTTTTTTCTTATGATTTATCACAATACTCTGTTCGTCAGGTGAACGCAAACGGAATTTGGTTCACGGGCGTAGATTTCAATTTAGACGCGGTATATCAAGACCAGTCCAAAACTAACATGGCTTCCCATCGGCTGAAAGTCCTCATCAACAGCAGTCATTTCAAGGACATCGCTGTCGATGCGAGGTTCACACAAGACAATCGACAGATTACTTTTATTGCTGAGGTAAAAATTGGTTTCACAAAACGCGGTACTAAAAAAACATTTAACATTACGTAATATTTCGGAAGTGATGTAAACACTAAATATACTCATGGCTTCTGTTCCCATCAGTCAGTAGATATTTTGATGGACTCGATGGTGTAATGGTAGCAATGTATAATAATCAATGGGTGTGGGTTCGAACCCCAACGGGTCCAACATATTTCTGATCGATTCATTTTTTTAAACGTCTGGAAATCTAGATATGAGTATTGGAATTCTGTCGGTCACGAACCGCAAATGAAAAAGATCAATCGGTTTCGATTAAGTCTGAATATTCGAAGCCAAAATGTCACAGCCATTTTGTTTTGATGTTTATATATTATCTACATTCTGCGTGAATCAAAGCTAGTTCTTAGGTACTGTTTCCACTATGGTCCTGAAATGTGAATTATCTTCAGTTTTCACCTACTTGTGACACCATTCATATCACAGAGGCAAAGAACCACAGCAATCAAACCATCATTGGATCGTGCAAGATGTCTTTTGTGTATTACTTAACATATTCTTCTTCTTTCTCTTCTTCTTCCTTATCTAGACTTATGAAATATTTTGTTTTCTTGATCTGGTATTTTCTTCTAGGGTGAATACAATGCAGACACATACAAAACACTGATAAGATACATCTTGCTGTCAGAACAAAACTTCACAGCATATGGAGAGATTGATATAAGTGGAAAAGCGTATAGTGTTAATCTGAATGCTGACTTGAATAACAATACTGATGTCAGCATGGACGTCCATTTTGATCAGTAAGTCACATTTCTAACACTATGTAAGACCCATTGACACGTTGGTCATCAAAGAAACCAGAAGTTAGATCAATCAGAAATCAAAAATAAATCCAGAATTAGATCTAATATTGAATTGATGTATTTTTTTCCGTTAACACTATTTTTTTCTTAAAACCGACATCGTTCTTTATCTTTCCTAACATTTATGAATTTTAGGAAAAAAATATTTTTATAAATATATTTTAAAGATATAGTATAGATTAAAAATAGAAAATAAATTTTTAAAAATTCAACTCGGGCTGGACTTAAACCGGCATCGTCAGGGTTCCGTGCTGTTGCTCTAACCAATTGAGCTACCGAGTCCCACACCTTATCGTCGACTTTTCATCTTTATTTATCTACCTATATTTTGTTTTGCAGATTACGAGACGTGCACATATCCTACCTTCGCATCTCCACGCCGACGCAAAAACGTCTCAGCGCTTCATTCAATTGGGATGCGAACCGAGACCCCTCACAGAAGATAAGTGTAGATGCAAAACTGGACCACAAGGGGCAATGGCATCATGCGGGACAGGCCACTTTGCATTATCCCGGACAAGTTGTCAATGGGGAGTTTGAGTTTTTGTTGAAAGGTGAGTCAATTTAATCTCATTTTTAACTCATATCAAAATCAATTAACTGTTCCTTCATGAAATAAAACATTTTTTAACAGTTTAAAATATGAAATAAATTAGTTAATTGGTTTTTGAATGACACTCAAAATTTCGGATGCTTTTCACCGTAGTCAAGAGGGACTAAAAATTAGGCGCCTGCTACACTAACGCCATCTGTTTTATCGTAACTTTCGAATATGTAGTGTTTTATCCCTTAAAAAATATTTTATCAAACAACACTTGAAAACTTTATACATGTTACACACAAAGCACTCCTAATTTAATCTACAAAAATCTAAGGGGGCACGACTTGAACCGGCATCGTCCGATGCCGGTTTTCGGTATTCCAATTCGAATTTGTAACATCGAGATCTTTTATTGGAATAATGTTTATTCCAGATTGGTACTGTGAATGGCTCGTGCGCGCTGGCTGGGCCAGTCCCACTTCTATTGTCTGGCGTGTGAAGGCGTATTCTGAGGCCCACGAGCACACAGTATACGCACTGCTCTCTAGTCTCCAAACACCGATGCCCGGATGGAAGGACACAAGCTTCAATGTCATGTCAGTAAACATTCATAGTACTTAAGTTAAAATCAATTTTAGATTTTAAAAATTACGACACGGGCGGGCCTTGAACCGGCATCCACAGCATTCCGTGCTATTGAGCCACAGTACCGTATTCATAAGACTTAAGATATAACCTACAATAGTGAAGTATATTTGTTGTATGTGAAATGTTTTATCAAATTCAGGTGGCGTTACCATGACAACCTGCAAGCGCTAAACGGCAGTATGAATTGGCAAGAAGATTACCTAGCGTTCAGTCTTCTAGCGGACTACTTATTTACAACCACAAAATTCTATGGGGAAATAAACGCACTTGTCAACTCGACTATACCTACGTTGCCGAAGGCAGCCGCGATAGCGAAACACACAGTTGTATGGAAGAAAAGTGTAGATACTTTGTTGAGTTTCCAGGTGGGTGTCTTGGTTATTTAAAAATTAGGGTCGCCTCCCATACTAGATTTTATTAAAGAAGTTACTAAATTATGGGACTATTTTCCTTAAAGGTTACTTTAGACCCAGATGGAATTTCAATATTCCCAAACAAACGAACAAACGACGTCCAACGAAACGATATCGCAGAATAATTGTAAATTTATTTAATAAACACGATGGACCCGGTGAAAATCAAACCTAAGACTCGTTCATTATTATTCGCCATACATTGCTCCTTGGACCGTGAAGTTAATCGCGTTTCGGTTTTTGTCTGTGGATTTCCGAATATCCAAAATCGAAATAGATCGAAAGCGCGTCTTGTTTAGATTTTATGGCTGGGTGAAAACCTACCATCAAGTGACCCCATGTTTGTCGGTCCTCCTTTATCATAAAAAATAGGGCAACGTATTTTTTTTCATATTATATATATTATTTTTTGATATCCTTGTAAATTTGCGTCTTGAAATGCATATAATTGTTAATTTATTGTATGAGGAGGCTTTTATATATTTACTTGTAATAACAAACTTTGCTTTTAGTATAACGAAGACGGTCATCTCATGATAAATTCCACTTGGGCGATTAATAAAGGAAAAAAGGAGAACAATATCACAGGCAAGGTTACAATATTGACGCCGTTCCCGGTGAGTTGTTGCTAGGCGATAAAATATTGCATTAATATTTATCTCTCTATGAATAAAATAAACTTTTTTGAATCATGATTTTGAGAAATACGCTACTATTATTTCAGGGTTATACGAAAGGATATTTGGATACAAAATTCATTTTGGGACACAAGCGAGACATCAAAGGAATTACGCTTATGGATTTAGAAGGAAAACTTGTCGAAGTTCATGTTAATGGTATGTTCAGTATATTTTTTTACAGATAGGCATTTTATTAGGATCAAATATCTTTGTAATGCATATCAAATCAAAAAATACATGTAGCTAGAAACGTCAAAACAGTTAAAAAATAGTAACTCTAAATTTACATTTACTACCAGTTCCCGTTTTAATGGCGTAGAACGAACGACAAGAACTGTCAAGAAACTCGCGGCCACTCACATAGGTGTCTAAACTTATAACACTAGTAGAATCATCATATTTCAAGAAACATTAACGGTTGAAAACGTGAAATATATACCTATAATGTATGTCGCGTTTAAAACGATGTATACCTGCGTAATGTCTGCTGTATGTCCGATGAACCATTTTTAGTTTATATATAAATAACGTTTTTTACTATACAATTTCCTTTCCTTCCAGGTCACATGCGCCGTTTAACGAACTGCATGCTTGTTGTTAATATCACTAGTCCATTACCCCAGTTTTTGCACACCACAGCACGAATTGGATTCATTGAGGCGGATAGACATCTAGTGGCAATGGTTGTAACTACTAATTCTACCACAGGTAATTAATATAACACTTTACAGGTAAAAAATGAAGTGCTATAGAACCCTATAGGTATTTTAAAATTCTGATGTTCGAGCTCGCAGTTGTAACGGTAGCAATATATGGCAAACCAACGCGTCAGGAGTTCAATGCCCACCGGGTTCAACATGTTTTTAATCAATTTATTATTTTTCTGAAATACGTTTGGCCTAGTCAGGAAATCTTGTTAAATTGGGATCCGTGGTACGGATGAAAAGCCGTCTAGTGTAATTGTGTTTCGATTTCAGGCCGTGGATTTCCGAATCTCTAAATCCAAAATAAATCAATTAAATACCATGCTTATCTTTATCATAAAAAAAATCAATTGCGCGTGCGCACCAGTAATTGTAATCATCGTCGGGCTAAAACCAAAGTTACTACTCATGCGTTCTAAATGTTTCAGGTATAGAAGTATTACTAAAACTAGTATCACTACAAGACTTCAACATCTTAGGGCATGTGGCCTTACCTATACAATATTTGAACAGAGCTCTCATAACGGCGAAAAGGGGTAAAGAAGAGGTACGTAACGTAAATAACATATTACGATAAAATCCCCAAGGTTAATAAAAATTATGGGGGTATAAAATAAAAAAAAAAAATTTTTTTTTATTTAAAAAAGTTTTTTTTTTTTTTTTTTTTTTTTAATTTTTTTTTTTTTTTTCGGGGGCGGGGGGGGGGGTTTTCGGGGGGGGGGGGGGGGGGGGGGGGTTCCCCCCCCTTTTTCGTATCGCGTTTTAAACCGTTAAAGTGTTTTATTTAAATCCCCAAGGTTAGTCGGTACGAGAGGTACCAGGTTCGATTACCGTTCCAACGATAAATCCTTTCAGTTGGATAGGGCACACTAGTATTATTAACTACTTGCCTGTAAACCTTCTTTAATAATATAAAGCTCACGAGATCCTTTGCAAAGGTAACTAACTATTCCAGACGCCAAAATGAACTAATCCAGACGGCCGAAGTTGCGCAGCTAGTTGTAAAAATCGATCAGTGAAACGGACATAGAAATGTTCGCTGAAATGGATATTTCTATGCTTATATAATACGCAAGCATGTGCTGTGTAGTTGTTACACACAATTTTGTTATCATTTGCAGGTAGACTTCAGAGTGGGTTGGGACACTATGGACTTTGGGTTTACAGGCATCTGGCAGTGGCAATCCCTCCTCGATTTCGTATACGTCTACAAACTATACACGCCACTTGATGGCTTCGAAGAGAATGGATTAGTTCTAAAGAATGTTTACAGAAATGGATTGGACACTGAACTGTCGATTCGGTTGTCAAAGCATAAGGTATGTTAAGACTATTTAATCCAATTCTTTAAGACGCCATTATACTAAGTTACATTCTTTGTGATAAATGAGATTCAGATGAGAATTTTTTTTAGAACACTGAAGATACAGAATTTTCTATTATACCTTTACCTTTTTCAATCTCGATCGTTCTTCTTCTTCCCGTCGATAACACGTATGAAACTTTCAGTTTGGTGTGGCCATCCTTCTAGTTGATAATGGAAAAGGATTGATAGAAGTGATTAATGACCGTATACAACAAAAACCTAGTGACCCGGATATGATAGTGGAAAACTTCGATACAGCAGCGACTGTCACTCTGGACACACTATACTTACCGACTATAAAATTCCACGGACATATTATGAAAGTGAGCTCTAGCAATTTCTTTTTTCTTATTTTAAAATTAAAATATTATAGTCCTTCGAGCCGGATGGCTGTAATTTTATGTTTTGTTTTTCTTTTACAGTTTGTTGGTCCAGATGAAGAAGATATAATAGAAGTAAATGCTACTTTAAATTTACCGGATAAGTCGCCTATCGTGCTCACTGACGTATTTATTCTTGAGGTATGTATTTCAGTACATAGCAACATAAGCTATATCAAAACACTTCCTATAATTTTGTATTTTCTCAGGAGTATACAGTGATGCGTAACACGCTCAATTTAGTGACACCATTCGAAATGGTAAAACAGCTGAAGTCCGTGTATACAGTGGACATTACTATCGGTGAAAAGTTCAACGTTACATGTGTCGCTCTTCTATATAATGGAACTTACTGGCATGAGGTAGGTGAAGCTAAAGTAAAGATTTGAAATGTTTAATATTTTTCACATGTTATTGCATGGCTTTATATAAACTAATCATCTATTTAGATTGTTAAACTCTGTAATTTTATCTTGATTTCTTCAGCTGCAAGCATAAGACATTGAATCTAAATACGTAAGTTTTGAGTTTCAAATTACATTGCGCAAGAGGTGCATGTATCAATAGATTGAAAAAGCTCAATTGGTTAGATACAGGCTGTAGGTCCCTCTCGTGTCGTACATTTTTTATTATTATTGACAATTTTTTTTTTCTTTTAGATATCATACAAAGTTTACTACGAATACGAAAACGGCGAAGATGATGCCTACAAATCTTATTTGGCTTCAGTTGGTATAGCAACACCGCTTGCAGTATTGCCAGCTTTAGAAGCACGCGTTTCAGCGAGATTGGAAGACGCGCTTTGGAAGATGTCAGCTGATATAGCTATGCCCTCGTTTACTGTTACTGCACTTGCTAGGCTAGAAGTAAGTATAGTTTAAAATGGCTGTCTAATTTAAATAAAACATTTTCAACGGTTTAAAACGCGAGATACGTGTACAAGTAACCATTTTTTTACTAACACCTGACGTTTGTACCCCATGACCACAACTGCTCTGAAAGCATCCAAATCGTCGGGTCATAATTAAAATAAATTAACTTTTATATTTCGGGTTCTAAACCTTTATTTCAACGGATAGATACTACTCACCTAATTTAACAATACCTTAAACAGTCTATCTTAATACAACACTTGTTAATATAAGCAATATATATAATGAGACCTATATGTAAGCCTTGTGCGACCGCTTATGCTTGTTTTAATTTCCTTATATTTTTTTTCAGTTAGACGATCCATTTGTGGAGACTTCAGGTAGCCTGAACCTGACATCAGTGTACCTGGAAGACTATTTCATCAAGATGGAATTTAAGAAAGACTTCTCTGATGTAGAGAACTTTGTAGGGGGTGGTATTCAGGTGCTGCAGGGTGAACATGATAATTATGTAAGCGCTTATATCATACAAACAAATTACGTGCATTGCAACATAGGCATTAGTTATAATTATATGCTAAGAGAGAAAGGACTAGACAATATAACTCCAGACTTTGAAATCAGAGAAACAAGACAACGAGACTAACGCAGCTCATAAACAACACAGTTCTTAGCTCTCTCTTTTTTTCCTTAAAATAATGAGTAATAATGAAATTACACTACAAATTTTTATATTCTGTTTAGCTACGGGAACAGTTTGTTAAGTTTAACATTGTTTAAAAATAAATTTATAAGTCATATCTTAAACCCTCTTCCATGCTAGGCTGCTAGAGGCAGTAGCCTAACTGCTATTTTATGACTTGAGTTATTTATGTTTTCATAGTTTAAAAACGTTATTCTACAAGAGAGATGGTGACCGAAAATTGTTAGCCTAATTTTAACAGAAATAATAGTTAAATTCATTTTCGCCTAAGTTAATTGCGTCTTGCCTCTAGGCTGCTAGATAAAAATAGGAATATAAAACATCCACCTAAGGCTGTTTTATATTTATATACAACAAATTTGTAAATAGAACAATACTATTTCTCGTTTTCCAGTGTATTGTGAAAATTCTTACGAGTCTAAACCATATTATTAAAATTACGTTCCTATTTTAAGATATTCGCTGACGTTGTATGGCGACCGCCTCCAAACGGTAACATCCGTTTTAAAGCACGCGGTGCACTAGCACCAGTACTCGCGCCAGCAGAAGTAACTCTACTGTACAGAGAAGAAGAGAAACAGAAATCGTTAACTGTGGATCTGAATAGCGAGGAAAATTACTACTCACTGAAGGCTGATACTTGGCCGACATCTATTAATATCGCTTTAAGCAGTCCTCATAAAGGATTTAGGTATGTATTTTTGTAGAAGTTTAATATGCAAACACAAAGGTTGTCGTATGTACACATGTGCTTTAAAATGTTTATAAATTGATTAGACAAATGTTGGACCCTGTGGGAATTCAATCGACGACCCGTTGATATCCATCTATAATACTTCTGTAATTAAATTGACTTTTAATTCGATATAAGTTTTTTATATTTTTGTTTATTTTTTAATAACAACTAACTAACCGAAATATAATTAGCGTTAATGAAATAATTTAAATTTAAGGGCGATAAAGATATTAAGCGAATTCGAAGATGACGACATTCGCGGTTCCTTCGTTACTGACACATCCGAGTATGGCGTCACTGGGAAAATACTTAACAAGCAACCACTGGAGGTAATACTTTTATTTTGACATTTTAGGCACTGTAATATTAATAGACTCTAAACTAACAGTATTTAAATCCAGGTTTGTTGAGTTTTATTTTTAATCTATATGTTGTAAACATTAATGAATCTACATAAAACACTTAACTTAAAAATATTTGTATGACGGTCTAAAACGCGAAATCTATTAAATCAAACCATTTAATCCACACACATAGTATTAGTTAAACTTATTTACAAATTATTTTAACTAAGGCCCGACGTTTCGGATGCTTTGCAGCAGCCGTGGTCTCCCCACAGCTAAAAAACGTAAAAAATTGGAAATAGTTTAAATAATACATTTCGCGTTTTTAACCGTTTAAATATTTTATTTAAAAGGCAGAATTATTTTAACCATGTTGGGGAGGGGCATAGTATATTATTTTAATTTAAACAATACTTCATTTTCTTCTTGGCATTCCCAGATTTTTTACTGGGCCTTATATATTTTTTGATATTTCAGATATCCTTGACACTGGTACCGAAGGGTCAAGGTCAACCAATCGCAATACGAGCTAAATATGACTCCAGTCCCACGCTGTACTCATTTTCCGCCCACGTGACTGGTCCCATTCAGTCCACTGTTCACGCTAAGGCTGAGTTGGAAGCTAACTTCACAGATATTTATTTTAAGGTATGAGAATATATCCTCTACTTAAACAGACCAATTATTTTGATAACTTTAATATTTTTCACATGCACATGATGGCACTATATAACTTAACGATCGATTATAAATTAAAATAAATAGCTTAATTGGTTAGAGCAGCAACACGAATCGCTGACGATGCTGGCTCAAGTCCTGTCCTAGTCGTAAGTCGTTGGACTTCGTTTATTAAATGGGTGGCAGGAATTTCGAAATTCGAATTCCATACAGGTGGTTTGACTAAGTGACTGAAATTAAAGTAGAACTACTCTTCTATCTAAAATTATCCAAAATTATTTATGTATGATTTGCTACCATTAGACTAATGAGCCCGCCTAATGTGTGTATGTTTACTTATAATTCTACCTGCCAGGTCGATATACCACAAGTGAAGAGCCGCGAAGTGTTCTTCAAAGCAAGAGTTGACAGTTATCCTGGGTTACGTCGAGTCCTTAGTGTCCAAGCGGCCACGCCGATACAGAGGCTGAGTTATGTCAAGGGGGATACAGACTTCTTGTAAGTGTTCTCCTCAAACCAAAACTCTATTATGTTACCCTTTTTAATGGATTTAAACTAAAAATAATAAGTTATTGCAGGTAACACAACGATTCATACGAAATGTTACGTTGAATTAAATTGGATAAACGAAATAATTTGCGTTTTAAACCGTTTTATTTATTAGCGAATTATTTATATATATGTACTAAAACAACATCATTACAATAGTACATATTTTTTATTTTTTGACGAATCTAAATAATTTTTTAAATTTTAAAGAGAATAAAATATATATTAGTTTATTTTATTGTTCACTAATTATACGAATGTGTAGTTGTAAAATACATGTACACAGCCAGTTCAACAACAATACTACAATTTTGCCATAAAAATTAATACTATTCCTAAAAAAAATTCTTTGAAAACTAAAATTGAATTAGAAGGATTTAACTTGTACATATACTTTTTGTTAATTTTAGATTTGGGCCGAAATCCGGATATTTGCTCGGAAAGTATAAGTTACCTAACATGGAAGGAGATGGTGACTTGAAATGGAGTTTCTTATTAGATGACCTGTACATAAGGGTAATTTGTTTATAATGTTTATAGAGCAGTTTTTTTTTTCAATTTCACCTCGATCATGTTGATTCCAAAAGATCTCCAACAATCTAGAATTGTCATATAGAAATTATAATAAGTTGAGAATTAATAGATTGTAATGTATAACATTTTAACATTTTAGGCTCTTGGACATCAATCGGTGAAAGAAATGCAAAGAAGCGTGGATTTGGATATTTTCTTTGGTAACAACACTGAAGATGGACTCTCCAAAACCAACGCCGGATTCAGCATGGACCTCGATAGAATATGGCAGTAAGTGAATAAGATTTTTGTATCTGAATTATTGTAAATAAAACGTGAAAAGTAAAAACCCAGGCCGCATTAATTAAGTAAAAAAAATCATGTCTTGACATTAATTTAAACCTCAAAACGTCATATGTTACCAAATAGTTCTTATACATATCTTCAGCGCCCCTGGTGAAATGGGGTGTGGGACAGGAAATACGTTTAACAATTAAGTAAAAAATCTTTCTATATGTTTACCTAAATCATATCTCTGTAATTGAAAAGTACATAATATATATCCGGTAGTATTAAATTTAACAATGATATTTCCTCAGAATCGGCGCAAACGCATCGGTCGGTTTCATATTAGATCGTAGGCTGAATCTAGTAGTGAATGCCGTATTACCCAAACCGAACGTCGACGTGCACACCTTATTGATTGAGGGTAGTATGGGCCAGGCTGATAAGCCGGAACATTCACTTAATGCCATGTATACTACTGATGTGACGAAGATCATTGCTGGGATCAAGGGAAAGGTAAAAATATATCGTATTAAATACTGTCTGTAGTTAACGCGAGTAGTACACATTTAAACACTTTAACGGTTTAAAACGTGATATATATTAGTTTGAGGCCGTCCTCAAATTATCTAACACCTGGGATACCATATTAAAACTCTGGATTCCAATAAACAGCAACGGCAAACGCGTAGACACCGTTAGTCAATTCTGTAAGGACCCGGCCAGTTTTGCCAAATGCCAACTACAACGGAACAGATGGCGCTAGCATAGCAATTTTTAATTTGACGTCAGAGACATCCTCCACCTTTAGTCTCCCCGTGACCACGGCTCCTGCAAAGCATCCGAAACGTTGGGCTGTAGTTAAAAATAATTTTCAAATAAGTTCAACTAATATATATCGCGTATATGTTTGTTATGGTATATAGATCTTGTAATTTTATTACTTTACTAAACTTCACTCCTTTCCTTCTATGCCCGGGCCAGTCTGAAAACCAGCGCTGCTGAGTGTGACAAGCATTCAGCAGCGTAGCTGAGACTACTACCATTTGCCATCTCTTATATATATTTATTACTTATATTAATATGCACACAATTTAGTTATTAGTTTGTAAATATCTTATAATGGAAATAAAAGATTTGCATTGGAAAATATTTAAAATGTTGTCCTAAGAGTATAATTAAATCTTCTCTTTTATAGGTCCTAAAACTTGACGAAAGCTTCGACGGAAACTCGACTATAACTTGGACGTCAAACTCTGTATACAAAAATGTGGATAACATTGTGTCTTATAAATGGGACGTTAACGGTTCCAAATATATAGACTACACTCTGAACACGCCCTTATACGATAACGAATCGACGATAACGCTGAAGGGTTCCTACCAAAAGGATATGTTGCATGATTACCATGTAGTCAAGTAAGTGGATTATTAGATTTTAACTAAGTATCGTCTCTACACATTTAAATAAAACACATTTAACGGTCTAAAACTCGAAATATATTAATTAACTTATTTACAATCTATTTGTAAATAATATTTGTAATATTTTAATTAATACTCATTATAACATTTCGTATTTTAAACCGTTTTTTTTCCTTTATAAATTTTCTGACCGGCGGTACTTGAATCCGTCGACGATGCTGTATCATACTGCGGTCTACTGATTGAGTTACTGTTAATTTTTTTATCTCAGTAAAATAACTGTCTGCGAGTCTCGTTCATTTTTAGTTTGGGTTTGAGACCTAGTAGTATATATACATTTAAAATCATTTCACGTTACTTTGTTTTCAACTGTATTCACATAGTATGTTCTAATCTACATAAATATAATTTCTGATGTTATTTTTATATAACAAAGAAGTTATGAACAATTTTTTTGGTTAATAGTTTAATAGATATCATGCCCCTTTTAAATAATGGAAATGAATAAACATTAAAATACAATTTAAAAATCTAATATCGATGTGCCATTGTAAAAGAAATAACCAAAAATTGATTAATTGTTACAGAGGTCGTATGTACCGTCCGGCTAGTAGTCAAGTAGGCGAAGTAGACGTGCGATATGGAGGCTTGAAACATTCAGACGGACATTTTAATATGTCCACACCGTTTTCGAGGTTACCGTGGCTCCGATCCATATTTGATGTAAGTTCGATTTTCTTTATTTGACATTCTACTCCTGGGTCTAGAAGGGAAAACGATTTACATTAGCGATAACAAGAGTGGCGGCGAGTTTCTTGCCAGTTCTTTTCGTTAATTTGTTATTGATATTATATTAATGTGTTAGTAGTACATCTGAATTAAGTTTAAAATCGATTTAGATTTAAGAAAATTTACAACACAGGCAGAATTTGAACCAGCATCGTTCCGTGGTTTAATTAATTGATCGACGGTGTCAATTTTAACTTAGTTTTTACCTGTATTGTTTTCTTTAAACATGATTGTTATTTATGATTTTGATTTGATTGGCAAGTAAAAGTTATGTCTTTTTGTACTTAATTATGTCTTCTTGTACTGTAATCTTTAATTTTTGTTTAGATCAATAACCTTGAAGAGGTGTCTGATAACAAAGTGGACTTGTTCTGGCCAAACAAATCAGCGTCACTCAACACAACGCACAATTACAAGAAACAAAGCGAAGGCTTCACTCAAACAGGGACGGTGTCTCTCTCGATTCCGTTGAACTCCCAGCATTTGGTACACACGGAGTATTTCTACAGAGAAGGAGATAAATGGAGCAATGGAAATACCACAATCTATTTTGACTCGGAGCGATTCGTCAAAGGATCCTTTAACCAGATACTGAGTAAAAGTCATAGGAATTTGGACCTTGCCACAACGGATATAGAGGTGGAAAACGAACATACGCCTGTGGGAATCAAGTATATACATGAATATGGTGATGGGGGAAACACGGTAAGTTAAAAAATAATAATAATAAAACTAAGAAATAATTGTAATATATATAATAATAATAATTAAATGAGTTAACTAATATTAACTGCAAAGCACCCGAAAGTCGGGCTGTACACGTTAAACGTGTATTTGAAGTGAAATAATTTTTTTTGGGCATGGGCGAACATTTTTGGTGACGATTTTATTGATCTATATTATTTATTTACAAGTAGTTGATCAGAATTGTATGTCGTCCATGCTCGCGTGAAATAACGTATCGTTTCTCCGGGATCGGAACCCAGATCATTTCTTGCCCAACGCCCGAACGAAGAAATAGTAAAATTTAATCTCGCAATAATTATTTAAAAAATACATTTAAATAAAACACTTAACGGTTTAAAACGCGAAATATATTAGGAGAACTCATTCAAAGAAACATTTTAATTGAGTCCCGACATTTTTTAAATAAGTTTAATATATTTCCCGTTTTAAACAAATACAATTTGATTCGCAGGATGTAAAACAAGCTACCGTATTCCACCTTCATAACTCCACAAAATTCAATGTGACCGGTAAACTAGATGTCCAGGCGTACGATATTGGAAAGAAATTAAAATTCACCGCGATACAAGGAAATCGAACCTGGACCTTCGACAACAAGTACGAGGCTAAAGATCGAGAATTGACACAAGGCAGTAAAGTGACCTGGGCGGAGGATGTGTGGCTGCAATATAATCTTCATGTTATGAACATGAGTGTGGTGAGTTGGTAATTTTATTAGAAAGATGGCATTCAGCCTACTTCCTACACAAGACCGGCGACCTAATTTGTATTAGGTCATTTAGAGATCTACAGACTAAAATCGAAATGCTGTACACTGCACTGTACAGCTTTACTATCTATAGATGCTTCGGTATATATATTATTCATACCATTCATTCATTTTTACCTTAAATTTCTGCTGTTTTCGTTTTGGCTACCTAGTTTAACTGCAATTGTATAAATCCGTTTCCCTGTTCAATTATATTTACAGGCAGCTAGCCAACCGAAATATTTGTATTGTTTCTTCAGGTCTTCTCGCGTTTAACAAAAGGCAAGCAACATTGTGCAGTTTTTCAATTTGAACCAGTAGTTACAGTGATAAGCAAACAGACAAACTCTTTAGCTTTATAATATTAGTATAGATAACTATGTTACATAATTACAGGACGAAACAGAATCACAGGAAATCATTATGGACATTGAATACCCAATGCGGACGTTCCGCGTCGCTGCTATATACCACCTACAAGACTCTTTAGTTGATGGAAAAGCCGATCTTCTATGGAACGTCAGAGCTGAGAATAAAACTGCGCAAATCAGCGGGAAATGGGAAAATCCACCAACGCCTGAAGGAAACTTGCACAATGTACATTTTGCTTTGTCACACCCGTCGTTTAAAAAGGTATGTAATCTGTGGCTGTATACTGTTTTCATGCTGTATGCTGCCAAAAATTTACCATTAAAAAAATACTTTATTATTGTTTTAAACAGTACATAACGCAGTTTTCAAACTGTATTTTTCCACTTAATCGACTTTCTCTATCACAAATAATAAAACGTTTTTCTGTAGCATCACCTACCTATAGTACCCTTTTCTTGTTTTCCCTTCATATTTGGTTGCCTGAAAAAGATCGCTGTTTAGCGATAAGGCCTGTGGTGTTTGTAAATAATAAAGTTTAAATAAAACACTTTAACGGTTTATAACGCGATATATTAGTTAAACTTATTTGAAAATGATTTTTAACTTCGGCCCGACGTTTCGGATGCTTTGCAGCAGCCGTGGTCACGGGGAGACTCCCCGTGAACCCCCCGTGATTATCAATGTTTAATGTATCTTTGTTTTAAACAGTTATTTTATGCATACAATTTGCGTTAGCTACTAGTTCTCAGATTTTTTAATTTTATTATTTTCAGGATGTAACATTAAAAGGCCATTACATCAGCTCGCCAGTTGTTATGTCCAACATATCCGTAGAACTCCAATACTCGGATTATGAGAACGAATATCTGAAGCTTAACTCGATTCTAACTGACAATTCAGATGGCCCGATCCGCGATTACAAATTCGCTCTCAAATGCACACATCCGTCTACCAATCTGGATCTAGATATGAATTCAGATATCAATATACAAAGCAGATGGTACCACTTGAGCAACTACTACAAGTTCCAGAAGTCGCTGTTCTATCAGAAACTTAGAAGCAATAAGCTGTTGATTGATATGAATCGGAGTGCTGTGAACTGGGAGGTAGGTTTTACATCTATTTGAAATAAACTAGATGAGTTCGTCGTTGTAATGGTGGAAATGTAACTCGCGTTCTGTTTTCTGTCCGAATATCCAACGCCAATATAGGCTAACAGCGCATCTTGATAAGATGTTATATAACCGTGGTGTTTCACGTTCCTTCAAGTTCTAGCTAGTCTATCTTCTATCACAAAACATCTGTTTTAGTTCTTTGTCATATCCTTCTATTACTGTCATGCCCGTTCCAAATTCTTTAAATCCTCATTCTGTTAAATTCGTAAGTCCTTATTAATCTAATTAAAATGCGCTGTCGACCTTTTTTGTGTCGGGACATTTATGAAACTACCTAGTATAACCGAAACATGAATTCTTGATCCAGTGATTATCAAATCCACGTCCCCGATTACTAGCCATGCCTTTTCTTAGGTTGCTCTTCTTTTTTTGCATTGTATGTTTCTATATAAATGTATACAATAAAATTTCATTATTTCAGCGCGTTAATGAAACTTACTACTACAAAGCAAACGGAACCTGGTCTCTCGTGTATCCTCTGTACACGGTACGAGGTTTAGTGGCCCGCCCGGACGCTAACGATACTCTCATCGCTCAGCTTTCTATGATTGACAAAGCACTGATTGCCCACTATAACAGTACAGATGGTATGTACTAAATTTATTTAGATTTGATCGTTAAAACTTGTACGGTTTTAGGGTTTTATTATACGTGTCTCAAAAAAAATCACAATTTAAATTGACTATATTTGAATCACAAAATTATAACTTAAAATAATTACAAATAAATGCTAATGGACGGCTAAGGAATCGGAATTAAAAATCAAGACTAACTAATAATTTATAGCGAACCATTGTGTTGGCTACACATTCATTCAACAATAATAAGCATTAACATTTTAAATTGCAATGTGTGTCTACACTATTCCCCCCCCCCCGCCCCCCCTTTGAAAAGAAAAAGAAATCTATATCAAAAATCCTACAATAATCATTTTTTATGTCTCGCCTAATCAATAAATACATTAAAAGCATTGTATATTACTCTAATTGTAGCATTTAATTCCTTTTGTTATATTTCCCAGATATCTCCTTCCACTTGATAGGAGAAATCATCGACACCAGATCCGCCCAATTGAACGCCTGGAGGAACTACGATGACGTCACCACCGTCGACATAGCCTCATACATTAGACTCAATCATTCCCGCTTACTAACCAGCTCCGTTGTATGGCGTCCGGAGATATTCAGTGAAATCAGATCGCAAGCCGTTTACGGGTTGAAGCTTTTATATTCCCAAATCAATGAAACTCTTGTCATTCTGAAGGAAACGCCCATGGAAGCGCACTTGGCGCTCAGAAACATCTGGAGCGACGCGAAACCAAGAGTCCGAGACTTCCTCGACGATCTCAACGATTTGCATGTGATCAAAGACGATCTGGACGAGTTCGAGAGATTCCTCAACGAATCGTACAACAAAAACGACTTCTATGTGAAAGATATCGTCGAATTCACCTACTATGTTCTAGACGAAATGGCTATACGCAATCACTTGGAGAATTTACCGGGCTTCGTCAACGATATGTGGGGGATGATGGGCAACACGAGTAAATCAATAAAGGAAAGTCTGACATATGTCATAGAGTCGATCAAGAAGGCATATGCCAACTTCCTGGATGCCGTCAACAAGGTTCTGGAAGCGGATCTGATGGAACTCGTCTCGGATAAGTTGGAAGCGATGATTCTACAATACGACAACTTCATACGAGACCTTCATATGCGCTTGTTGGATTATTGGGAGGAGACGTGGGTAAATGCGACCACTCGTCTATCTAAGTACTGGCACGAGCTCCTCAAATCGATAGAGCCGCTGTTCTTCAAGATAGTCCACTACACGGAGGCGTTCGTCGTGGCCATTTGGAAGGAGGTTATGGACTTCTTCCACGAGAGGACCCATGAACTGACGGACACGCCGTACTTCAACTATGTTTCGACGTTCGGACATGAAATGGATAAGTAAGTTAATTCTACTATTACAACATATTTTAATAGTATAAAATTCTTCGACAGTCGTCCGTTCAAAACAAGAACTAACTCGGTATAATTGACCATGCTATAAATGTCAATAATAAATAAATGCCTTTTATTTTCTATGACGCAGAATAATTAGCAATAAATACTGTTGACTACTTTTGACCGACACGTTGGTGTAACGGTAGCAATGTACGGCTAATAATCAACGGGTCGTGGATTCGATCTCCACCGGGTCCAACATTTTTCTTATCAATTTATAGTTTTTCTAAAACATGTTGGACATCTGGATATTAAATGGGTGTTAGGAATATCAAAGTACCGTTCGGGTCACGAACCACCGTCCACAGATGAAAAAGGCGTGGTTTAATCACGTTTCGGTTTCAGTCTGTGGAGTTCCAAATATCCAAAGCCAAAATTGGTCGGCAGGGTATCTTGTTTACCATCTAGTAAACCTCATGCTTTTCTCATATTTCTCTTTAAAAGAGTGAAGGCGTCCACCATGCTCTTCTTTTCTTTCCACTCGGACCCAGCAGTTTTAACTATACCATTTCATTAATGCTGGTCTTCCTCTCTCCCCTTTTCTTTCGTTTTTCGTCGTTATAATACAAAAATATCGTTTACAGAATATACAAGGACCTAGTCAACGACGATATAATAACAAACATTAAGAAGTACACGAGAAAGCTCTGGAATGTCATTTGGAGTAAGATCGAAAAGTATGTACCGTTCACGGAAGAATTCAAACAGTTGTACAACGAGTTCAAAAGCGCTTGGGAGAACTTCTTGAAAACGCCACAGGTCGTTTATGTCAGAGAAAAGGTATGTGATATAATAAATAAATAAATCTATTTTCGAATAGTGTATATGTTTCATATGTATAATGTTAATTGTTGAATTTAAACACATTCACTTATATTAGTGTACAGTGATTTCATGTCTTTAGTAATGTCAGCAGGTATAACTGATTCTTCGGCTTTATACTGCAGTGTTATTAGACTCTAGAAGTCAATCCTTGTTTTTAACGCTTCCTGAAAAATTTCTAGCGTCTCAATTCCGAAACTTCGAGATTGTATGGCATGTTAAGCCGATCCCAGTTAGTAGGCACTAAGTTAGTGGTGGTAGTCGGGATAAGTTTGGTTAATAAAATTATGTTTTGTTTAAATTTCAGTGTAAAGAAGCGTACATTCGGCTGAAGTGGTGGTACGACTATTTCCTCATTGGTGACGCGTTGGATGCAATATGGGAGATCCTATATGACAAAGTTACAGACTTCGCAAAGACGGCTCTGCAGTACGAAGAACTGTAAGTTACATGACCACCAGATGTAGGACACGGTAGCTCAGATGGATGGATAATAGCAGCACCACGAAACGCTGTGGATGCCGGTTCACGTCTCACTCGTGTTGGGTTTTTTTATGTGAAAGGAAGACAGCTTCACTTGATGGAAGACGAAATACCGCAGTCATATAACAACTGTATTTTGGCTTTGTATATTTAGAAGTCCATGGACTGAAACTCTATTAAACTTCACAGCTTTTTTATCTGTGGACCGTGTTTTTTTTAGTGACCCGGACGGAATTTCAATATTTCTATTGATATCCAGATTTCCTTTAAAGATTACCTTTATAGTATTAAAATACATCTTCAGTCGAGATTATCTTATTTTAAAGTCACTGAAAGTCATCTATAACATTACTTGACAGTCAAAGTATATATTAAGAAGAATTATAAATAATTGAAAAACTTGTTGGACCTGGCGGGGATCAAACCCACGACCCGTTGTTGTCATACATTTCTACCATTAGACCATTACCATTTTTTTCCAATAATTGCAGACACCGCACTCCAAAAACGAACTTCATCTTCGACCCTCACCAGGGGAAAATACTCCTCGAGCAGAAGTTGCCCATGGCTTGGCACGCGTTCAACCAGACGCCGGACTTCACGGAAATCTCCGAGTACAAGGCAGTTAGGGACTTCATGGACGAATGGCTCACGAGCAACAAGAGCATCTGGACGTACTACTACGAGATACGGCCGTATCTGGACTTCAATAATATTCTGCCGCCGTTTGCTGGTACGTTGTCAAAGTCAAAGGTCATTTATTCCTGTCGGTAGCTAGGTAAACTAAGTGTAGTTTACGCGAGTAATACCCATTCAAATAAAACACTTTAACGGTTTAAAACGCAATATATTAGCTAATTATTTAAATTAGTTAACCTTATTTGGAAATTATTCTTTAATAATTATTTGCCCAATTCTACGCGGACGAAGTCGTTGACACAACTAGTAAATGTTTGTTTATGATAAGCATCTATATAGCTTTTCCTGTCTTAAAACAACTGTTTGTACCTGGTGTGACATTCAAAAGTTTACCTAGCTTAAAAAAAACAGGTTTAAAACGCGAAGTATATTACTTTATTAATTATTATTACGGTTATTTGCGTAACATTTAAATCTCTTATACCGGAATATTATAGTGGTATTAATTTTTTGACTACGTCAGCAGCTTGGAAGAAAATATATGTTGCGTTTTAAACCGTTAAAAGTTTGTTATCTAATCAACTTGGCCACTCAGGCATGGCGATGATGACCGGTCAAGGAACGCTGGTGACGTTCGACAAAGAAGTATTCACTATATCAGCTCCCGGCACTTTCCTCCTGACCAAAGACTACAGACAGAACAATTTCACTGTTCTGATGGAGAGCAACGAGCAAGGCAGATACGATCTCATTCTGATGACGAAACGAAATCTGATTTACATCGATCTTTATAAAGAGGTGAGAGTCATCTACAAAGATTTCTTAAGCTGTATAAGACATTGAACCTTAATACGCAAGTGTTAAGGTTGAGATTACACTGCACGTGATGTGGTATATAGAGGGCTGAAAAAATTCGAAAATGACGTGTAGGAATCGGCTCATTTGTTTAGAGCAACAGCATGGACCGCTGTGGATGCCGGTTCAAGTCCTGCCCGAGTTAATTTTTTTTTGTTGAAATGTTTAGTTTACATTGTGCCATCATGTACAAAATATTAAAGTTTTCAAATATCTTAATAATCTTTACAGCAAGTTTCTCTTGGCCGTTCGAACCCACTCAGTCTACCGGCGTCCATAGACAACTTCGTGGTGGACAGACAGGCAGACACGATCTCTATCGAGACCAAAACTGGACTAGAAGTGCATTGCGATCTACTATTCAAGACTTGTAAACTGCAAGTTGAAGGTTTGTTTTCAAACATGCTTACGGAGCAACATGTTTACGAATAATTTCTTCGTACTTTGTTTTAAGTATTGCTGTATGTACACAAGTTCATATTGTCTGTAGTTTATGGGAGACAGTTAAATTAAACACTTTTAACGGTTTCAATTGTGAAATGTCGCTCTCCCCGCGACAACGACTGCTGCAAAGCAGCAGCAGCTGCAAAGCAACATAATCATCGAGCTATAGTTAATTTTTTAACAAGTTTAACTAATACATTAAGCGATTTAAACAGTTAAAAGTGTTTTATTTAAACACAATTACACTTTTATCGAGTTACAGCGCGAAATCAGGCTTGTTGCCTGTTAAATAATTGCTATGTTGCAGAGAAAGTTAAAGATCTTAATTATTTATTTTGAACTATTCCTAATATAGGCTTATTGATAGTTTCACGTAGATCACCCGACACTCACTCGTTTTTACAGTATTATCATAGATATGTTATGTAATTAACGATTTGTACATAACAGGCTGGTACTACGCAAGTCTTGGCGGACTACTCGGTACCTATAACAACGAACAATACGACGAACTACAACTTCCGAACGGCACTATTAGGGCCAGTATAGACCAAGTGGCCAAGTCTTGGCTTCTGAGGCAAGTGACGTCATCGCACCCATCGTGGGGCCCCGCTAACGACACGCAGTGCGCCAAGTTCTTTATGAACAAAGTTTCGCCACTGCATCCTTGCTTTACTGTGGTAAGTTACTAATAACTAATGATACGGAACTCTAAAATTAAACAATTCTTAGATTTTCAATTTTTTAGAATTAGACACCGGGGTCTCCCCGTGACCATGGCTCCTGCAAAGCGTCCCAAGCGTCGGGCCATAGTTAAAAATAATTTTTAAATAAGTTTAATATATATAGCATTTTAAACCGTTAAAGTGTTTTATTTAAATCAGATAATCTCTTATATAGCAAGTTTGTGTAAATATACAAATCTTTTTTTAGATCGACGCTCTACCATTCTATTCGGAGTGCGCCCGCGGCGTGGATGCGTGTGCGCTTGCGAACGCGTACTTAGAACTGTGTGCTCAGCAACATGTACCCATACATATACCGGATCATTGCGTGCAGTGAGTATTGTGCGTTTTGAATAAAGAAAAAAACTAGTTCAACTTCTGCTATTGCGATTAGTAATTATAGTAAACTTCTATGTCGAAAGACAGGGGAACCCAAAACAATAATTTAAATAGCTATAAATAGTCAAAGGTCTTATTAATAATTATGAATCTATTAATTATTATCTTATTAATTTAGAATTTATTTGTAATAGATTTCGAGATATTAATTAGTAGATAATATAATTGTAAGAAGGGTGTACTAAGACCCCCTTCTGTCCTTCCATAACTTTCGCATTTGCCCTTCTTCCTTAACTCTCATGACCATAATAACCGATTACGCCCCCCCCCCCCTGGGAAATTAGTTCCCTTTGTGGAATGATTTTCTCCCACCTTTATCGGAAAATACTTTTCTACTCTTAGGTGTTTTTTTTTTCATCTAAGCTATTAACGTCCCAATGCTGAGCGGCCTCTAGTTGCAAGGAGGGCTTTTGAATTTTAACCCACCACGCTGCTTAGTGTTAACAGACGTTTTACAGCTGGACGTTACTAAATTAGTGGTGATAACTAAGACATATGACTTAACTGAAACTAAAATGCAAAATTCCAAGCACCGAATTATTGTTCCGACCCAGAATTGAATTAATGCCTTCACTAACCATCAGACCCTCGAGGCAATTTCATTAGCAAATAGTAAAAATGCTTTTCAGATGTGCAACGCCGCAAGGTGATATAGTCGAAGAAGGCTCTTTTCTGGAGTTGCAGAACCCCCCGAAATCTGCTGACATCGTCTTTATAGTTGAGGCTCAATACTGCAATAAGAACATACGAAAACTGAAAAACATAGATCTTTTTATCGAGACGTTTGACAGCAAGCTCCAAGAGAACGGATTGTCAGACAATAGGTGAGATTTTTTATATTTCTAGCGACTAACCCCTGCTAATTTACGACACTAGTTTTTTATCCACGACGTCGTCCGTGTCCCGTCGTTCTAACGAAAGCCATCAAAGATGAATAATTTTCCCCGTTTTTTCCACATTCTCCACTGTTTCTTCGCTCCTATTGGTCGCAGTGTGATATTATATAGTGTAAAGCCTTCCTCGTTAATGTCCTAACAACTCTATATAAAGCTTTATAATATTAGAACGCTTCCGAAAACATTAACACAACCAGTCAATATCCCTATCCCGTTTCTACTTGTAACCTAGCTTACAAGCAGGTGGTTACAAGTACTTATATAACTCTGTAAATTTTAATTTTCTATGTCATGTCATTTTAACCCGACTTACTACATGTATAATTAAATTAAAAATCTATTTAGATTGAAAAAATTGGACACAACGGTGGGTACAGGAATTGAGCTACTGTGTCCGTCCGTCGTGAAATAACGTCAGCTCGATACACGTGCAGCTCTCGCTAAATAAATTTTTAATATATATATATATATATATATATATATATATATATATATATATATATATATTAAGTATTTATTAACTTATTAAATTATTATATTATATATATAAATTAACAATTGTTCTTCTTTCAGATACGCAGTTGTGGTATACGGTGGAAGTGGTATTTATAGGAAGCCACGCGCTCTGTACCACCAGAACAAATTGTTTACAAACACTGTTGATATTCCGAGGCATTTTGATACGTTCACTATTGGTAAGTAATACATACATACGGAATGCCCTAGGGTCCACATGAAAATCCGACTACTTTGATGATGGCGGGGCCATTTTTGCCATCTAAAAGTCTTAAATTATGTTATATATAATGGCAAATAAATAATGTCTTCTTTCAAATATAATTTAGCCCTCTGCTTCTTGTAGAACGTACCTGTGACTCTAATATTTACTTAATAAGACTGAAATTTGAAAGAAGGCGCTCGTGGCTTAATTGCTAAAGACACAGCTTAGCGCGCTGTGGTTAAAAATTGTAATCCCCCATTTTCAGAGAAGAATGACTTAGTCCGCGGCAACAAATCGGCGCGAGCCGACGTTTTTGGTGTGCTGAAGTTTGCGAGCGCGCTTCCCTTTAGAGCAGCTGCACCGCGAGCACTGTTCCTCATGCCCTGCACTCGGTGTGATGCGTCAAGAAGCGAGGTAAAACATTACTAGCTCAAAAAATCTTTTCTATTTCATTGCGCGAGAGGTGTTGTATCAATAAATTGAAAAAAATCGACGATGAGGTATGGTACTCGGTAGCTTTTTTTACCGTCTTAAAATGACACGTCTACCGACTGCTCAAGCGGCAGCCCCAATGTGGAAGCAAGCTAGCCTTGCCTCCTAGGCCTAAATGCTACGCTAACACACCCTGGTGGACACGGACTGAAGGCCGTCGCCCGCCCGTGTCACCATATGCGGCGAGACTGCGGAAGACGATGCCTACAGACTTCGTCAGCGGACACTGGCGAATGCCGCAGCTCTTCTAAGCGGCTGAAGCCGCCTCCGCGCCTCTATTTCGCTACCTTGAAAGCAGCGCGCCGACTTGAAGCCGGCCATCCCACGTGCAACTTTGTGCATGCTGTCTTTAACCGCCTTTAGTAACTCAATGGTTGCGTGCGAAAGGTTCTAATCCAATCGTAACGTAAGATAACAGTTGATTATTTCGTTCAGGCAGAGCACAGACGTCCAATCAACTACGGTTGTGTTCATCCCATGCCCCTCAGAAGAGGGGAATTCACGCACTGTATCTTGACTCTGGTGTTAATCAAACTTATTTTTTTTAAAGGGCTGGTCTAATTATTGCAATTGGTCCAACGCGTTTCTTATCACTTCGGAAAGATGTTGGAATTCGTTCTTTGGTGCTTGGAACTGAACTCAAACTCACACCATTTATTTCATAAGGCATACATAATTTAAATTAGCTTAAACTACATTAAAAAAGGGGGAAGACAAAACTTGGAAGAGTGCTTGTGAAATGAGGGAAGCCACTCGACATGCGCGACCCAGAGTAGAGGAGAACCGGCGGTTTTCAGTGTAGAATTGAATAAAACAGTTTAACGTAATATAAATTTGTTAAACTTGTTTATAAGTTAACGTAGTTAAAATAATTTTCAGACAAGTTTAACTAATATATATCTTTTTATAGTTAAAAGCTTTGTATAAATTTTAGCTGGATTACTCTACTATATATCACCATTTGATGGAGAATTCGATAACTCTTCACATTCTAATGGACGATGACTTCACGCTGTCCAAGAAACGCATCGCCAAATACCTTTTCGGTAAGTTGTTCCGATTTCAGAAACTGACTCCTGAAAATTGTAATGAAAACCTGGGTCCGGAATTAATTATATGTCGTACTTACATTTTTAGGCGTCGACAGTAGTTTGGCTTACACCAACAAAGATTACGAGAGATTGGTCGGCGACGCAGGGCTAAGGAAACAAGTAAAGCTGCCAAAGGACAAACTTGGACTGTGCACTTCACTAGCCCTCGAGACCAATGGTATTTACACTTATGCGTACTTTGTTTCGTATATAGACTAGACTTCGTATGTAGACTAGCTGCGCAAGCGACTTCGTCCGAGTAGAATACATATTTCTAAATATAGCTGTTACCCTTGACGTCGTTCACGTCCCAGTGCTTGCAAATTAATCTTAAAAGATTACGAAAACGATAGAACCAAGAGGATGCGTTCTTCCTTATATATTTTTGAGATTTTTTTTTAATTTTTGTAGTGCACACAACGGGAACTCTCAAAGATAAATAATTTTCCCCGTCTATTCCACGTTTTCCACTGTTTCATCGCCCCTCTTGGTCCGTATAGATTTTTATGCACCACCTAAATTCTCGATCTCATAGTCAACAATAATCACCTAACACTTACACGGTATATAATTCTCGCAGGTACAATATGGGCTGGTTCGAAGCTGCAGAGCGAAAGGGGCGCGGCGCGTCGTTTCGCGACCGTGGTGGGTGGAAGATGCGCGGGCGCAGCTGTCACGTGCCTCGCCCCGCGGTGCGAATGCCGCGCCGCGAGGCTCCACTGCCGACCCTGCGCCTCGCATGATCCGGTAAAACTTTAGACCACTACAACTTGTCAATCTTAATTAAACTCTCATTGTTTTCTTTTGTATAACAACGGGCTATTTGACTATAAGAAAAATATAGCGTTAATTACTGTTATAAAGACTAAGTATAAGTTTTAAAAGAAACCATTTGGCACTTGACAATAAACGCTCCTGATTGGATAAGCTTATAATGACGTCACTTGCTCATAAACAATGCCATAAACCGTACTGATAATGTTGTGGTTTAATTTCAGTTGGAACTCTCCTTCTGGAACACAGACGACATCGATGAGCTCATCGACCTCGCCATGGACCCTCCCAGCTTACCTTCCTTTAGATGATGGCCACTATATGTATCTTCTTTGCTTCAACATCCCAATATCACTTTTGTGACACTGTAAAATATAATGGCAAGAGCAGCATTGGATGCAATGTCAAGATATTAGAAACTTAGTAAATATTTTAATTATTAATTCTTCTCTAAACATTTAACTTACTCACACACCTAGAGTCATTAATTTTATTTTGAGATCTGAAGAATTTATATCCAAAAATATATTTTAAGGACTTAGGTTATTGTGTAATTATATAATTTTTATTTAAATATTGTTGGAATAGTGTACTTGCAATAAATTATTTCTAAAATTTTTATAAAACTTTGTGATAAAAGTATTTCAATTCCTATTTCAGTTGTACATCTCAGTTTATGAGTTTGAAGCGAGCAGGTTGAAAAAATTCTCGCCATTAATTTGAAATCATTTAGAACTAATAAAGGTCAGATTGTAAACATACAATAGAAAAATTAATTAAATAAACTTTAACGTAAATCTTTATTCATGAATAGAAATTAGAAACATCTCTGCTGTAGGAACTTAAACAAAATCTTATTTTAATCTAACAAAATCAAACACAAAAAGAAATAAAGAAATTACTTATATGTGACATTTTACTGAAATACGATAATATCATCTATGGATACTCATTGTATCCAAAGATGTTTTAAGCAGTATTAAAAAAAAATCTAAAATCTATTGAGTCTCAAAGATTCAAGATCTTCAATGTTTTGAACTCTCTGGAGAAAATCATTAAAATTACGTACATCATCCCGCATTAACACATTTTGAACAGTGATTTTTAGCAGACCATATATCATATCTATCTGTTGATTTTCACTGTGTCGGTTGGCTGAAGGCAATTTTGAGAAAAGAATTCTCTTCTGGTTAATGAATTCTTTTGTTTTTTCCTGCTTTTGGGTAACAAATATTTGTCTATAAATTTGGTATGCCGGCTTTGGCGACACGAACCTTCGTTCAAATTCGACTATGAAATCAGACCAAGTATTCTTCTCGTTCTTTATACTATGCCACCACTGAGCAGCATCCCCTTTCAGCAGCACAGGTAGGGATTTCATGGCATCTTGATCGTTTATGTTCTCTATATCTTTAAAAGTTCGAAGCGCTGACAAAAATTGCTGCCCGTCTTCGGCCCCGGAAAAGGTGTAAGGAAAAGAAGTCATCTTAATATTACCAGCGGCTTTAAAATTCGTAAGCAGCCGTTCGAACTGCTCTTGCGTGAGTTCATACATTTGCGAACGGGGTTTTTCCATGATATCACTGAAACCAAGGTTTATTTGTTGTAGCTCTTAGTGGAATTGAAAGATTTACTTACTTTATGTTAATTTCAAATGATTTGCACTCTTACAAGGAAGGAATATAAGATACTGTCCAATCAACAAAATAACAGCCAACAACTTCCTCACGTAGCCGTTAACCAATTGAAAAATGAAACATTTAACAATACACCCAGTTTAAAATGTGTTCTTACCTAAAACATAAATACCAATTTTATGGAAGGGGATTCCCGATATTCAAGTGTTACCATCACTATCACATACGGAAAATTCATTCATCAAAAGCCGAAAAATATTTCTGGAAAAAAATTAATTGCTAAAATTATGTCCATTTTTACGTAGTCAGGTTTTTGATAATTTATTTTTTAAAAAGATTATTCTAGTAAGGCATTTTTATAAAACCGGCCACGTGCGAGTCGGACGTGCGCACACGGTGGACGGTATATGCACGAGTTTCATGTGGTATTTTAATATTTTTCTTGTAAATATTTCAAGTACCGACCGGGTGTGATTTAAATTTAAAGCAAACCAGACCTTTGTTTGATTTAGGAATACATTATGGTTTTTTCTCTTTAGGTGCTCTTTTCCGCAATAACTGGTACCACTATAATTTCTAAAATCCCCTTACATGATGCTGGTATTTTATGTCATATCGAAAGCCATGTCGACATCGATGAGCAGCTGAAATTCTGGCGAAATTCGTAATTCTCGAGGACATTGCTGCAGCAGCTTTAGCGTTTACCAAAAACGTAAATTATAAAATAGCATTCAAACTCGTTACTCATTGAACACTAAAATATGCTCTTTTAAGTCTATTAACTGTAATGATATTATCTGTGTTAGGCCTGCAAAGGGTTACCCATTCCATAGATATTACCTGTGTTGAAATCTTTGGTACGGAAAATCTACTTTAAAATTTAAATAAGCAAATTAGAAACTTACTATGCTGGTATATGAGATCAATAATTATAACGAATAAATTACTTCTTTGCTATGTATGGCTTATACATAGCAAAGAAGTAAATTTTAGTGACCTTGATCAAAATCTCCAGCTCCGTCATAGGCAAATAATAATACATTTCCGCAGTGTTATAAGAATTTAGGCTACTGTACATACATATAAATAAATTAATAATGTGGAATAGCTAAAAGCCTCAACGTAATGGTTATTTGTAAGGGCAAAATAAAGCATTCTCCGAGATCAAGTTTTAATGATAAGAATAGCTTTGGCTACAAATACTTAATAAACTAAACGTCACTATCAGGTCAACTTTTATATATAAAAAACATTAGACTCTGCTCATTTTATATGCTATTACAGCTCCAAATACTACCAACAGCACAGCTGAGGTCTTATACATTAAATTGTATAGTACTTTATTTTGTCCGCCAACAGAATTAACTATAAGATTGTTCATCAGGAACACTTGATTGCTCTCATCGATAAATGCATTTTGTTCATCCACAGTCATGTGTTCTGCAATTTCGTTCATGGCACTACGAAAGTCACTTTTTAATTTCGAAATGTCAACACCGGTAAAATCGGTGACTTTATCTTTATACATGTCATTCGGCAGATTTTCTGAAAGCATAAGAGAAAACTTTAAGTTGCAACAGTTAGTAGTAGGGTAGTTTAAAATAATATTTCCTCTATCATATTATTGTCTTTCGGGCTGTTCGGCCGATGTGAGCGAGAAGAGGTTCTCGACGTTTCGCCATCACGTGTGGACGGCATCTTCAGGAGATGTTGACTCCTCGATTGCTCGAAGAATTGTGAACGTCGAGAACCTCTTCTCGCTCATATCGGCCGAACAGCCCGAAAGATAATAATAATATGCTGATCGATGGCCGTGAAAGACTTACTCAATTTAATATTTCCAAATAGTTTAAAAACTATGCCTTAAGTATAATAAACATTGCTAAAATTAAATAAAAAAAATATACAAATAAAAACATAATAGGCAAAAAAAATTTTAATGACTATATAAAATGTACATACTGTCTCCAAATATTTTTCGTTTCTTTGCAAGTATTTGACCTCCGCTTAACAAGCCCAAATATAAGTGATAGACATATGCCATTAGTAGTTGTGGATTGTCCTTCTCCAAATTTTGCAAATGTTCTAGGTAGTTCTCTAGTGCAGCGGACTTTGGTAATGTCTTCCAATCGGAGCCAAGATAGTGGCTGATGTCTTCTTCAAAGGCAAATTTCCTAGAAAGAAAAAATGTAAATGTCTCTTAAGTAATCATTTTTTTTATTTAATTTAAATATGTTTTTTCTCTACACACACATAATATTCTTATACAGTAATGTGTATCTGTTCAATGTATATCTTTTATTTAAATTGTGTAATTAAATTGTAATGAATTAAAATGTTAAGGGGAAAAGTGCAAGCATCAGAACAACAGTAGGAAGACAAAAATCATATTGTAACCTTTATTTAGCAATTTTCAGTGCCTTCTTATTATACCAATATACCATTTTAAGTGTTTTGTGCAAACCTGTAGAGGATTTTATTGACAAAGAGTTTATCATAATCTGGTAGGCTCAACCTCTTCTGTGCATCTTCAAGATAAGCAAATATATGATAAAAGACAAATAGTCCTCCACCCCATACCTTTTCATCACGTACCGCTGAAATTTTAGTTTTTACAGTACTGTAAGTTTCTGAATTAGAATTCCAGGACAACACAATATATATTACATGGATTCAGTGAGAGACAACAGAAACGCGATCAGTCTTTTTAATCCATCGGTTTAATAGTCAGGATTGTTTACTCATGCGCAGGTAGGAGACATAGGTAAGCTTAATTTTGATCCGATCGTAATACAGGAGGTTGGTAGAGAAAAGAATTCTACTTATCGTAAAAAACCATTAAGTACCTATAGCAAACTTCGCATTGACCAAAGCGTCGCTGATAGAATGTATTCTCCTAGTAGCTTTCCGCATTCGAGTCGTAAATAAATCATCGTTTTCCTGAGCCATAATGAACTGTGCAGAAAAAATAAAAAGAGACTTTATTTAATAAATACGATAAAAAGAAGACTCCTTTGAGAAAGTATCAACATACTGTTTTTACCTCTATAGGTTGTTTCCTACCGAAGTACGCAAAAGGTTTTCTTATTTTGTGTTTTTTGGTTTACAAATAACAATCATGTAATGCCATTTGCCAATCGGCAATCACGTTTGACAGATCACATAACCACTCTGTAAAAGTATCACTATTGGATTCTTTTTATGTCAACTGTCAAAGCGTGACAGCTCTTGAAACCCGATTTGTTTTTCTAAGTCGTCTTGTAGAGTTTTGATTCAGTTTATCTTGCTATGTTATTAACTTTTGTATTGCATAAATAAAGGTTTAACTTTGTGTTTAGCCCTTGATATTGATCTACTTTAAAAATCATATAATTACTGCGTTTTTAATCAGATTAAGTCTATTACTGGCGGGCCTTACAGAAATGGGTGATTCAAGAATAATTAAGGTAAACTACATTTGAAGTCTTTTTTATATGTTTTTTGTTCAAAATACAATAATAATTTGCTTGTGTCCGTGTTTTTTTGTCTTTATAAGGACCTTAAAAGATGGTCAATTGCATTGTTTACATATTGATAAGCGTTATCATTTTGACATTTGAGAATTCTTAGTATTATCTAACCTCTCAAGGGTCGCGTTTGAAATTTATCATTAAATTTACGAAATGTCCGGTTACGACTTTAAAAAAGAAGAAGAGGTCAAGGAGTTCGTTGAAAACCTCGGTATCGAGTATAGATTTGGCTGCTACAAGGAAAAGAAGCCCGAAGTATGTCATCTCTTAGGCGATTACTTGGAGGCGATAAAAAAGGACTTTGGCAAAGCCGCGAAAGTGTATAAAAGTAATTGCATGGACTATAATTATGGTAAATCATGCTTGAAGTATGGCAATTACAAATTGATTGGGCGAGGAGGCGATAAAAGTGACCCTGCGGAAGCGCTGATTTACTTTGAGAAGGGTTGCGAAAATAATGACCCCACGTCCTGCCTTCATGCAGGCTTACTGCTTACAGCGACCGGGCCTGATATAACAGTTCAACGAGATGTACCCAAAGGTAAATAGTATAGATATAAGCGAATTAGTATCATTATCAATATTATTTCATAACAATACAACTAATTGTGTAAATAGTTGAAGACCTGACAAATAATATGTTAGTTTTGTTTGAAAGTGACAATCATTGTTTTATTAGCAAAACTATTTGTGATTAACGGTTTTGGAGTATAATTTCTTTGGACAATGGAAAAGGACGTAAGCCTCCTATACAGTCACACCTTTAGGTCTCCATGTGGTCATTTCTTGTATTTAAATTTTATGAATATTATAAGGTATAATTCTTAGTAAAGTACTTCTCTTTTGATTTTCCTTTTCTTTTATAGGCTACAATTACTTAAAGAAAGCTTGCGATAACAAGGAAGCAATGGCTTGCCACTATTTATCAGGGATGTACTTGTCCGGTGTCCCAAGAAACCCGAAAGAATACAACCCTCACAATCTAGAAAAGAATAAAAATATAGATTTCCTGATAAAACCAGATACTAAACAAGCGTTTACATTTGCAAAGAGAGGCTGCGATCTTGGACACATATATGCCTGCGCTAATGTCAGTCTGATGTATAAAAAAGGTGACGGAGTACCACAAGACTTAGAACTATCCAAGAAATACTTCCGAATCGCACAATCCCTCCAGAAAGCACACGAAGAAACAAAGGAAATCAAATTTCAACAGGGCCTTGAAAAATGAAATTGTCCATAGCTAATTTGGTTTTTGTTAAATAGGAAATCTAGATTAAAATTTTACTCAATATTCATGTGTATTTCATTTTCTATCTATACTAATATATAAAGCTGAAGAGTTTGTTTGTTCGAATTGAACAATTATTTGTGTTGGTTAGAGCATATATCAAGGAAGGCTATAAAACATCGGGCTGTGACTGATAAAAGCGAATATACAGTGGGAAATATGAAAATAACTTGGGAAATCTATCATCTCTGTGGGCTTCAGATGCGTACGCTGCGAAAACGGTTTAAGATAAAAAAAAGAAAAATTTTAAGATTAACTTGCAAGAACGACGGGAAGGGACGCGATCGACGTAGTGGCTAAGTTTAAGTTATAAAGATGACGGGGTTTGCAAAAACTTGTTTGGATGCCCAAAATAACGATTCACGCGGACGAAGTCGCTGGCACAGCTAGTATAACATAAATGTAAAGTGCGAAACATTCTTCTCACCGATTACAATCCATACAATTACAATTTCTAATTTCAAGATTGGCATAATCGGCGGTTCAGGTTTTGACGAACCCGGCCTTTTTGAGAATCCGGTAGAACGCGTTGTCACGACACCCTTCGGGAACCCCTCGGATGTCTTACTGGAGGGGGTCATAAAAGGCGTACCTTGCGTCATACTGGCACGGCACGGAAGGAAACATCAATATCAACCCAGGTAAAATAGAGGTCGGCCTATTGTCTGATTTCCAAGCGTTGCGTCGACGCTAACAGGCTATTTTTATATTCTAGAAGGACTGGACATCTCCCATCCACCATAACTGTGTATCTGAATAAAGAATACTATAAATTAGCTTTAATCACAAAAGAAAAAAAAACACTTAAATAAATAAAATAATTAAGTAAAATAAAACTCTTTATTAACATAACATTAATATTACGTAATTCAATATAAAAAGTATAATTCTGAACTTAGTTGGTGTAGAGAGGAAAAAAAATAAAGCTAATATATTACATATTGCTCAGTGCAAAGGGTTATGTATAACTAAGGACATATAAATTACAGCGACGTGAATTATCGTGCGAACATTTGGGCGCTGAAGGAAGTGGGGTGCACACACGTGCTGGCGACTACGGCGACTGGCAGCCTGCACGAAAACTACGAACCTGGCTCACTTGTTATCATAGACGATTTTATCGACCGGTGAGATAAGTGTTTTAGTTTAAATAGTCAAGAACATTTAATAGTGTATTAATTGTTGCGAATGCACTAAGTATAAACATATAATATCTGTAGTTTACGCGAGTAGTACCTACACATGTTACTAAAACGCTTTAACGGTTTAAAACGCGATGTATATTCGTTAAAATTGTTTTTAACTACGGCCTGACGTTTCGGATGCTTTGCAGCAGCCGGGCGAACGTTTGGGCACATTTGTCTCCCCGTGACCACTGCGGCAAATCATCCGAAAAGTCGGACCGTAGTTAAAAACAATTTTAACGAATATACATCGCGTTTTAAACCGTTAAAGCGTTTTACTCAGAAGTATAAATATCCTTTCCAGAACATGGGGCCGAAAGTGCACGTTCTACGATCGCACGGAGGGCGGTCCCATGGGCGTCTGCCACTTGCCCATGAGCCCGGCATTCTGCGCAGTGGCACGGAATGCACTGTCAACGGCGGCGCGAGCTCGTAAATACTCTTGTCACCACAGCGGTACTGTTGTTACTATACAGGGACCTAGGTATGCATTGAAAATAACGTAAGGTTCTCTCTGCCTTGGCAAATTATACGATTATCATCTATGTAATTCTACAAGAATGATCTTCGGCATCTCATTTTATCGGCCGGTCATCGGAAAATCGTCGTAATCTATTAAGTTTATTATTTGTGCATCAAGGAATAGATACTCGTCAATTGATCTCAAAATACTCCCGAGTGCCGATCACAACTTTTGTGCCCTTCCGACGAAAATCAATATATGGATCACATTCTCCAACATTTAATTCCCCCGATTCCTCACAATACTTAATGAGTAGTGACATGATTGAAATCAAATAAACCACAAATAGTTAAACACAAATATCTAACAACTTTGACGGTTTCGTTGGTCTAATAGTAACAATGTATCTAATGGTCAACGGGACGTAGGTTTGATTCCCACTGGATACATGAAGTTTCTAATTTCACAATTTATAACTTTTCTGAAACAACGGACTTCGTCTGGAAATATTGATATGGGTGGTAGGAATAAAGAATTTCCGTCCGCAGATAAAAAAGCAGCTTTCCGTTTGTAGATTTCGGAAATTCCCTAGCCAAAATAGGTCGCAGCGAAACTTGGTTAGATGCTATAGAGGCTGGAGTATATCACCCTTATATGCCTTGTCTGACTTCCTCTATCATTCAAAGAAAACTCAATTTTAGTCATTATGATTTGTGTCGCTTTTATTCACGACATCCTAATTCCAAACTCCAACTTCCAATTCAAGCATATTTTGTTTACCTATTTATTACATTTAACATATTATTTTATTTGTATGAAAAGTTGCTGTGTGAGTAATGTAATAAATGTTGAACTTATACAAAATAAATCCTCCAAAGGTTCTCCAGTCGTGCTGAGAGTCTGATGCATCGTCAATGGGGTGGTCATCTTGTTAATATGACTACAGTACCTGAGGTATGGAAAAAGTTACTTACATAGAGTATAACCTGGTTCGATGTCAAGTATACATGCCTGTTAAAAAAACAAGAAGTACGAAAAAACATGTTAAGGCAGAGCAGTTAAGCAGACACGGTTCTGTGTCTGTTCTGATCAAGCTTTTTTATAATTAATAAAAAATAATTTATTCAAAAAATGAACACAAAGAATACAATGTATGAACTTAATTAACGTTATGCTTAAACAAATTATTTAAATATATAAGACGTAAGAAATTAACAATGGCAACTCCTAAAAGGAACACTGATTGTGTTGGCAACACTGACACTCAGTGGTTCCTGGTGTAACCGCTTTTAAAGTAAAACCTAACGAACATGCATTTAGAACTAATACACTAAACTTCTATAACAACTTATGCAATAAAAAAATCCTATTCTACAACAATCACACACATATGAATTATAAAAATAAAATTACACATAAAATTGAATAGAAAAAAATATTTTTTCACTACTTTCCTTTCCTACAACTCAAACAAAGACCGACAAAAATAGTTATTGAATTGATTTCGAACTTTTGAAAATTTTAAATTTGTATATATATTTTTTATGCCTAGGTCGTTCTTGCTAAGGAGGCCGGTCTAAGTTACGCAGCGGTAGCTCTCGTCACGGACTACGATTGTTGGAACGAGAATGAGAAATCAGTTAGTACAATGAAACATAATATATAATAGGATACTGATGTAAAAATCCTCGTTCTTCAATATATAAGAAAAACTGCGTTCATCACCGGAGATCGAACTTGCGACTTTGATATCGTAAGCTAAAACAAAACAACTCGCTATATTTAGGATCTCTAAGATCTTATATCCAAACAAATTGTTTTACCCAGGTGTGTGTAAGCGATGTACTAGAAGCGTTTGGAAAGAACGTAAAGAAAGCGGCCGATGTCATAATAGATGCTATTCAGATTATCGCAGCAACTACGGACCATTCTTACTTAGATTCACATAAGGTAAGCATCTTGCCAGGGTAAGGACCCTAAAAATTTCCACAAAAATTAAGCATAAGCAACAGATGGCGCCAGCATAGCGGATTTGACTTTACGCCTATATTTTGTTTCCTTGACCACGAAAGAAAGTCATCAATTTCGAGACGTCTAGGAAACTGAATTACCTAAAACATTTTGAGTTTTAATTTTGTTTTATATTTTTTGTCAACCTCAGGACACCTCTTACATGAAAAAAATTAATTAAATTAAATTTTGAAATCTACTTAACCGGTTTATATTTTTTTTTACTAGAACATTATTTAAAAATTAACGATCATTTAAATAAAACACTTTAACGGTTTAAAACGCGATATATTAGTTAAATTTATTTGAAAATGATTTTTAACTTCTCCCCGTGCTGCAAAGCATCCGAAACGTCGGGCCGAAGTTAAAAATCATTTTCAAATAAGTTAAACTAATATATCGCGTTTTAAACCGTTAAAGTGTTTTATTCAAATGTGTACTACTCGCGTAAACTATAGACAGTATTTAATTAACGATCATTTTATATCGCAGGAGTTGGTAGCGTCATCAATCATGCTGAAGGAATGACGAAGTTATAGTAATAAGTTAACTTTTAGCATTTGGGAATATTTTTACAATGTAAATATATATTTTGTCTGCAAAGCCATACTATGAAACAAATAAAACAATAAATGTGTGTAATTATTTATTCAAAGTCCACATAAAAATGTAAAATAATTATTTTTATAATAATTGCGAGAATTCTTACCTAGTTTTGCTAATATTACGTATTTAGACTTGTGCAGTTCATTAATATTTAGCACGTAGCTAAGTTTTCTACACGAGTTGAATTTATCTATGATACAGTCAGCAGAAAAACCGACGTCTTTGACGGTACACAAGTTATTTATACCATGTTTTGTTATAGATCGCTTAAGTTGGAATGCAAACACTTAATCGTGGGTTAATCTTTTCAATTTGGCTTTCTTCATACTTATACCGTGTGTCTCAGACAAAAGTAATGGAGTTCTTTCAAAAAAAAAACTTAAAAAAATAAAGCCAGACTTTGAATTTTGAAAAAACAAATAAACTTTAAGAAAAGACATTTGGAAATGCTTCAAAGCTCGTGTAGACTGTCACATCTCCATGTTCTTGCCCTAAACCACAACTCAGTATTAATCCTAAAATAAAATCTATTCATAACTGTCTAGCTTATACTTAAGTAAAAGATCATACTCTACTCCAGTCCACCTACGTCTTCTTCGTTGAATCTGTAAAAGAATTCATACATTTTTACTGCTTTATATTCTAGTTACTCTTTAACGGCTTAAAACGCGAAATTAACTAAACTTTAAAAATCATCGGCCCGGGAGCAGCCGTTTAAACCGTTATATATCTTCTCAACTTACAATGTTCAGTTTTTGGTCCATGGGTTGCGCGTGTGTTGCCCGGGTATCATGTCGAGCAGATATTGCCTCTGGGCTTCAGCCACGCGCTGCATCTCAGCGGCCATCGCAGCGCTGCTGTTGCCCCCTTTGCCGGCTGTCAGTCAACATAGAACGCGATTAGAAATATAACAGGGATATTGTAACATTACTTTTACTACGCAACGCAATAGTACATGTTTTTATTTTTAATTAGTTTATTTATCAATATATCTCCTCTCCTATATTAAAAAAAATAAATTATAATAATTGACTTTTGTACATTGGCATAATTATAAAGGAAATAGTGAATTGGCGAGATACGTACAACGCTTGCCTAGCGCGCTGGCTTGCGCCATAGCGAGCTGGTAAGTATAGAGGAGCGGAGAGAACTGCATCATGGCTGCCGCTGCGGCCGCTGGAGACACGCCACCGCTGCCGCCGGCACCGCTCAAGCCTACAATTGAAATATAAAATAACCACGTGAACATTACAAGAATAACAATAAGCACAATTGTTAATAATAAGAAAGCTACTACTTTCAAAAAGTTACTACGCAAAAAAAAAATTAAATGTAGGTATAATCGATTCTTAATTTTGTGTTATAATGTAAAAAATATTAAAGTTTTCAAACGTTAACCATTGTAATTTCACCTTCAATAATCTACTTAAGCTGCAAAACATAAGACATTTAACCTTAATGTCGTATTGTTAAGGTTCTAATTACATTGCGCGAGTGGTGCATGAAAAAAATCGACGATCACGTGTAGGACTCGGTAGCTCAATTGGTTAGAGCTACAGCTACAGAAACGCTAACGATGTCGTAATTTTTTAAAAATTTATAATCGATTTTTACTTTACTACTACACAAGTTACACACCTCTAAGCAGTTGATGTTGTAACGCCTGCATAGCCGCAGCACTGTGCTGTTCAAACGCCATTTGAGCTGCTGCAGCGGCTGCTAGTTGCTGCAAAGACAATAATATTAGTATACTATAGAACTCATACAAGCAAACTTATAAAATTTACAAATAAAAACATATTTAATGCCCATACTTGATGCTGCTTACTGCTACTACTGCCTCCTTGGCTGGTGCTGCTCGAAGATGACGCTGTGAAAAATACATTTTCTTATAATACACAGCTGACACATAGACGACTAAACACTTAATGATTGCATGATTTAATGTAAATAATCAAATGCGAATAATAAAAAAATATTATTTAATTATCACAATTAATTTCAATACTACCGTAGTTTAATTACTTGGGCTAAGCACAACTATATTAGACAGTTTCGGACGCGCGGGGCACAGAAGGCAGATCAACCATTTGCCAGTAAATAGTTAAACTGATACACAAATTGATCTGCCCCATACCCCATCATTTCAAACTTATTCTTTTAGATGCCAGAGCATAACTTATAACATGCGCAAACTCAGTGTTTACTCATGTATAGAAAGAAGCAAACGAAAAGGAATTAAAAAAAATGGCCGATAGAATTACCTTTACCTTTCTTGGCGGGCACTTCCGCCTCACGCGCGCGGTCTCTCTCGCTGTGGTGGCTTCGCAGCGACTCCGTCGAGCTGACGCTGCGGCTGAAAGCGAGACAGTGTTTTAAATCCTGTCTATAGTTTACGCGAGATGTACACATTTGTATAAAACAATTTATCGTTAAAAATGCTATATTATTAAACTACTTTGGAAATTACTTAAAATACGTTACGGCCCAACGTTTCGGATGGTTAGCAGCACCGTCTGCCCGTGACCACGGGCCTTAGTTAAAGTAATTTCCAAATAAGCTTGACTAAAATATATCGCGTTTTAAACCGTTAGAGTTGAATTTTTATTCACTATATTGTTTTATATAATCCTGTCTACTTATGCCTAAGTAACACATATAAAAACTTAAGATATGCAGTTAATTCGATTTTAACTGTTAATTCACTGGAATGCGATATCTAAACAATATTTTTTGTTTGTTAATTAAAAGGTATAACAATACTAGAAACATTTCGTTTACCTGTTAGCCTGCGGCGATGGCTTCGGCGGCGGCTGCGCAGGCGGCGTCGGAGGAGCGGGGGTTCCCCCACCGCGGGAAGACATACGCGTCAACGGCGTGGACTGTAAAGAATATCGACAATTCAAAAAAAATGACAAATGACTAGGTTTAATGTGGCTGATCTTTCTTTACATTACAAAATTCTGTATACTTTTGTGTCCAGTGCTTTTATCAAAAATTTAACTTAGGATTTCTACTAAGTACGTTATACTAATAAACTTTTTGCAGTTTCATTTTTCTTTTACTGTCCCCAGATTTTGTAAATTAATGAACTCATTTAGACCGCTATTATATACCGCAAAATTACTTTAACGAAAACTAAATAAAAATAGAAAGAAAAAGAAATTACCTTTTTTAGTAATATTCATAAATTGTAAGGTTTTCTTTCCCTATGATTTAGACTGTAATTTATTAATATTATACCTTATATTTAGTCTGTGCCACACACAGTTGTGGGCATGTAATGCATATCTTAAATACTTGCAGATAGCTTAACTATTGTTAATATATTTCATACTCTATAATACCCACTGGCCCTTTATAGTAAATAAGTAATTAGAGTAATGTAATGGAAGAAATATTATTCACGGATAAACAATGTTTTTCAATAATATTTACTTGTGAGTTCCTGTTGTGGTGCGAGTGCGCCGGTGGCGGGGCGGGCGGAGCGGGCGGCGGGGAGGCGGAGGGCGCGGCGAGGCGTCGCTCGATCTCTTGCTCCTGCTGCAAGGCGCGCACGAACGCCGTCTTCAAACGGGCCGTGTGCTCCGCCTGGAACCGGGATTTTTATTAGTTAATAATAATAAATATTCTTTTTAAAGTCTCCTGTATAGAAGCACTTCTTACACATTGATTACATTTCATATATTTTTATGTTCAAGTATAATAGTTATGTATACCCGAGCAAGACAAACTTAAATAATCACGGGTAACGGTTTAAAACGAGAAACATATTAATTCACTTATGTTTGTATTTTAAACAACCTAATCTGGGGCCTAGATGAATGAGAAATCACTATTATTAAGAAATGCAATGATGTCCCGGTTCTTTTTCATTAAATAACCTACGTCAATGGAACTTTTTGACTGGTTACATAAGATTTGGATTCTAAGACTAATTCAACGTCTACCTCTATATTAGACTCTGTAGCTAGATTGGGACATGTTTGTTAAAAACAAACAGGGCGGTCTCTGTACATGAGAACTATAATTTTAAACCTGCTAAATTGAAAAACTGTATTATTGGTAACCTTCAATAATTGGTACACACGTCTTGGTCCCTTGAGATTCCAATTAACCAGGTTTCACTATTACATATCAATAACGTTACCTTGAGAGCGCGTTTGACGTTCCCGGAGACGCACAGCTCGCAGAGGCGTCTGGCAGCCGGGGTGGACGTGGGGGCAGGCGTGAACGTCGCGTCCTGACGCCTCGATGGCGCTCGCTCCCAACGCCACACTGGCGTGAAGTCGCACCCGCACTGCGCGCATACAGCGGGCACGGATGAACGCGGGAATCTATTCGAAATGAACGAATTAGTTGAAGAAGTCTCTAGTATGCTACTAGTTTGATATATTAGTTATATTTTGAAGTGAAGTATTTATAGTCTATCTTAAATACAGTTTAAGACAGACTATATTACAAATTATTATAATTTACTTTTATCAGTTGGCAGATGAACCCCAGAAAAGTAGTAATTTTTAATTCTTATATATATTTGGTGAAATATATCAAATTAAAAATCCAACATTTAAATTGCCCGCCTAAATGCTAATTTTGCAAACTAAGGCTGCAATAGGCCTCTAGTGACCTCACGACCTTATACTGGCCATTGGTATATAAAGCATATGATCTACAATCTACATGCATTTTTACAAAACATTTAAATTTAAACAGTGATGGGATTAATAAAATGAGTAAAAAAATGTGAATTTTATTTAAATCAATTATTATTTTAACATACCTGACTGTTTTATTATTTCAAAACTTATACTTATCAGTAAACGGTGACGCTATATTTTTGCACTGTCAAATATCCAATTAAAAACCCCTCTTTTATTTACTTAGATATGTGCTGTATCCGTTTAACATGACATAAGAGTAGTTTCCAATATATTTTTAAAGCAAGTATTTACAGTCTGTCTTATACAAACAGTTTCAGCTCAGACAATTATAATTTACAGTTACTTGTTACCTAATAATACGATATAAAAGCTACATACCGGTCCTCATTCGTCAGATAGTCAACAACGTGCTCTAAGCCGACCAAGTAGACAAAGTCAGTGTTGCTAGGAGATGGTATAAAGTTCATTTCAGGCGGTGGAGGTTTGGGGGGTGGTATCTGAAAAAAAAATATGAATTTATTTGCGGGTATTTTAAACAGTTTGTAATAATAATAATACTATATTTACATATTTATATTAATTATACAGGAATTATAATGATAAAATCAAACTAAAGAAAACAAAGCTTTTATATTTATAGCCTACTTAATTCTTCGAGCAGGTTAAAATCCGATAAAAAAAATTGTCAAGACAGCAACGTCAGAAGAGACTACCCGGGCTACCCGACCCCCACCGGATCTACAATGTTTGAAAAATTATCTGAAACATATTGGACTTTACCTGTAACAGTGTCTTTTCCAGTTGTTTTCTCAGAGCTAATTTAGCGGCGGCTTGTCGTTGCGCCGGAGTCTGTGTATCCTCTGAACTGCGGGTACTTGCCTGTAACAATACATATTAAAGAACTTAAATATAATAATAATTGCGAAGAGTCGGCGTATTTGTACTACAAAGTGATAGATGATGTTCTTTACTTTGTTTAACCAGTACTCAAATGCGATACATTCGTTTTAATCCGTACCATTTTATTTTTACACCCTTATAAAGTACTAGCTGCGCCCGCGACTTCGTTCGCGTGGAATAGTGACTTGGGGTAGAGTTTTTAATTATTTAGGCTGTTTATTAAATTATGTAATTGCTTATTTATCGCAGCCAATTTATGACGCAAGTGCTACTTTACCGCAATACTCTCACCTCACATCACTCCTACTCTAACTCCCACTCCCAAAAAGCCAAAGAAGAAAGTTTCAATGTTCTATCTTCAAAAACCACGATTTTCCAAACAAACTTTCACCCCCCTTTTTACCTCTTACAACCCCCTTTTCGAAATAAAAAGCCTATGTTCTTTCTCAGGGTCTAGACCATCTGTATACCAAATTTCATTCAAATCCGTTCAGTAGTTTTGGCGTGAAAGAGTAACAGACAGACAGAAAGAGAAAATCAATATAGCAAAAACATCATAGAAGTAGACATCACTTTCTCATACTCACTGCATCGCTCGTGCTACTTGTCACCGACGAATTGTCCTGGGAAGGCTTGTAATATACAAATTTCCGATTTATGACCAGAAATACAAATACTAATAGAGTTTCCCTTTCAAAAAACATACTATGGAACATAGGTTATGTTTTGAGAACGCTTACAACCACAAGCTATCTTCGGGGCTCATGAAGTCATGATGTAAATAACTTGTTTATATTTTTATCTGACATAAAGCTTAGATTACCTAATGTATCACTAAATCTTGCTCTCAATACGTTTATATATACTAAGTTATATTGAAGTTGCAACTTAGGCTAAGTTGTATTTTTGTATGAATAATTACCTTAGCAGATAACTGCGAAGCTGGCGGTGGTGCGGGAGTAATGGTGACAGATGGTGTGATACTAGTGCCACCAGATGTTGAAGACTGAAATGACAAATGTATGTTAGATATAAACTGTATAATTTGTATTGAAGTGATCAACACCTATTTTAACCACTTCCATTTATCCGCTAAACATATGATCTCTGTGAGTAAAATTTTAAAACGGTCCTTTGAGCCGGATCATTTTGAAATATTTATTTAAAAATTGTACTAACATAATTTAAAAATCGAAAATAAATTGAAAAACATTCGACTCCGGCAGGACTTTAAACTGGCATCGTCAGCGTTCCGTGCTGTTTCTATACAAATTCGACGATTCGGGTCGATTTTTTTCGATATTTATTTATTAATACATGCACCTCTCGCGCATTGTACTAACATGTTAAACCATTAATACACTCTTCAAATTAAAATCTGTATAAATTTTAATCATATGTGATAAAGAGTAACAAACTTTATATTTCCTTAGAAGAAAAAAAAAGGATTTTTTAAAAGGTCACTCTACGAACCTGTGAGCGGTAAGGTCCAGGTGTAAGAGTGGCGCCCCCTGGTAAGTTCGCCGTTCGCCGAGACGTGTTGCTTATGGTCGTGCTGCAGTTATTTGCAGCACCGCTGCTGCTGGTACGCTAAAATTATTAAGCAAATAGTTTTATTTAATGGTACCAATGAAAATTTGTTTACTTTGTGTTAGTATTGACATCCTCACGGTTTCCATATCCATCGGATTTAACGTCTTGGATTTCGACTTTAACATCGAATTTCATAAGAAAATGCTAACACTACCTTGCTTTGCTGATGAGCTGGCGGAGGAGCTGGTGTAACGGTAACGCCAGGTGGCACAACGCACCCGCTACCAGCCAGAGCCGTACCCGTCGTCGACTCCTAAGAATAGAAACAATACGTACATACAAGAAACACCATCACACAAAAATTAACAACTATGTTGAGGAAGAAAGTTAGTTTATTTAAAGTAATATAGTTATCAACCATTTCAAATACTATATATAATATAGAGAGACTTTTGACCCTACTTGTCTTGTATTCTTAAGTTGCTAACTTAATTTATTATACAGTACATCGAGTGTGAATAGCAGGCCTACCTTAACCGGTGGTACAGTGGAGGCCTGTTGCGACTGCCTCAACTTGCGCAGGAGCACGAGCCGCGTCTCCTCGGCGCGTAATTGTTCGCGTAGTGTTCGCAAGCGACGCTCGCGCTCCCAAATCTCGGCGCTCGACAACTCCTGATACCACGGAAAATAAATCATAAATTTCTATAATTTATGAATAATAAATTACCTTAATGACCAATTGACTAAATTATCAAATGAACATTATATTTGAATATAATGTATAAGATATATATATATACCCTATGCCCCGGCATTGGCAATGGTGGTTCATTTTCCTCCTCTGAATCCTCTTCATCTCTTGGATCGCGTGGGGATTCCACGTGAGCTGGTATTGGTGGTACTGCACTGGCTGTTATTGATACATTAACAGGCGCAGAGTTCAGTTTGCTACTAACATCTGTAAACAAACAGAACAAATACTAATTATGTACAGAGTAGAGATATTTCTGTTACTGTTACCAATAGGTAAGATTTTTGTGCCTAGTGCAGTTTAGAATCATTCAAACTGGAATTAATAACATTGCACAAAAACTATGATGAAAAAAATATATAAATGTCCAATACCTGTAAATGGTGCTGCAGTAGGTGGTGCTAAGGTGGGTTTTCTATGTGGGGGTGCAGCAGGCAGCAGCACAATATCTGGACTCTCTGCATAACTGCGAGTCTCTGATCGGGGGCGAAGCACCCTTTTGCCACTGGCGCCCTTTGAAGATAAAATTGTGTAGTCAAACTATGAATCTGGTATCACTATTAATTTGACGTTAAAAAAAACACAAAATAATTAGTTGTGTCATATAATTGATAAATTGATCATGTAAGCTATAAATAAACCCAGAAAATTTTCTATATTTCTGTGTTAGTGTCTACTAAGTATCAGCCAAAATATTTTGTTAAATTTTTCAGTACAAATATTAAAATATATAGTATAAATAAACCTTGTGTATTGGTTACTTACTTTATTATATATACTCACCCTGTCAACCTTTTGCAAGCAATAACATAATTAGAATATAGTAAAACAATACTATAAAAACATTCAAAATATCTTCTAAAACACAACATAATGATAAATCGCAGTCCTTTGACTACTAAAGGGTTGCAAAATAACACATTTTTCAGGTTAACAAAGTAAAGGGTTAAATTTTAATCAGTATAACATGTCTAAATTACTTTTAAATGTTTCTTTATCAATTATGACAATATGGATTAGTTTTTTTTAAATACAAACTACAGAAATCTTATCTTATACCTTCTTAGTTGAGTCTTATGCAATTACCATATATTTTATTTGATTGAACAAACTATATATGCTATCAATAACCTAATCTCACTCTCTTGGGCAAAGGTATAATTTTATAAGGAGTTAAAATTCTTACATGAGGGGGAGGCTGCGCAGGTGTGATTGTCAAACCACTGGCTGTTAGAGCTCTCAATTCACTTAGCTCTGGTGGTAATGACCTGCTGAAAGGCAGGAAAATTTATTATCTATATAAAAAAAATCACCTAAATAAAATAGTAATAGTTTAATAGTTATGGTTTTTTATAATTTTAAGAAGATTATGAACAGTACAACTAACAAGTACGTATGCTTGTAAAACATTCAACAATTCATATAATATTTGCACTCTAATTGAGATTATTTTGATAAATTTAAGGTATTGTTTCTGTTATTTGAGTTATTAATAATTTATATTATACTGTCTTTTATCATAATAATTATTGTTAGGTTTATTTATTGTGTGTACAAATATTTACCTCACGCTGAGATCCACGGCGGAGTCATCCACGTCCATTGTTCGGACAGTTCACAATATACGAAATTACACAATCACCACAAAAATCGATAACGCCAAAATTAGATGACACAAAACAATCACGCGGCAAACTAACTAATTACATAAGTTTAGTTTCCTAATAGTTATCGCGTTTTTATTTACACAAACTTCATTTCTATGACGCACTTTATTGGAAAATGTGGAGATTTCAGAATATTAGTTTTTCGTAAACATCTCAAATTTAGGATAAACGGGATTATGAATGACACTTTACGTTTAATGCACCAAACGTTGACGTGAATGGCCGATGTATTGAAACCCAAAATGTATCACTTTTTCAAGATGTATTCATTCGCAACGACAATATATCATTAAGAGCATTTACTCATTATTTATAACGGAAATGCGTATACATTTATTATTTTTAATTAAAATTCAACCACTATCACTTCTTATACAAAAATAACAAATTCCTGAAACATGGCAATTGGCAGATAGCAATATGACAATAGCAACCGTAAACCGGATCTCAGATTAGCTACAGCTAGTGATTAATATGGACACAATACAAATTAGTTCGGTAATCGATCGTTTACAAGCATTGTTACTAAATTGTTGGTGAAGCCTTTATAACATTCCAACCTTTTGTTTTGCTTTTATGATATCTTTTACTAACATTTAAATAAGAAATCATCTTCATCACTGATGCTTTCCTAAAGCATAATCTTAAATTATTGAATCGAGTATTAATCGTTGAATGTTATATTTATGACAACACTATCGATGTGTGTTCATTCGGTTTGGTTATGTTTTGGATTATATTTTTTTATTTACGGATGTTGATTCTTATAAAAAATTAAAGTACTCCTTACTTTATGTGTAGTGTTTAAACGTTGGCTGTAAATTATTTTTGAAGCACAATGCCTGGTCCGGAATTACTTTCAAGTCAAGGATTGCGATTAGATGGCCGGAGACCTGACGAATTGCGCCGGATTCGATGTAAACTCGGTGTTTTTACACAACCAGATGGGAGTGCTTATTTGGAACAGGGAAATACTAAAGTGCTGGCTGCGGTGTATGGTCCACATCAGGTACTTAAATATAAACAAAGTATGGTATAGTAAGTAAAGTGTCAAAGTTCAATAAACATTTTATTGAACTTGGACATTTTTACTCGAATACAATCTATATTTTAACAGAAGCATTTAAATATGTATTTTAAATTATAATATATAACATAAAAGGTGTATTGCAGGCCGCAAAATCAAAATTATCAACAGAAGGAGTAGTGGTTAATTGCCAATACAGTATGGCCACATTCTCTACAAGTATGTATTTTTTAAAATGCTATATTCATATATTATCTTAAAAGTGTTTTTATTAGATACAAATATATTAAAAAATCCTTACAAAAATTATAGGCGAGAGGAAAAACAGACCCCGTGGTGACCGCAAATCACAGGAAATGTCGCTACATTTGAGACAAGCACTGTCTGCAGCAATAAAAACTGAACTTTACCCACGATCACAGATAGATATTTATGTGGAAGTTTTGCAGGTTTGTTTGTTGATATCCTGGGCTAGTATCCTGATAAACAACATATGATTTATGATTATGTAGGACTTAGAATGAAAGGCTACACACTTACTTGTAATAACTACGCAGAGGATGTCTACCACAAGAAGTTCATTTGACATTTAGTTTTTAAATAATAATTTTAGTAAATACATTTAATTTCTTTTAATATGACTTATTCTGCTGGACCAGTTCACTAAAAACTTTTCATATGTTTATCAACCCTAATAGTCTTTGATGGTAAGATTCTAGCTATCTCAACAATAATTTAACTCACGACTCACATTAAGCCTCTTCAACAAAATTTCTCTTTGCTAGGCAGATGGTGGTGCTTATTGTGCATCAGTGAATGCAGCAACCCTGGCATTAATAGACGCAGGTGTGCCATTGAAAGCTTATGCTTGTGCCTGTACATCCTCCGTGGCATGGCGAGGCAATCACCCAGAAGCTTTGCTGGATGTTGGTCATGTTGAAGAGGCAGCCGGTGGTGTATGCCTCACAGTGGCAGCATTGCCAAGTGTTGGTATGTTAAATCATTATATTTATTTAATTGACTTTTTAGCCAGAATAAGGCATAGTTCTTATAACTAAATGTAATAAACAATTTTAATTGCAGACAGCATAGCCTTGTTGGAAATGTCACATCGCTTACACATGGACTATTTTGAAGTGGTTATGAGTAGAGCTATGCAAGGATGTAAAGATATTGAGGTAATTTGTTATCAATGGGCATTTAAATTATTATTATTGCCTAGTGTACCATAAGATCCCAAAAGTATCCAATGCGTCCTGCATTGTGATAAAATAATGTTATGCTAATAACTGTGTACAAAAATGTGACTTGCTCTTATTGGGGACTGATGTTTTTTGTAATAATAACAATAAAAATATTGCTTGTTGACAAAACTATCCCCTTTACAGATAATTTTAGACAAAGCAGTAAGAGAACACCTGGCAGAAGGATGGACGAAGCCTGATGTAATAACTATATGAATTGTACAGACAAAAATAAAGATTACTTGCTAATCTGGAAACACTCGAAGGACTAAAATATTGTGAATGTGACTGTTTTTAGACATATTATATGACACTTTATACTTAAATAGGTTTATTAATTTTAATACCAATAAGTTAACTGGTATAAATATATATAGTGAATTTTTCTAACTTGGCAACATACCACAATAAATAAATATGGCCGATTTCAAATATTGAGACCTTAATAAATAAAACATTAAATAGACTTACATATTTATTAGAGATCTGAACAAAATATGAAATTAAATTATATGTACAGTCTATGTTAAGAACTAACTAAATTAGATGTAAGTTAGGTACACACTTAAGGTAATGTGTGATTAAACTAACTCCATAGAGTATATGCGACAGCGAATTAGTATAGCATATGCAAAACTAACACAGTATATGTGAGAAATAAATAAAATTGGATGCAAAAATCAGTCCATCCGTTACTTATGATTGCACTTTAAAAATAAATAGGTTATCTCTATATAAATAAACGTTTTAAACACGATAATAATAATTGTACTTGATAAAAAAATTGTTAAAAGCTTTACGCAGACGCGAATAGTACAACATCCCTTCTAAGGGCGCGAACATAGAAGATCGCTGAAGAAAGGCTTGAAAAAAAAAGAAAATTATCTCATTGTAAAAAAAAACTTTTGCTCGCTGCAAATAACACGGACCTCAAGCATTTGATAATTATCGAAAAAGTCGAATAAATGGACTCGTCGACGATAGTTTCTTCGAAATAATTTCTTCTTCAGAAACATAAATCACGAAGCATACAAAAGAACCTGGAATACGACAATTCCGATCTAACATTAGACTCCCAATTAATCAGAATTGATCATTAATCGAGTATTCACCCTTTCGATAATTATCAAACCTATACAAACAATACTATTACATTAAAAACGGCCCCTTAACAAAACCTATTTGCAGCAAACAAAAATAATTGTATACAGGTTGGGCTAGATATCAAGACAGCCCCATAGATAAAAACTTTGAATGTCTGTACATGTATATTGCATTAAATCTCTTTAAGCATGCAAAACCCATCCTGTATAAATGTTATCCTATTATTATTGAGTTGCTAAGGCACTCATCACTACATTTCTCTAGTTACCTAAGCATTGTGGGCGTAACGAATTGAGAAAACAAAAGTAAATATATGAAAACCTTTAGATAAACAAGAGTTGTAAGTTTTTAGCAGGGTCACCAATGTAAAACAAAAACCTTCAATTCCATTGTGGACTTAACCTAAGTGTATAATACGAATAAATGTATTTGACATCCGTATGGCCGATGCTAAATGATAATTACGTTAAAAGCTTGTAGTTTGTTAGTTCGCGACCACCTCTTGCTGTTGATCCAAATTTGCTGTGGCATCTGAAAGTAACATCATAATTACTTCATTTAAAAATGTGCCAGCTTCAAGCGCAATGGGTCACGATGCCTAACTTTTGTATAATGTGCTGGGTGATATGACAAACGTTCTTGAGTCTGATGTTTTATTGCCTAATAGAGCCTTCCTTGATAAATAAGTAGTTTTTGAGATGCGTGTGCTCAAATTAAACAAACTTACTTCATCTTAAAACCCTACAATTTTAGAATAAAGCAATTTTTTACTTTTCTAGGAACATAAGCATGCCAAGGAGTAGATAGTGAAAAGGATGTAAATGTAAGATACTAAAATATTCATAGAATAGCTAACCATTAGTCTTAACCGGTGAGTTTTGTTCAGAGCTCTTCTGCGATTCAGAGCTGGTCTCGCCCGTTTCACCGGCGGAAGTCGTCTGCAAAATTATTCAAATGATCAATGTCAATATTAAAATATCTACATTATATTGTTGTTAAAAAAAATACTTACCCGAGTTTTGTTGTTGACCCGTGGTTTCGGCGATTTTGGCTCTTTGGTCGGGTCAAAGTGCCGATCGAATATGTCAATCAACTCTTTTATGTCTTCCTCTTTCGCCGTTACTGAGAGTGCTGATAATTGTTTCTCTAAACCTAAAAGAAAACGCTCTCTTATATTCGGTAGTTAACGCAATGAGCTATTTGACAATGCAAAAAGTATCTCGCCAATTACCGGTCTACATATAAGTTTATAAGTAGTAAAACAGTCACATATGTTAGAAATAATAATGGATTTAAAAACTTTTTAAATTTTTGTCATGTGACACAAAATGCTCCTGATTGGTCAGGTTTACGACGTCACTAGCTTATAAACCACCATGCTTCCTAGTGTTCAATTCTTTGCAGTAATGAATAAATAAGTAAATTTGTAACTCATTTTATTAAGTATGATCGACACAACGTGTCGTCCCTAACCGTATGGCAGCGTTATTTCGCAAAATTTGCGTTGTGGCCATTTAAATGTTGGGATTTATTTTAGCAAATATGTATCAATGAGAATTCAAAAATACTACTTGTTTGGGGTTCCTTGACATCAATCATATAGCCTATCATATTTCTTTAAGTTTTATAAGCCAACCTATACCTTTATGAGGAATGGAATTGAACCTATTGCTGAGAGAAACTGAGAATAAGTAATCTCTGGTGACGTTAACTCGTACCAGTAACCTGTTGTTCTTGCCAAGCGTCCTTTAGATGGTCGTACAGGAGACCGGCGTCAGCGAGCAAGCGGCGCAATTGAGTGACCCGCTTGCGCTCCGAACGCGCGAGTCTGAGCAACGGCGCAAACACCGGCCTGAAGGTGTTCTGCCTGCGAACGTTTAAGACGGACTTTAAGTATCATACGGAGATTCGCATAAAATTGCGAAATCAAAGTGTTTATTTTTTAAGCTATAAAACGTCAAGCTGCGACCAATAGTCGGGAATGTGGAAAAAAAGGGGAAAATTATTCATCTTTTGAGAGTTTCTGCTGCGTACGCTTCGATATATAATATGGTTCAAGATATGTAGAATACTTATTTTGCGCATCAAAATTGTTTTTTGCAAACCTCTTTATCGTCTTATAAATTAAAGTACATACGACTTCGAGATTAGTGTGTTCAAAGAACAAACTCCCTTTTTTCATTCTTAGTTTTATAACATTAGTAGACTACATGACATCATCACCATTCTACCACCTACAGTAAAAACAAGTAAAAATATTTTACCTCTCCAGCAGCTTCTTGAGTTTGTCAAGTGCCTCCAGCTCAGTATGCACAGGTCGGGCCCAGGCTCTAGCCGTCTCTACCATGTCCTCACTCGCGTTGACACCTTCGCCGCCACCACCCACTTCTTGCTGTTCACCTGTGGGTTTTCTTATTATTTTAAATTATTCTATAGGGCATAATAAAAAAGTAGGGATAGTGAAAAGCTTCATCTTAAACAGCGCCATCAGTTTTATGGTGTTGTTGTGAAAAGTTACCAATGTTTCTATACTTTATCATTTTATTATGACATAGGATAGACAAGCATCATTTGATGGTTTGTGCAATACCCCAGCCATGTAATCAAGATTCTGGCTCTAGATATATATTTGCAAAGTCCACAGATTCAACACCAATGATACTTTAAGGCTTTTTCATCTGTGCAAGGTGATAAGTGACCCAGACGTAATTTACATACTTGATGGAAATAAACTTACTCTGTGATAAATGCTCAACAATTCTATATGCTGTTGAAGCTCTATCGAGGGCACTGTCCACTGACAGTGTGTCAGCATCAAGTAAAACTCTGGCCAGTACCCTCAAAGACACTGATTTTACAGTGGCCTTGCATTTTTCAGCCGCTAAAGCGTAGCTATCCGTAAAACCAGCCACTATCGTCTTGAAACGGTCCAATAGCTTGTATCTGAAAAATTAAATAGAATGTCGTAACCTTTCACCAACTGCGTAATATTATAAAAGATGTTTTTTTTATATTTGTTCAAAAGAGTTTTTATACAAAATCACATTATTTTGCTTTTGTATCCTGTACTAATTATAGAACAGAATAAAAGACATTTATTCAGAAACAACACAAGACATCTAACAAACATAATATACTATTGTTAATGTTACAAAAAGATATTGTCAAAGAAACTTTAATGCTTTATTTATTAGACAAATTTAAAATTAAAAAAAAAAAACAGTTTTTAAATTTGTGGAATTACTTCAAAACATTTGAAGAACTATTGGTTATATTGGATAAAAATTAAACTAATTTTACTAGAGCAGACAATTTAATGAAGACTCACCGGGTTAAAGCTTCAAGCAACATGGTGGGGCTAAGGCGTGTAGGTTCATGGTATATTAGAATAACACTACCGTCTCCTTTCTCTTTTTCTAGCCAATCTAAGAAATCTGTCAGGGCAGATATTTCAGACTTAGTCTTTAGAATCTGCAGAGAAAAATTCTCTTTAGTTTATAATATAAAAGTAGAAAAACATTTACGATTCCCCTAACAAATAAACACATTTAACGTTTTTAGTGAAACTAGGAAACTTACTCATTAAAAAACATTGATAAAGAATTGAACAAGAGCAGCTGATAGACGACACATACAATGGACATTTCGTTAATTCTTACCTTATGAGTAACAGTGTCTTTTAACATCCTATATCTTCCAACGGTGACAACCCTTACATTGTGTCTACGCCTTGCACCTGGATTCAGGTCTCCATATGGCATTATGTACTGAGAGTAGCTTTGCTTAGGAGTGTACGCTGCTATTTGACATATCTGAAATTGTAATAAGATTAAGTATTGTATGTTAAAGCGTCCAAATGTAGTTAAAATAAATTCACTAAATATAAGTTAATTTATTTTTCATGTGTTCTACAGACAAATACAATTACTAGAAGGACATGTTTTAAGAGAGATTGAAATAATTAAAGAAACATAGGTAGGGTTCCAATTTAACAATTAATAGGTGGGGTATTTAAACCCACAATCTGGTATTTAAACTACAATGCTGAGCAGACACAATTATAGTACTCCAATCCAAAAGAAACACAATTGTTCACAATATAGGAGATATAATATAAATAAAATCAATCAGTGGAAATGCCTGTGACTTGCTCTAGGTATGGACATATTTCCCCTATATGTTATTTATTCTAGCAAGCTACAAATTAAAAAAAAAAAAAGCTACAAATACGGTCACCTCATCAATTAACCTCCGACCAGTTGTGTCCATGTCCCAGCCGACAAGAGAGTACTTGCCAGGTGGAAGACCAGCTGGCTTCTCAGCCAGGGCTGGTAGCACCTCCGTGGGTGCATCATTTCCATTCACCTTAGCTTCTGATACCATTTCCATGTAAACTAATTAATAGCTGCAACAAGAAAAGTATTTTAGGAAAAGTTAAGCACTGCATAATACTATGGTTTAGGAATATAGATATTTGAAATGTGTGTATGTTCAATGTATTCCACTTGTGACAAACGGAAACCAATTAAATTAATTGTATATTCAGTCATAATAAAATCTAAATTCCAACAAAACATTTTAACATTTGTCACATAATAATGCACACATAAAGAATAAAAATACAAATTTTATAGTAAAAAAAATATTGGTTGGTATTAAATGTTCATAACTGCACTGTTAAAATTGAAGATAGTTTTATTTATTTTCATAACTCAACCCTAACATTAGAATATTGTTGCCTACCCAATTTATTTTTGTGAAATAACGTAACGTTTGCTGAACCGACGATTAAAATAATAAATCTGCAAGACCGAAATAGAATAATGTTGGCTAAGTGACTTATTTTTAATCTAAAATTTATACAACCTACAAGATTAGCACGCGCGGTGCGGTGCATTGAAAACACAGTCGGCGAATCGATCAATTCTAGCAACGGGGGCACATGTGGAATAACAGCTTTATAAACAAGAAATAATGTTTCATCTATTAATATATCACGCGTCATCAATTTTTATCAAGCTAAAAAAGGGATTGTAAATGAAAATTAATAAGAGAAACTAGGACACGTGGCGATCGTTTCTGAGGACATTTTGCCCCACCCCATAATGTCAAAATAAAACTATATTTAAACTCACATTTTCGTAACGATGCCCTAATTACAATACTAGTTTAACGACCTTAATTAAATAGTTAAAATCGAAACGATGAAATAACTGGAAGAAAGAAATATTTAAAAAAATATCACAATTTATACAATAGCACGTGTGCCGCGATCGGAAAAACGCAAGCGATTTTAATTTTTGACTTCTGTCATTTGACAATTTGGTTTGGTGTACGATAAGACAAAAGTTATATGTATTGAGGTAATGTGCAACAAGTAGATCGGAACACAAATATTACTTTTTGCGGATATAATGGGACAGGTGTGTAATTTGTTTCGCTAAGTTTGTAAAAATATTATTTCTATTTAAAAAATGTTTAATCTCAAGGAAACTTTTTTCTTTTAATAATATTTAATGGCCTGGTAACGAGACCTTTAAGCCAATCTCAAGGAAACAATTACGATTATTTGCGAAGATTTTGTAACTGACAGTTACAATTGACATCAGCTATTATTTGTGGATAAATGTTGTTTATATTTTGCTGCAATATTTACGGTTAATATTTATTTTTAAATAGATAAAGTACCTCAATGGATTAAAACTTCTTCAAAATGCCTAAGCCCACATGTGTTCAATGCAATACCAATGATTCGCTCTTGTGGCGAAGTGCAGAAAATGGTCAAATATGCAATGAATGCTATCTTACTAACTCTGCAAATAAAGAAATAAAATTAGAGGCGAATGCGACAAAATCAGAGGGAGAAGGTAAAAGGGATGAGAAAGAAGAAACTGATAGTAAGAATGGTAAGAGTGATGGTGATTCAACACCAGCAAAAGCTACAGGTAAGGGGACTAGAAAAAGTACCCGCGCTACTAGATATAAATCAAAAACTCCGGCTCCCACGCCAGCAAAGACTTCAGCACCACGTGGAAGGGGCAGAAGAAGTATATTTAAGAGACAGCCACTGAAAGCACCCACAGCCACTGCCACTGTTGTTACAAGTGATTCTATTTTTTACAAGGTTTGTAAGATCTCGACTGGTAAATGATTTAAATAAAACACCAACGCGATATATATTACTTAAACTTATTTTAATTTTTTTTTACCTTCAGTCTGAAATGGTTAGTGTTTTATTAAAATATGCACTACTCACTTAAACTACAGATGGTAAATGATTTTTATATTATCTTTTGAGAAGTAACTGTTTTTCCTTAATTTTCTTTATAAAATTCTGTCATTCTGTTAGCTTTATCGTTCATATATGGCTTTTTCATTGACTTATTAGCCAATGGGAAGTATATGATTTTTTAAATATTGTTTTGTTTTTAGGGTTCTTACATGCAAGTAGGTGACATAGTTTCAATGTTAGATGTCATGGGAGGAACATACTATGCTCAAATCCGGGGTTTCCTAACTGATCAGTATTGTGAAAAAAGTGCTGTTGTAACATGGCTTTTACCTACAAAGGCAAGTCCGCCACCGGAAAAGGGATTTGATCCTGCTACTTATATTATAGGTAAGTGAGGAGATACAAATGCTTGAGCCAAATTTTTTTTTAAATAAATAAATGTTAACCAAAAAATAATCTTGTGGAATCTTTTTTTAGTATAGCTGTGTGGTAGTAAAGCTCCAATATATGACAAATTCTGCATCAATAGAACAAATAAATCTAATAAATTTTCATAATAATCTTTTCTATCCAATTCTTTTATTGAATTTTTCAGGGCCTGAAGAGGAATTACCTCGTAAATTAGACTACATGGAGTTTGTTATGCATGCACCATCAGACTATTACAAAGCGAGCAATAGTCCGTATCCTCTCACTGACAATGAGTTGAACAATTACTCTGGTTTTGTATGGACTTCAATTGAAGCAAAAGAAAAAACATAATATTTTTTTTATAATCAAATATAAGCAAAATTAAAAATAAAACTAATGTTTAACTACTACTTGTAATTTTACTCTTTTTGTTTTTGTAATAATTTTTATTAAATTATAGATATTTATAAAATATGAACGAGAACCAAAATAAAGTATTACTAATAATCTCTATCAATTTATAAATTTAAGATTTTTTTAGATCATTTGAAGAGGAATCATTCTTTTATACATATTTTTGGGTAACTTGAACCGTTTTCGCAGCGTATGCATCTAAACCCACAGAGATGAAAAATCCCACCCCTTTGATTCTCGTTGCCCGCTGTATCTTCGCTTCTGTTAGTCACAGTGCGATGCTCTAACAAACACAAAAATATTTTTTCAATTCGAACCCGTATTTTCTGAGATTAGCGTGTTCAAACAAACTCTTCAGCTTAATTTTAGTAGATAATAGAATTTTCTACTCTATGAATTTAATTTATATATTTAGCCCCTCCTTATGCTTGACGGTGATATGTTATGTCAAATATGTCAAAAATGCTATAACGTTTCTATATGCGATAAACATTTGTTATTCATCTAATTTTATAATATTTAAGCGATTTTGTAATATATTCAATTGTAAAATTAGTTTTCTTACCACTTATTTTTAAGATGAGTCGCAAAGAAGCTCTTTCATCGTTTATTCAACAAATTCACGGTCGCCCTGTTGTAGTAAAATTAAATAGCGGCGTTGATTATAGAGGTCAGTATATTTTATGAATACTTCTAAAATTATATCTTATAACCAAATTGAGTGCGATGTTTGACCAATACATTTATTTAATACACTATTTATAATTATTCGCAACTCCAAATTACATCGGTATTTAAGGTTATGTTTACAATAAGATCGATTTTTTTATTGCTTATTCATACATTACTTGTGGTAACAATTTGCTTATTTTAAGGTGTTCTAGCCTGCCTTGACGGTTATATGAACATAGCATTGGAACAAACAGAAGAATATGTGAATGGACAGCTCAAAAATAAGTATGGTGATGCATTTATAAGAGGGAACAATGTTTTATACATCAGTACGTCAAAACGGAGAATGTAATTAGGTATAAGTCTAAAATATTAAGTACATTTTTTATTTCTTAATTAAAGGTATTTTTTTAATAAACTTGTAATTATTAATTTAAGTCTAATGAAAATCTTACACCTTGTAAATGTTGTACTAGATCTTTTTATCTCTGGTCTAAGTTTGCTCCTGGATATGTGTAATAGAACCTTACATCTCCATAACTCTGTGAAATAGATGGTGGACAATATAACCAACAATAAAGTTGGGTTTATGTTTAAAATATTTCACAAAATCAAGCAAAATTTGATAGACACAGCATTGTCTAATAAATAAAGAAATCATATTTCTTTTATATCTCATTTTATATTTTTAATATTGCATACTATTAATCATAAAAATTGTATACTTAAATACATTTTATACTTTACAAAGTATAATATAACAATACAATACCTTTTGTTCTCTTGAATCACTTGGTCCTTTGCCATTTCCCAAGTCTTCTATTAACTGTGCACCTCGATAGCCGTATTTTTGTGTGTATTCCTCTCGGAACAGTTTTCCAGCATCAGGATTATAATCTAAATCTACACGGTAGTTCAAAATCCTTGGATTAAACAGAGGCGCCCAGAAACTTGAATAAGTAACACCCTCACACAAAGCTAGGGCTGCCAATATTAAGAATATTTTTATCATCTTCAAAAAGGTTTTATTCATATAAATGGCCAGTAACAAATGATCAATTCAAGAGGAAATACTGGCAGGAGTTACAAGAGTAAATATAAACATGTAGCTATAGGCGAGCAAATAATGTAGTTTTGTTTGATGAGTTAACAGTTGACAAGGTCGACTTGTGAATCCAGTGTTAAGTGTCAGCAGTCATTTGATGTTAATCCTTTGCAATAACTACATATTTAAATTAATATCAAATAGGCACCATCAATCATTTTAATAAGAGATTCTAACATTAATTGCAGATCATTACATCCTTATTAAGAAACATTTTACGTATTAAAGTCTGAAAATCTTACCATGTAACTTCTTTGCCATTTAAAAGTGAGAGTAGTCAGGTTTTATTTATAAATTTGGGCCGAGCATATTGATCAAGTCTCTTTTAATGGTCCATTTGTTAAGAGGAATACAGACAGTTTGTTGCGAAGTGCTAGTAGGCAGATGGGATATTTAAATTACTTAGGTCTTAGAAATCCTACACTGTGACTATACTTTATTGCTTACTTATATCAGATGGCATTTATTAACAGAGGGATTAGTCTAATATTTTTACTTTTCAATTGTGAACCGAAAAAAAATGGCATGAACATTTCTTAGTTATATTCGTGAATTCTGCTTGTTTTCTTAAAACGAGTTATCAATACTGTAGATAAGTTAAGCGTGCTATTAGAGCCTGACCTTAAATACAGCTAAACATTCTTAAGAGTTATTAAGTGTTTCCTATTTTACGAGCGGCCTTGCACTACGAAAGATTCAAAACAGATGCGATATTAAGAATAGTGCGCGCGCGCAATAAAACAGGGCTTTTTAATAACATTTAATTATCACCTCTATAACAATACAAAACAATTTATAAACTCCACCTAACCCATAAACAATTATGGTTTAACTGATTATATTAGCCACTTTTAATATTACTTAAAATTTTTATTTCGTGTTACAAAATCGTTTATGATGATGTACATCATTTACCATGTGCATGTATTAATACTATCTAATCACATAAAATGTGCACATTGCACTATTAATTAAAATAACCCCTTCCGGCTTGTAATTTGTCACTAGTACTTTGTCTTTGCTAATGAATCCCTTCTAACGGTGAATAAGATTTATATTGATACAATTCAGGTCCTCCATAGCCATATAACAGTTTTCCTTTTCCATTCTCGTCGTAGTACGGGTATCTATATTTTGGCCTGAAAGGGTTAAACTTTTAAAACATTTGCGGGTAGGTAGCATTTAAGTTAATGAAAATTTACACAGCTTTTATGAAAGAGGAAGGCAATCATTGTTGGTAAGTAAAATACCCCGTATAAATTGATTTAAAACATGTTGGAACTGGTAAAATTGAATCCACGACCCGTTGATGATTGACCATAACCATTGCTACCATGAGACCAACAAGCTTAAAGTTTGTTAGTATCTAAAACAGACGTTTTAGATACTAATTAAGAAAGTGTTAGTTAATAATAAGTAATTAAAATGCGTATTATGAAAGTGTGCTGGTCAGTTCACCAGGATTCAAAACCCAGACTTTTTATGCGGTTAAACAACCAACTATCAATTTAAGGAGTACATACATTTAGCAATGGCAAATTCGTAAATTTTTTGGAAGAAGAAAGAAATTACCTTTCAAAATATTGGAAATTTGGTGCTCTGGGTTGAGGAACTGTCGATTCCACTGTTGTAAGCAGGGAAAATATAACTATGAGCTGAAAAAGGAGAAAGTAAAGCTTAGAAAATCCACAAGAGTTTTGTTATATTATACACAATTTTATAATACTTATACGATATAATGCGTTAATAAAAATATCGGTTTTCGATACAATTATATATTATAAACAACTGCCATCTATTGGAAACTTGTATAACTGCTAAATACCTCATGTACAGTTAAACTCTCGGGTTTTAGACTTATGCAAGTAAGGACCATAATTTCCACTTCTATAAATTAAACCAGTGTTTAAGTGAAACGGTTAAGACTACTTTTAAGGGAGATTTTTTAAATCTTCCCATGCCCCGTGTACATAGAAGCGATAGAGAAATATTTAGATATTTTTAAATAAAACAAATTAACAATTTTTCTATACCTATACGTGTTTCAAATCATAATTAAAACAAATAAAATAACACTTACTACATTACAACACTTTTATACGAATAAAAAAAAAGTAAAAACATTATGAAAGCACTTATAGAGATTGTAAATTCTAAAATAATATTTTATAAACACCCACCGTAATTGTGAACAGTTTCCAACACTTTTCCATTATTGTAAACTCCTGCACAACTAATTTCAAAAGCTTGGACGAAAACTTGTACGTGCGATGTTCAACGTACCGGTTACAAAACTGCTTGCTAGTTGGGAGTAGAAAGTGCGTTCAGAATGTTAATGATCCCTAATAACCGAGTTACCTGTGCTTATTTGTCCTTGGAAACTGTTAAGTAATGATTTTCGATTTGTCATTATATCTTAAGTAGTATGAAATCGTCCTACTTACTACGTCTTGAAAATTAAAGGTGTAGGTAAGGGATAAATAAAATTTATGTCAAAATACACATATTTGAATGGCTTCATACATTTCGATAAGCAATTTTACTGTTTAAGTTTTTAGTTTAAATGTTTCATTATAATGCAAGAAACACCGTTACTGTATATGGATAATCCTTAATAAATGTAAGTAGGTTAGTGGCACATACGTTATTACTTAACTTATTTCCTTTCGACACAGTGATAGCCGTATCTTCATTATTTTAAATTTATTTATTATATCATACTTCTACAACTAAAGATTAGGGGAGGGAATTCTCTATAAGACATATTTACGCCAACATAAGTCGCAAATAATACCGAAATTCTATGAAAGTGATAAAAGAAACTCAAATCTAATATCATTTCTTGAGAATTGCCTCCTACAGGTGAAAGTACGGTACCGTAATCTTATGTCATCGTGAGCGAACCACGACGCTAGTGTTTCTAGAATATTCTGTTTCGTTCTCACACAATATGCTTTTAAATAAGACGAACTTAGAAGTCAAGCCAAGTTTGGATTAGAATTGTGTCTGACGCAAAAAAATGTCTGGGCAAAGTATTTTCGATTATCAAGTAATATTTTTTAGTGACAAGTGCTGCCATAAATTGGCTCTTAACAGTCCCCTCGACCTACTTAGTTTGTATGTACTACATAGGGGATAAGGAATGAAAGAAACGTTATGATTATTAAACATTTTATTCGAAAAAGAAATTATAAATGACTAGAACAACCTCTACACCTACAGGCGAAGAATAAATTATTTTCTCCATAATCTATGTCAACGAGATTAAACAGATTTATAGTCTAAGTTACAAAAAACATAAGCTCTAGTTAAAATTAGGTCTAGTGGAGAAATTAAGTGGTACTTAGCAATAAAAATAGAAAACAATATTTTCTATAGTACTAAAAATTACTACGTTTGAGTATTTGGTATAAAAAGAACAATTAAAATAATCATATTTAAGTATATATTATAAATATTTTTGGATAATAGATATTTTTTGCAACAAAATGTATTAAAATGTTTAACAAGCCTTCAAAGACTATTTAGGCAATACAACGTATTTTGGACCAAACCATTTTCATACTTTGTACAAATAATTTATAATCTGCAAATTATGTTTTAATTTTTAAATCAAAAGCATACAGCAATATCTCTCTCCTTCTATCTTATTAAAACTTTCAGCGCTAGAGCGCGACAACGATACAACTAGCATTAATAATATCACAATAAACATTGCTTTAAGCATATCTATCCTATAACATAAAATGAGTACTTTTAACGTATTCAATAAAATAAAACCAAGAAATGGCAATAAAATGGAATGTGCTAGAATAATTCCTTATATGGAATGATCTAGAATTCCAAAACTTGCATACAACCATTCCATATTACTATCTATACATTCATTATTTTGCTGATCCTACCTAAAAATTAAAAGAAGTCGCATTTTTGTACAATATAATAAATTATACATATTAACATTAGAACTGAATTTTGTGTCCATTCACACTTTGAAGTTGTGATGCCATCCCGGCAAATAAATATAAAGGTACATTTGAAGTACAGTCAGCAAAAAATATAAAAAACAGCTTTACATTTGTAACGCAAGTATCTTTTTAAGATTTGTAAACCCCTCCTGTCCACACTTACCACCGTTCACTTATCACCATCAATCATCATAATTTCTTCATCATCGCTCAGCAAGCTTCTCGCTGTTCATCAAATGTCAATTGGCCTGACTGATGCCCATCAAATGAGCTCGGTGTTCGACGAAATCCATCACTTTTTGCAAAGTCGTACGCTTCCTTACCAACATGGCGGCCGCTTGTTCGAATTTGTGCTGGTTGCGTCTGATGTACGCATTAGTGTCCGTAATCATGTTTTTAATCTTCTCCGGGTTAATTTCATCCATCGCGCACTCTTCGTGGAGTGGTGGGTTAAAGCGGTAGTATGTACCGGGGGGTAGTAAGTCGTTTAGCGATAGATGGACACCTAAAAAATGGTTGACTTGTTTACAAAGTTAAAATAAGAAATAATTTCATTTTAAAATGTCTTAAAGAATCGAACTCGCTACGGGCAGCGTACCGTTCCTATGCTTTAAGCGTCCCTATCTTAAATAACAGGCCCTGATTTAAAAAAAAAGTCAAGTTTATTAATTAAATTTATTTTTATATCTTTCCTAATAATATATTTTCGAAAGGTCAACAGCACAGTAAAAGAAATTATCTTTCACCAAAAAATCCCATTTCTCAGTTATCTTACCTTCAGTATCAGTAGCTGAATCCAAGATCTTATTGAACTTATTCTTCCAGCTCGTTCCGGAGGTATCTTTAGCCAAGCCTTTACTCAGAAGCTGGTAGTCCAAGTGTTTGTTCAATGCTTGGCCCGTTCCGACCGAAATTATTGTGCTGTTCTTCAGCGAATTTCCACCGAAGAGCAATTTAGCTTCGTGTAGTCCTACAGCCGTTGGATTGTTAACCATTATGCCACCATCCTAAGGAAAATGATTCTTTTATAAAAATAATTGAGGCTTTTTTGAACTGTATAATGGTTCTGACAAGCCAGTAAGGCATATTTGTCAAAATCAAAAAAGCAAAAAACATGGTATTTTTGTTTTTGTTGCTTCAAGACGTTCGAACCTGATGCAATAGTCCATCTAAGTTGAACTCGGTGAAGTAAGTCGGCGCCGCTGCTGAGGCCCGCACCGCCTGCCACAGCTGCGCGCGACTCGTCCCGGGGAAAACGGAACGGACCCGGAATCCGCATTCGTAGGTGCGAAACAGGAATGGTGCGAGACGGGAACCGGAGTTCACGACGCAGGACACTACCGACATCTGTGGACGTCGGTAAGAAGAGAAGTATCTCATTTAAATAGGCTCGATGATCCAATCGTAACTTTATATTGTTACTGAGGAGTTTGATAAAAATCACGAAAATAACACAAGGGTTTATAGTAAAATATCTCGTGTATTTATTTTTTCGTCAAACGCGCGATTTTTAAACAAATGGTGTAGACATTTTTATTATGGTCCTTAATTTCAGAATAAAATAAGATTATAGTTTATACCTGTATTTATATTAAGGTAATATTCAGAAAATTTTAAGAACCTTTGTAGGTACTAAAAATACACGTGATGTTGAGGAGGGGGGAGGGGGGGTGGTCTTAAAACCTCACTACGTATCAAAAGTGGGGTTTAAAAATTCTAAAAAAAGGTCACGTGATTAATGGACAACCCCTTGTAAGATCGCGCTAACTAAATATTTATTTGCGAACAATGTACCGATGACAGGTTTTTCTTCAATAGTATTCTTATTGATAATACTATTATTATTACAATCTACCATTAGTTTGTTCACTGCACAGACTTACTTTGGGCATATCGTATCGATTGCACTGGGTGAGGGTGAGATCTTTCAAATTGTCTTTGAGCATTTTCTCCCAAGCGTCAGTATCGTAATAGGAATGCGTCCATACCAGTCTTGATGTACCTAAAAAAATAACCATTTTTTACTGAATGTTATATGTATTTAATTAATAAGTATGTCATTGTTTATTTAGAATATTGTATAAAATCACAAATTTTGGAAAAGGCACAGTTCAGAATTAGAATCAGAGTTTTTTATATTACCGTGCTAATAAACAAGATTCTCTCCCTTTAGTAGTAATAAATAAAGGTAGTAAATTGTAACAATTTATTAAGTATTATTTATAAATTATTTTGGATTGTGAATTGGAGAGAGAGAGAGAATTAGAGGTAAATAATTTTTAATTAAGTAGTATAAAGTTATTTTACCTCCTATTAGAGATGTGTTTCCAAACATTTGTTTTGACAGCGTCACATACATCTGATTAGCTGTTTCTAAACTTCCAGCGCCGCTAGCTGCAAAAAATATAGAATCGTTTAATTGTGTTTAAATTTTTTATGTATGTTATTAAGATCTTTTATAACTCATATTAATAAATACAATCGTTACAATGGGAGCAATGCCAAGTAACAATTTGCAATCTAAAATTATGCAATAACAATTGGCAAGGCTTAATCTAAACAAATGTATATAGCGTCAGACTATATCGTTTGTTTAGATTAAGTATTACATCGTTTAATTATTGCAACTTCAAATTTTTCCAACTACACTAAACAAAATAATATAAATTGCTTTTGAATTTTGAAATAGTCTTGTCTCATAAAAAAGTTGTACTACCCTCAAAAATATTACTTACCTCCCTGACACTAAACAAACAAAGCCTAGGCTGCCCCCATTGCCAGTCTCAGTGCTTAGATACAAATAAATTTAATTCTGTTTCTTGCTTCTTATAAATATTTATTTATTTTCATATAGAAAACTTACAGCTAAATAGCTAATTGTATTATCTGTAAGTGTAATAGCTGTATTTTGTAAAGCAAGTCGACAAATTAGATATCAGAAAGTAAATTAATAATTTTCGCTTGTAGATGAAAAATGTAAAGAGAATACTAAACAATGTTGAAGAAAGTAGTAGTTTACGCGAGTAGTACACATTTAACTGTTTAAAACGCCATGTGATATTAGTTAAACTCATTTGAAAAGTAGCCGTGGCCACAGCTGCTGCAAAGCATCCGAATCGTCGGATCGAAGTTAAAAATAATTTTCAAATAAGTTTAACTAATATATACAGCGTTTTAAACCGTTAAAGTGTTTTATTTAAATGGAGAAGAAACTTACCAATTACAGCGGCTATAATGGCGCCCGTGCTCACGCCGATAATGTAATCGAATAGTTCATGAACTTTCTTTCCAGTCAAAATTTCCAAATGTCTCAGGATCTCAATTGCGATAATTCCTCGGATGCCACCGCCATCTATCGACAGGATGTTGGGACCGCGGCTCTTTGTTGGGCCCGTGTAGCCCATTAGGGCTAATGCCTGTAATGAGGAAAGTAGGATTATAAGAAAGCTTTGTATTGATAACTAAAACAAAATAGCTGTTGGTCTAGTATTGGTATATCGGTTGTATATTAACATTATTTGATTAAAGTAATCTTGAAATTTTACGTGTAAAAGATTTGAGAACTAGTAGTCATACATTTACTAAATTTAGAGTTTATATTAGTTAAAGCTAACTGAATTGAAGTTTAAAAGGGTACTTAAATGATATTTGATTAAATATCAAAATAATTTGAAACTTTTCAAGGCGCTTTTAATGTTTAAGCATCAAGGATTATTTTTACCACCTCTGTAGCAAAATGTTTTAACATATTACCTAGTTCCTTGTGTTAAGCACAAAAGGTTCCGGGTAAAAGTAAATAAAACCGATCGGCGCAATGGGGCTACACTATCCTGGATTTATTTTCTGCGATTATTTTCCCATTAATTTAGTATGAAGATTACGAAGCCAAGAGTTTAGCTACCTCATTGACGATTCCCTTGACTTCAGCAGCAACTGTTAGGTCGTCCGATTTTATTTTGTGTTGGACTCGTAATAGAGCGCGCACCGCACCTTCCTGCCAAAAAAAAACAATATATAAGAAAATGAACGTCAATAATTAACCTTTATAACCACTTAATAAGCCTTCTTTATTATTACACCCGTACTTTAGGTTGCCTGGAAGAAACCGACAAGGCCGCTTTTTTTTACATGTTTTTAAGATAAGATTTTTTTTATAAATTTATATTATATTGTTTCTGCGCGTACCTTGATAGCATAATCTCTGGCTTCGGGATATTGTTGCAAATGCTCGATGAAGTGTTCCGTCCTCCGTTGGAGACACTCCGGAGTCTCGGCTGTGACCAGAGCAGATATGACGTACGCGGTACGGGAATGGATCGATGTCTGTTCAAAGGACAAAATGAGTGAAAGTGTGACGTCAATGTCGCGGTGGACACAAATTTGTTCTATCGATTTCTGATTCATAGCATTCACATATAAGTACTTGACTACTGTGCCCCGTCTGACCGAAAATAGTTATTATCGCACCCGGACTAGACGGAGTGTTTTATTTAAATGTGTACTACTCGCGTAAACTATAGACAGTATTTACAGAGGCGGTATTAACCTATAAGCTTAATAATTACCAAATATATCTTTAACAATAAAAAAATATAGTTTGTGTATATTCGCTCAATTAATGCCCAAGCTGTTTGCGTTTATAAAAAGTAAGTTGAATTTATTAATACCACACGCTTTAGAGCTGTTTAAATACAGAAAAATCGTCTTTAGGTATGTCGCTTTTCCAATTAAATTCCTAAATTATATTTACAAAAATATTATGTACCTGTATTATTATCAACTGCGCTTAACATAAAACAAAACAAATATATCAGCTGATATGATATTGTTTTGAGAAAGGCGTGATGTAAGTGAAACTAAAAATAACTGTACCTAGATGTACGCAACGCGGCTAGAGTTTATGAAAGCGTGTTTCATTAGAAGATATATTGTCTGAATTTGCTTGCTACTGTATTACTAACAGTGTATTATTTAACAGAATGCTTGTTCCCGATTTTATGTATGGATTACAACGTTTATATATATATAATTATTTAAATCACTGGTTGTGCTAAAATTTATTGTATATCGTTTAACCATTTTGTATAAGTATCAAATACATAACGCGAACGTATTAGTAACTAATACATGTCCCGTTTATTAGTTTATTACATTTCTAATTTTAAACCGTTAAAAGTGTTCTATTTATAAATATCAAGTAAGCAATGAGAGAATCCCTTCAGATTAGTTGTTTGCCCTTGTCTATATACGTAAGAACACCAGCATGTCTTAGATTCGAAATATTGACATCAGTGTCATTAACCAATAAGAATTTGGCTGGTGTGATAGAGACAGTTCAAAGGGCGCCCGATTGATTCTCTGCAGAAAACTGTAAAAAGGCTAAAGACCTAAGACGTACGTACGGCTGGATGATCAAAGTATTCATTTTTTTTAATAATAGGTAGAACAGCGTGACGCAATTAGTAACCTGAACAAACCTTAAAAAAATTGACCTACTCTCATTCAATCAAACAAAACATGATGTTTGCATGTCAATAGAATGTCATCAACTTCTTATCAATTTCTCTTTATTATTATGTTCCAGTGGCATAATATTAAACATAATCCATCAAAATACCAGATAACATCAGAAAGTTATGAACAAATAGGGAGTACGTGTTTTGGGCATGATGTCCTTATCTTTAGCGATTGTGCGCTGACGCAGAGACCTTGTTTAAATGGCATTTAATTAATGATAAAAACAAGTCTTTCATTAAACTGATATCTGTATTATATTTGCCTAACTCTGTAGCCTAATAGATTTATCCCGGTATATAAATTGTTCTTGTAGAGATCACAAATCTAATCAGAAACTTGTGTGTAATATATCGGTTATTATAAATGCAAAAATGCCATATCCCCATGTCCCCCATGGTAAAACAGGATTTGGCGTATACTAAATTCAAACAGAAATGTAACACAAGACTTGATTCAAAAATCCTTCATTCTTAATGCAATGCAAGTGATGTGATTTACTGATGAAGGAGACAAAGCGAAAAATAGTCGCTATTAAAAACACACAAATTTACCTTGGCATAGAGACCAATTATCATGAAATTATATTCAATTGAAAGGACGAAAATACATTAGTTGTGAGAGTTGTGTGTGAAAAGAATATTAGGAATTTAAAATGACTCGGTTCAAGTTTCTTAGGGTATATGTTTCTTTACTGAACTATCATACGTAACTTTAACAACATATACGTAGTTATAACTATTCATACCTTTGTAACTATTGGCTTGTTTGACTTCCAACTGGGCTCCGACATTTTCCCCAAATGCAAATCCTTCTTTAGTTTCAGACCTTCCCAGATGCCCTCAAATGTTATTTCTTTAGCCTCCGAACCAACCGTTAGAGCATCTTTGACTTCTGCTTTTTCTACACTGTCTTTTGTGCTTATTTTACTTTCCTCTACTGTTGTAGCTCTGACTGTATTTTCAATCGCTTTGGTTTCTTTAACTTTGACTTCTGTTGGTGAGAATCTGGTGGCAACAGCCTTTTCAAACTTCTGAATGAGATCTAAAGATAAAATAACAATTTAAAAGAAAAGTCATACTTGTATATTTTACAAAAATTATATATTGCAATTGGTGTAATAATAATCTTAGTTTCTTAATAAACTATAAGTAAATAAAAATTTATCATCAAGAAGTTAAATCTAATTACTTTTTGTTATATTACAAAATTATGTGATAAAGAGTCAGGATTAAGTCATTTGACTTAACTTTACACAAATAAATATTAAATTTATTCTCTTAATAGTAACCAGTTATCATGTAGTGATTATTTATTATAGTGTACATTGTACATTTAAGTACATTCAAGTATAACAACTTTTTATCATAATATGTTTGTGCCACAATTAGACATGAGTAGAGTTTATTACCACCTTAGATCATTTACAGAACTGTTTTAATCGAGGTCAATTGTACGGGCTGAAAGAGCTGATATTACTATATATTATGTACTTACTTTCCCATTGTTCGGGAGTGGCTGGTTTAATTCGCTGCACTAATTTTTCAACTTCTGCATTTAAATTGGTCATAGAAAGGTAATGTCTAATAGCACGCCACTGTCCCCCGAAGGACGACATGGTTTTAGAAGTTGAAGCCACGAAGACTTCAAAATAAAGATTCAATAATATTATTGTACTGGTTGAATGCGCTGCTGTCGGCGGTCACGTATGGTTAATGTTTATATACTTAGAAACTTCTCTAATCACTGAGATACCACTAGCGGGAACTTTTGCGAACTGACTAAAGTTACCAATAGACTAGATTTTACGTAAAACCTTGGCAAATAATTTAAAATAGTCAATATTATTAGATCGATGACAGAACAGCTACCCACTGACACAGCACTGACGTAAAATCGCGCGATCCAGGACTGCCAACATTAGCGAATCAAAACAAACACTGAAAAAGGTATTTTAATCACTTCCGCTTTCCGAGTGGAATACAAATGTATTTTATAAAACGAGTTATTAAATTTGTTTGTTTATATTGTGTGTTGAACACTTGAGAACCGGTTAAGTACTGAAGCTCGGCAGTATTTCACACAGGTTTTATACAGTAGTAAATAACAACTTGTTTGTGCGATTAGATTGCAAAAGTGCGACACGTTAGCCACACCTCTTCTTTGGCTCAATAATAACGTCGCGCACGTTAATAAACGTAAACAAAACATCGTATGATGTTTTTTGGCGCTATAATAGAGTGACTGTTTAATTTTCACACATGTTGAAGCCACTCATAAACAATAAATATCTTGGCACAAATGATGTTGAATATTTATTGATTATCTTATTCAATACACGCAATATCTTATTTTAGTAATTATGAAATTAATTTAATTAGGAATAGGTTTCTATTTAGCTGAAGAGTAAGACCATAGTAAATTGTTTTTAACTATGAAAAATATAGTAATTGACTACTACACGATTTAAAAATCAAAATTAAAAAATTTGACTCTCGTTGCTGCAAGGAAATGCCGTTCATCTCGAGTCGAAATTTTTTATTTAATCATTTAAAAAAAAAAAATTCCCCAAATGAAACAATGTGAACAAAAAATATATACTATATTGGTACCTGGGATTAGGACTATTTTGCTTAATTTAATACGATATACTCAGTTATGAGTAAAACAAATTGTGGTCGCTCTTTTGTTCTGGAATAGTTATTTAGGACATCGTAATATTATTTATTTTCCAAACCTTCTTTATAAAATATAGCTGTTACCCACGATGTTGTCCGCGTCTCATCATTCTGGTGAGTTTATATTAATAGACAGCCATATACTATCGCGAACATTTTTTAAGAACAATTAATGTAAAACATGCTTGCATACGTAGTCTTTTGGTTTCTTGAATCGTTTTCAACACGCAAATAATTCATGAATTCGAATGGGTAGTTCCTGTGATTAGTGTGTTCAAACAAACAAAAAACTCGTCAGTCTTATATATTAGTATAGATGTAGCCTGCATATTGTCTAAGAATACATAGATTGTATTCGTTTCAAAATATTTATACGCCGCCTTTAACTTTACGCGCATTAGTAAATTTGTTTGTGCATTAGTTGCCAATTGTTATAGTTTGCAATAATATTATTCTCCGTAGGTAGATAATATTTACCAGTTATAATTTATTTATAGATAATTAGTAAGCAGCTCGTTACGTTTTCATAGGTTTAACAAGTCAAGCTAAAAGAGCATTTATTCAAGAAGATACACTTATGAACGTTACATCAGTTAAAACTAAAGACTTTAAATTTTCATTTAATAACAGTTCTTAAACCAAGGGCGTAGATCGAACGAGAAGAACTGGCAAGAAACTCGCCCCCACTCCTTTTATCGCCAAGTTTCAATTTAGAGTCTTAATTGGGTTGCAGTCCATGTTATTTTCTCTCTTATGATTTCCGCTGCTAGGACTTGCGAAGGTAAGTACATTTTATCATAAAAATATTTCCTAAGGGAGATAAGAATGATCAATTTCTATTTAGGAAATAAAAAGTAGGCGTCAGAACAAGGTCAATAATGCTACATAGATAAGAATTCGCATAGCAAATCCGCAAAATCAAGGACAAATTCTTATTACGCCGTATTTAAAATACCACTGCTGGTATCGACATCGATAAACTATTCTACAGATAAGTAATTGTTTAAACAGATTTATCTTTTGCTTTTTAAAGTTAAAATGTAATGTGTGTAGCAAAAATAATTAAAATTACATTTCTAATATTGGAAAGGTATTTTAAAAATGCCGCGTACTTGATACAATGGAGGTTGGTAGCACTGATTGATAAAAATATGGTACATAGACTATAAAAACATTGTTGACCTTCAAATAGAATACAAAAGTCTGACTGGATATAATTGTACGTTGGTTGGTCTCAATCGTGAGGGGATCATGGCCCCTTCTGAGATAGTTCCAGGCCTTAGGTGGACCACTATTTGATCACATTGATTTTATTCACAATTAATTTAACTTTTTCAAATGTACAATTTAGAATGAATACTTTTAAGTACAGTACGTTTACGTACTATGTAGGTATATAATTGAAATATTCACTTTTATCTATTGTTACCAAAATTAAATTAAAAGTCTTGACTTGACCACGACTATGCGACCCCTTCCTGGCGCCCTTGGTCGATACTGACTAGATTTGATTTATTTTAACAATATCCCTACGTCACGATAGAGGTAATTTAAGGTGGTAACTAAACGGGATAAGGATAATAAAAAAACGCCGCGGACACAGGCAATAGAATTTTAACTCTGACATTTCTTACTACCTGCGCTTGCGACTTATTATCATAAAACAGCAGCATATATTTACTAAACGTAACAAGTACATTAATAACATAGCATGTTTATCAGGTATCCATATGCGTAACTAGTCACTATTTTGCATTGTATTAAATAATTCATACAATTCATACTACAGAGTTTCAATCTACGCTACATATATTTCATGGGGTGGCAAGTAAATTTATATATTCGTAAAGGAATGGATTGCCAGATATTGGTAAGATTTTGAAATAAATTAAACTTAGATATTTTTCTTGGCACATAGGTTACTCAACGTTATTTAAAAAATAAATAACAGATAATATTACAATTGTTTTTGACAAAACAAGACGCACTAAGTTTTGTATTTAATATCTTCCAGATAGCCTTTTATAAGAATTCATCGTTCCCCTAGCAAATAACTAAGCCACTTTCATACAATAATCAGTCTTTCATCAATTGATACAAGATAATTCGTGTGCGTTCAGTTAGTGCGACGTTGACAATGTACTAGGATAAAGTGTAAACTCCATGTAACATCATTAGAATTTAATAAACTTAATGTAGTCACGTGGGCCTGGTTAAAAAAACAATACATATAGAATTATTCAACATTCTCAGTTACGATGAAAAAAGTTCGAGAAGCAGCTTTATAATAGAAAGTACATTCTTGCCATAACTAGACTTATTTATATTTTTATAGTCTCTTTTAATATTAACAATTTTATCTTCAAGAGCACAGTGATCTAAAATCGTTAATAAGCCTAAGTTGTTTGGGCATTTTTATTTTCCTCCTTATTGAAAATAATATTTTTTTATTAGGCCACTCTGCCCTGAACTGCACTCTGAAGTATCCTCAATTACTCATGCAAATGTCAGGCGTAAAGAAAACAGACTATACGCAATAGTTGTTATTATGTTACTAGTAACACTGGCCTGAAATATTTTTTTCTTTTTCTAACAAAAATATTCTCTCCATACAGAGTCAAAAGGAAGACGTTCTGTGGTGTTATACAGAATTTACACTATATTTTTTTAAGTAAATAATGTTTGCTTTTTTAATCTCGTTGTTCGAAATGAATGATTTTATGTCTATGAATGTTTTCTATGCTAAATTTTCAATCTAAATAAAAGTTATTGCGGTTAGAAAAATTAATTGATGTTGCGACCAATACAATCGTTCTAAATTGTATATATTGTAATAAATGGTCTAAGTAGAATTCTGCTAAGTGAATTTGTTCAGTGTATTAAAATTACTAATTATATACGTTTACATAAGTCTATTTGTTTTCATTATTTTCTTATATCTCGGAACCAGTTTTCTAAACGATTGATATAAAGGTACATTGATTGTTCATTGATATATTTGAAAATATCTTAGACCCAATTTACCAAAAATTATGTATTTAAATTGGTCGAAGATGATCATCTTTTTTATGACAGTGAAGCATTGGATTCGCTTGCTCAGCCATATAACATCTCAACAAGATGTGCTGTCGACCCATATTTTGTCTTGATATCCACAGAATATTCATTTTTAGATGGTGGTTTGTAACCATTTCGGAGTTTTGACATCGCTACCACCACAATTGATATCCACATTGTCAGATGAAGTCCACCATGTTTCAGAACAATTATAAATTGTTTAGAACACGAACCCGATGGGCATCAATCCCATAATCCGTTGATTATTAGATACACGTTGCTATCATTAGAACAACAATCGCTGTTTGGTCATTCGAGTTGACATTGAAATTTTATATATCATCTTTTTTTCGTGAAATTGGGTTCCAAGGATGACATAATCGGTTAGACGGAACGCAAATATCAATCACTTGCCATCTTAACTAACCGGTTAATATCATAATCTTACAGTTTTGTAATTTCACTGGTCTTCCAAGTTCTTGCCTTAAGTGGTCAAATCTGCACAATATTCCGACAGTGTTTGTAGGCCGTTTCGTCCGACTACCCTCGTGTTATAACCAGATACAGCGGGGTTGATGTGTGCGTTGTGAAGCTCTGCTACTTGGGTGGAACAGGCCGCAGCTGGGTCACCAGACCCCTGAAGACTGCCAAGCCTAGAAAAATAAGATTTTAATGTTAGTTTTAATAAGTTCAAGATAGAGGAGGACAGACAAGTAATGGGTTCCCTTTATGGTAGGTGAACCCGATGGTACCCGAGTCTATAGGATCTAAACGCGATGCGCTGTTGACCTATTTTGGCTTTGGGCATTCGGAAGTCCACAGACTGAAACCGAAACGTGAAAAAGCTTCACGGCTTTTTCATCTAAGGACGTTGTGGGCTGTTTACCCGGACGGAATTTAGATATTCCTACCATCCGTTGTAATATACAGATTTTCAGACGACGTGCAACGCTTTCGGAAAAATTATAAATTGATTAAAAACATGTTGGGACCGGCGGGGATCGAAACGACCCGTCAATTAACGAGTATAAATAAATTGAGTATATCTTTTTCTTCTCTCCTAAATTGTTTCTTGATTCTCTACTAACAACAATTCAGACGTTAACTTTATAAGACTAGTTTTAATACTTTAAACAGGGCATCTTGTGATTTTAAAATATATCTTAAGAGTCAGTGGGAATTATTCGTTACAAATACACTGAGAAGGATTTTTTTCAGCGGAAATTCATTCTTATATTATAATTTGTATCATTTCAATATGTCTCACCAGAATTCGTTGCCGGGATGTGCATTGCCATCCCAAGGATAAGTCAACACTAGAAGTTTCCCTTCGTGTTCACCTGTCAACTTTGCGGACGGTTCACGTTTTTCAATTTGCACGTTTATGCCACCTGCAAATATATATATAAAATTCTTTATATGTTCCTATGTTAGAGGAGGACAGACAAACAAAGTTCACTTGTTGATTGGTGAAATACCCCAACTTAACCAAATGAAAGATAGGATGCATTCAACCTTTTTGGCTTCAGATTTTTAAATTGAATAGATTTTGACAAGACAGGACTTGAACCAGTATCCACAGCTTACCAAGCTGTTGCTTTTTGGTAGCCTTATTGGTAAGAGATTCTTCACCAATGAGGCTTATTTTATTTTATTGTTTGTCAATATCCATATCTACTTGTTGCCCTCCTTGATATAACAAATTATTGGGTTTATCTAGAGTCTGTCGCGATAAACTAAAGAAAAGTAGAAGTAAATAAGAAAAAAGAAGTGAATGCGAGGGATATTGTGTAGGTAAAAACATACCTTGTGGATGACGTTTGCTCTCAAAGAATATTCTTTTTTCTGTAGGGGAATCCCCTGATCCAGACTTACGACTAAATAAATCTGAAAAAAGAAAAAGGTTATCTTATTTTCATAATGTCCATAATGGTAACATATAAATATATTCATTAAAAAAATAGGAATTCACCTAGTATTGATTTGGTCGGTTTTATATACGAGAAATTGACGTCAGAAACATGGTTCAAGAGATCCTTCTTGAGAAATGCTCGGACTCGTTCCAGGAACGTTAAAACGTATACATCCGTTTGGTGGGTGCTCACTTTCCAAACACCTAATCCTGAAATGATAAAAAATCCTTTAGATTCCGTCCCTAAGGCGCAATATAGGGGAGATTTAATGGTCTGATAAAATGTAAGTGAAGACCAAAGAATACACAACATTTTCAAACAATTAAATAAAAAACTTTCACAGTTTAAAACGCGAAATATGTTAAACCCATTTAAAAATTATATCAACTATGGCTCCACGTTTTGGATGCTTTGCAGCAGCTGTGTTCACGGGGAGACTTTTCAAACATAGACTTTGTCTGAAAAATATATACATTAACGTGGTAGGAATATCAAAATTTAATAAGTAAGTAGGGGCGAAGAAACAGTAGGAAATGTGGAAAGAACGGTAAAAAAAATTAATCAATGAGGGATTCCGTTGCGTGCGCTGCGAAAACGGTTTCAGAAACCAAAAAATATATATAAATCTTATAAAACGTCTGCGACAGAATATGTGTATATTTTAAGATTAACTTACAATAGCTGTTTTATGGTAATCAAATTTATGGTAAAGGACGTTTGCCAGGTCAGCTAGTCTGTCCATAAAATAACAAAAAAATAATCTCACTACGCAATCATTAGCTGCGTCAAGAATAACTTTAAAATCTCGCAACTGTTAATATAAGAAGGTTGTAATAACTTACCACAACCAATGACGTTTAAGAACACCCTCCCATCCCCCTCTCTCCCCCTCCACTCGGCTTCAAGCAGAGAACATTCAGCCAAGACACTGATCCGCTTATAGTAAACTTTGTTATCGAATATGCCCCTGGGAGTCTTCACGTATCGCTCTAGGTACTTCTTGTCGTCGGGTTTGTCTGTTATGTTTACATATGACGTAAGCTCTTGGTGAGTGTAACTGTGCACCTGTAAAAACAGTTACCGGGATTATTAGTAACACAACATTAGTTTAAGCTAAAGTGAAAAAAAACAAAGAAGCGATGGTAAAGTTTTACGCCATTTTAATATTGTTTGTAACTCAGTCAGTACTTGTTGAAGATGTAAGTATGACCTAATAATTTTGCACCTACCACTAAGTGAAGCTAGATTACAAACAACTCACTTGATAGAACTCTGACCAAATCTGCCTCCACATATGCTTAGCGGACTGGTTATTCTTGACATACGTAGTCTTGAGAACGTTAAGGCAAGTGGTCGGCGTAACTTCTTCGCCGTATCCGTTCTCCAATGTGTTCTGTTGCTCCGTTATTAATATATCTTCATACTCCATCCTTTCGGGACGTTCGAATCGTGGGCCAACAAGACCTAGTAAGAAAGAGGTTAGTTGGTCACGGTTTTGAACTTGGTTGGTTATGAGACGAAATCAAACAAGTTATAAGATTTTTTTATGGTGAGTCGAAAAATAATCAAATGACGATAAGATGGTTTTGTTTCCACCCAATTAATATAATTAGAGGGGGCGGGGGTTAAAAGTGTTCTCAATAACGTCAACTAACACTTGAAAATCCAAATAGAAGAATGATTAACACTATTCTTACAACATGAGGGCGACATTAAATATTATATTAGCTGAAGCAGGCTTATAAAAATGCAAGGCTTAAAAATAAAACAATTTTAACGGTTTAAAACGCGAAATGTTAACCCCGTAGTTTCGTGTACCGACCCCCACCCCATTAACATTGCTCTATCCACCTACCAATTATAACAGCTTCTTCCTCCACATTATCTTCATCTACAATAGCTTTATTGTCTCTGTTCCCATTGTTAATGCACTCTGTGTAACCAGTCACATACACCATAGCACTGAGTTTGATCTCATCGTAACTTAAGCAATTGTCCAGTTCTAATGGTGGCTTCTGCTGTAATGTACCTATTTGTTCCCAGCCGTCATTCCTTTAAAAAAATAAAACTAATTTATAATTACCTCGAACCGAACGCATACCACCAATGCCTATTTTAAGATACATACATACATCTCATGATGTGAAAGAGTTATGATTTTATTAAGAGGCTACGTTGGTTGGGCTCGTTGGTCTAATTATAGCATTGTACGGCAACTAATCAACGGGTCGTGGATTATATCCCCACCGGGTCCAACATTTTTCTAGTCAATATATAATTTATCTAAAACTGGATATTAAATGGGTGGTAGAAATAACGAAATTTCGACCGGTTCGCGAATCACCGTCCACAGATGAAAAAACCGTGAAGTTTAATCAGGTTTCGCTTTCAGTCTGTGGATTTCCAAATATCGAAAGCCGAAATAGGTCGACAGCGCACCTTGTTTAGATGCTATACACATACATATCAGAATCCCTACGCGCTTCATAGTCCATATCTATAGTCTATAGTTTACGCGTGTAATACACATTTAAATAAAACACTTTAACGGTTTAACTAATATATCGCGTTTTAAACCGTTAAAGTGTTTTATTTAAATGCCTTACATTCTACTGAGAGTTTTAGAAAATTCTTACCCATTTTCACCAGTCAGTAACTTGTAAGTATCTCGCTTGGACATAAACGTTACAGCACGCTTCTTCAATAACCTATCAATAAATTCAGGCACTGTCATATTGTTGTACAGAGCTTTTTCTATTGATGAACCAAACTCTCTGAAAAATGATTGTCTTATTTAGCATACACTATAATATAGTATGTATTATGTATACACATCCTCCTTGGAGGATATAAGCACACCAACTTTGCTTATGTGTGCGTGTAGTATATGCTGTTCTATGGGTTAGTAGATTATGCGCGGGCGCAGAATTTTATTTCTAGTCTTTTGTTTAAATTAAAGTGTATTAAATACTGTCTGTAGTTTACGCGAGTAGTACACAATTAAAACAAAACACTTAAACGGTTAAAAACAAAAAATATATTAGTTAAACTGGCCGCGGCCACGATGAGACGGCTGTTGCAAAGCCTCCCAAACGTCGGATCGTGTTTATAATGACTTTTAAATAAGTATAACTGATATATTTCGCGTTTTAAACGGTTTAAGAGTTTTATTTAAATTGCACTACCATTCATAGTCCAATCATAGTGCAGATTAAAACTATTTTTGAACAAGTATATACCTATACATATCTAACTTAACATTACATGTTTTGACATCAAGAACTAAATAAAATTGATATAACATAAAGTCTGATCATAAAACATTAACTTTATAACAAGATAATGTTTTATTGAATTGTAAGCGGAATAATAGTCTATACATTACCTTTTATAGATAAGAAAATGCGTCATTAAAAGCAGTACTCTCTCGTGTATAATTGGATATGTTGACACAATGTTTCTTTTTAATCTCTCTAATGGCTTTCTTTCTCTGAGTTTTTCTAATCTGCAAGTAATTACATATTTATGACTACCTCTGTATCCCAAACATGTAGGTGTTTTAAGTTTTGGGTGTTCGAATCGTATAGAAAGAATAAGTTGGTTTAGTTGGGCACAGCACAGAGGTCTGATCAACTACTTGTCTGTCAACAACAGACTCAAATATTCAGGGATTGAACTTTTTAATTACTGAACTGCCTCTGTGGTTCAGTCTTTATTGCCTTTAATGAGTGTGTAAACTTTGGCGATTTTGTTAACGAAACATAATAATAAGGCAATAAAAACCATATAAAAATAGATTACACGAAGTCATTGCATCACACATTATAGCTATTAGATATGTCGCAAACATATTTGATAATAATGATACAGTTTTAATAAAGTAAATATTAATAAATAAACCTTGAAAGATATTAAGTACTACTATAATTAACAAGTATCAATTACTCCAATGATTAGTGATTGAATTCTAAGTGATGATATAATAGCAAAGTGATGTACTTAGCAGGAGAACATCACTAATCTAATGTTTAAACAAGACAAGAATATTTTATCATTATATATGTTGAAAGGTAATATTAGCCAATTTTAATATTAACAATGTAACAAAACTGGAAAAAAATTACTTAAGAACTTAAGTTAAAGTAATTTGATAGATGAGACAAGGGACAGTGTTTCACTCGGTGGAAGGTGATTTATTAAAATCTATACAAGATATGTATGCCACACTATTTTGGCTTTGGTAATCAATACATTTGCTACCAATGGACCATGGTTGTGGATACTTTAAACCCACCTAAAGTCTCTGATTCCAGGATTTTAAGCAAAGTCAAGGAGGAGTAACAATACAAATGACTACCTGACAGTATCAACGGGAAATGGAACAGGAAACTCCTTGCTCCTTTGTATAATTTCACTGACATCGTCATTCAGTTTAGCTTCTGGCAAATCTATGCATTGCTTTAGTAGGTCATTCATCTCTTTGCCCATGCTAGGGTAGCACCAGTCAGGTTTGCACCTAAAGAAGTAATTATAAATAAACTAAAATAATACATGTAGAAACATTATGCAATCAAATTATTAAAAGCTGGTTAGAAACAGAACATGGTTTTCAATGACTTATTCACTCATTGGAATCTAGTGGATTACTTGTATGGATTCAGTATTGGAATCATTTATTTCTCAGTTACACATACAAATTACATTACTTGAAATGCAACAAATGGTACTAATATTAAGTTTATAACAGTATATAACTACTTAAGCATACAAAAGAAAGTGAAAATAAAGTAAGAAATAGTAACTTTGGTGTAAAACGAAATCTTAAAATGGAACCGAAAATTTTTGGGACAATTCGTAAAAGTTTACGACTATTAAGAAACTCTTAAATACAATGTTGATAAAACATTATATAGTTTTTTAATTTTTTCAAAAATTTCGTGGATCTCCCCTAAGATATCATATCATTTTTTCCTCTATGTGGGTTTTTCTTATTGAAGTTTTTGAGTGTTAGATCGGTATTGCGTTAACATTATAAGGAAAATCTTACTCACCAAGGTATACTTTGAAATTGACGTAGAATATCCATTTTATGTTGATTTTTCTACAAAGAACAAACAGTATTAATGAAACAGTACATCTATTTAACCACAAGAGCATTTAATAAACTTACGAATACTTTAGAAAAAGAAAGCGCATAATAGAAACAATTAAACGAACGCATCAATAAAAGAAAATTAACAAATAATTATTCACAAAATTCAAACTAACTTGTATCTCAAGTAAATGTGGAATTATATATCTATAATCGTTGATAGAATTTGTTTTCAATATTTATTTGAAGACAATTTATAAATTATTTTAAAATTGCAATGCGAGAGCCTAGAAACGATCACCATTTACGAAGTGGCTGTCAAAGATGACAGAATAGAACGACTTATGACATTTAAGGCGGTTTTAGATATCATTCTGTTATCGTGTCATAAGACAGATAAGATATTAAATTTGACATAACTGACAGCGCACAGCTGAGTGTTGACTTGGGTTTGGCGGGATTTACGTAAGTAGTTTAGTTTATTATAGTAAACTTGTTTCAAAAAGTTAAATTGAATGTGTGGATTAATATTTCTATATTTACTTCCATGCTTGAATATGAAATTGTTTTCTTGAAGTCACTCTTTTATTTTATAATACATAAGAATGGCAGAAACAAAAGAAATCCGCTTACAAATAAACAATGCCTTTAAAATTAGTGGTTTTACTATACGTCGGGAAGCTAGTGGATTCCTTGCTGAGCAGCTAAGTGATTTATCAAACAATGACCGATTGAAAATGATAGATAAAATAACTGCTCATTTGCTGCGACAATGCGTTTCCCAACCTGTGTTGGAAAGGGAACATTTAGTAATTGCTTATAAAGAGTGTTGTTCCTTGGGCCTAGAAGAGACTGAAACGGCCCTTAACGTTATTGATGCATTTAATGTGCCAAAAATATCGTATGATAATGAGAGGAATAAGTTTTCTAAAGATAATTCCAGTGATCATTTGTATGCAGATCCAAAGTGGAAAGCTCAATTCTTAATAGATAGATACACATTGATTTGGCAAAGAACAGTGAGAAATAAATTGTTTGCTAAGGACACGCTACCGTCAATGGAAAGCGAAAATCGTTTTCAACTGCGAAAAGTTGAGGTTCTGTTGAGTACATCTAGTAAAGTCAGTGATGTTATTGTACTTGGACTGTTAACACAGCTCACTGAAGGTAAATATTACCTGGAAGATCCGACTGGAAGTGTCCTCTTAGATATGACTCAGACAAGGTATCACTCAGGGTTATTTACAGAAAACAGTTTTGTTTTGGCTGAAGGTTATTATGAAGACAAAACTCTTCATGTAATGGGCCTAGTCTTGCCACCTTCTGAAAGTAGAGCTATGTCCCTTCCGTACTTTGGCAACTTGAATACATTTGGGGGAAAATCAAAATCATTATTAAAGAACTCCCAAAACTTACTAAAGATTGAGCAGGATAATGAGGATGGTATGATAATTTTCTTATCAGATGTCTGGTTTGATAACTTGAAAGTAATTTCCAAGCTAAAGACATTGTTTGCTGGTTATGAGGAATTTCCACCGATAGCTATAGTGTTTATGGGGGAATTTCTCTCCTGCCCTTATGGTTATGAGCATAGTACTCAGCTGAATGCTGCTCTCATTACTTTAGCGGACATGATAATGCCATTCACGAAGTTAAGAGAAGCTTGCAAGTTTATATTTGTGCCTGGAAGAAGCGATCCAGCTGCAGCAAATATACTGCCAAGGCCAGCTATACCAAACACTATTACTAAAGAAATAAGAGACAAATTGGGAGATTCAGTAATATTCACCACTAATCCATGTAGAATACAGTACTGTACGCAAGAAATTGTTGTATTAAGACAGGATTTGGTTACAAAGATGTGCCGTAACGCTATACATTTTCCAGATAGTGGAGATATTCCTGATCACTTAACTAAGACATTGTTGAGCCAGTGCACACTCTCACCTTTATCATTGGGTGTCCAACCGGTGTTCTGGAAACATGCAGATGCCTTGAGTTTATACCCTATGCCTGATTTAATTGTGGTCGCAGATAGTTTTCCCCCCTATACAAGGTCTTATCTGCAATGTCAAGTTGTGAATCCAGGGTCATTTCCAAGAACTGAGTATTCTTTTAAAGTATATGTGCCTGCGTCAAGAAGTATAGAAGATTCACAGATACCTAATGAGGATACTTGAATTACAAATGCAATATGTTAGAAGTATTAATTAAGGATGTAGATTGTAAATATATTGTATTGTTTGCAATGACTAATGTGAATTTAATTATTATTGAATCATTATAATAAAATTACAATATAAATTTATTTTTTGTTTAAAGTTATAATCCTATATTATGAGTATGTACTTCTTAGCTGATAAATAATGACGATTTAATGTAATGTAAATTGTAAAATTATTACTAAAAAAACACAATTATGCTTAGTCAATTTTATTTACAATCTTAATTAATATTTAACTATATATATTTAATACTTAATAGCAATAAATATAATTACACAAACTGGTTTACAACAATTCTAATTTTAAATATTTAGAAATGTATAGTCTAAGTAACTAAAAACATTTTTCACATCACAGTGGCTGTGGATGGTGTACATTGTTTGATACGAAAATTAGTTATTTAATAATTTATGATGATTTTTTAAGGCACCAACTTGGTCAATTCTTAAAAACGAATCTTATATAGGTATTTAAGATCATAACTATTGAACAAACTACAAAGGTATATACAGTAGATGTAGGATAGAAAAAACTAGAGTTGCGCCGAGTAACGAGTACCAAGTTTTACTCGGTTCAATCGAATTCTCACTTCGCCCGCGTAAACAAGTACAAACAGGTTCACACCGGTCATAACGTCGGTTCACTTTCATCTTCCGTAGTTTTGTCTCTTTACTACTCATTCATTAGCATAGTATTGATTTTACTGTGTAATTGAAATTTTCAAATATTACCTTAATTACTTATACATAATTTTGGATTAACACTGTTGTTTTAATTATATCTACCTCAATATATTGTTTTTCTTAAACAATGTATACTCGTTATCAAACAACAAACTATAACCGAGCTATTCGGCTGAGTACGAGTATCGAAAATCCTGCCGAGTACCGAGTATCAACCGAGTACTCGTCCCATCTCTAGAAAAACGTTTTATTTTTTTAAGTTGGAGAAAAAAACCTACCATGCATTGCGACAGCAGACAACAACATTTATTTCTTTAAATATCTTTTGTTCAAAAATTTCTCATTATTTCTTCTTAATCATAATATGAAGACGATTAAAATTACATCAGGCAGTTAGCTTAGGTTAGGCAGTTGTACATGATTGTAATTAGTGCTATATGTAAAGAGAATCTTATCACATCAAAGGATTATAATAACCAAACAAACAATTTCAGTTTCTTACAAAGCCTCTATTAATTTGGTTAAAGAAATCGTTTTTTTTTTCAGAAATATTTACAAAATATTGTGCAAGAGAAATTTGACCTTATTTCCAAGTTATTAAGCACCCATGACAGAATTGTATGCTTCGCCTATAGGTGCTAAGGCAACTAGACATATTAAAACGATAACGAATATAATAATTATCGGCGCGTAAACTCCGAGGAGATGTTTTCTGAAGCCCGCAAACTGAAAAAAAAAATTATTTAAGTATAAGAAATGCATACAAAGTTTACTGAAAAAAATGTTAGGTGCAAAAATTGGTGAAAAAGTGGTAGGTTGAAAATAATTTTAATTATTATAGAAGTAGTAATAAGAAGAAATTAAAGAGATTTTTAAACCATGCATAACTTAAGAAAGAAACGTTGAAAACGAAAAATATGTCATTATATATGTTTTCTCTCTTTCGCACTATTTGTTTTGTATTAGTGTGAACAGGACAGACTTAGGAGATTTGACGGGCTTAGAACAAGGTGGTTACAAAATATGAAGAGAAGACTAAAATAAGTTTGTTAACATGCAGGGATAATAAGTATTGGTTGTTTTAACTAATTACGATATAAACCTGCACCATAAAGAAAATGATAGAATTAAAACATGGTTGATTAAGGCATGCTCAAAGTGCGGCGTCTCACCGGCGCGTCTGAGCTTCGGTCAACAGCGCTGACCTGTCTCGACTGCCCTAACATGTCTTTCATTGGGAACGAGTTAACTCTACCGTTGCTGATACGGCCTTCCGATACGCACACGGTTAACTGAAAAAGTGTTTGCCAAATTTTGAAAAAAATGGTTCCGGGACGTTTTTGTTTTAATACTGCCTAAAGGAGGTAATTTGCAATGGGCTATTTGACAATGCAAAAAAATATAAGTCATATAAGTCTGTTATCAGTACTAAGTATGCGTTTAGAAATAGTAAAACAGTCATATATGCTAAGAATAATAATTGATTTAATAAAAAAAACTTTTGTCACGTGACAAAACGCTCCTGATTGGTCGGGTTTATGGCGACGTCACTTGCTTATAAGCAGTGCTACAACCCATCGGGTTTAAACTGTTCTATTCCCTCATTAATAAATGAATAATTTTGTAACTCATTTTATTACTTCAATCATTAAATACTGTCTATAGTTTACGCGAGTGGTACACATTTAAATAAAACACTTTAACGGTTTAAAACGCGATATATTAGTTAAACTTATTTGAAAATGATTTTTAACTTCGCATTTTTGCAGCAGCCGTGGTCACGGGGAGACTGACGGTCTCCCCGTGACCACGGCTGCTGCAAAGCATCCGAAACGTCGGGCCGAAGTTAAAAATCATTTTCAAATAAGTTTAACTAATATATCGCGTTTTAAACCGTTAAAGTGTTTTATTTAAACTTCAATCATTGTTAAACTGCAAATGGTTGGTACAATTGCATGTAGGTTGTAGTTCTCGATCGACATACACAATGGCCATTGATATAAGGCTATGACGTCACTAGCTGTATAGCCGCTTTATTTCGCAAAATTAGGGTTAGTGAAATCCCGTTTCCCCTCGTGGGGCATGGGGCGAACACATTTCTGTGTCCGTTTCACTGATCGGTTTTATTTACAAGCAAGTAGTTGATCAGACTTCTGTGCCCTGCTCGACCGAAACAAATTACTGTTTCCCCGGGATTCGAACCCAGGACCTCTCGCGCTTAATGCGATGCTAGGCAACACGTTTAACCATTTAGCTACAGAAGCGGCAAAATTAGGGTATAGTGGGAAATTTAAATGTTATATTTTTAATTTAATATATTTCAGTAAATATGTATTGGAATTAAATACTGTCTATAGTTTACGCGAGTAGTACACATTTCAATAAAACACTAACGGTTTAAAACGCGATTTATTAGTTAAACTTATTTGAAAATGATTTTTAACTTCGGCCCGACGTTTCGGATGCTTTGCAGCAGCCTTTTAGCAGCAGATTAATATATCGCGTTTTAAACCGTTAAAGTGTTTTATTTAAATGTATTGGAATTGAAAAATACTACTTTACTTGGGTTGCTTAACATCGACCAAATAATATAAAGTACATTCAAAAAAGCTTTCAAATAGCCCATTACAATTGAAGCCTTTCTTCAGCTTTAACTGATGCATACAGACTATACAGCTTGACTTACATGCGTGCATGTATAGCGTGAAAAACTAAAAAAAGTTGAGAGAAACTGGTTTTTTCCGGTTTGTCACTTTATTTTAATGTTCATATTACTATCTTTTCAACAGTTATGACGTCACAGTATACCTCTATGACATTTAAATAGAACAATTTTTTCCTCTCTCTAGGCAGTTAAGCTACGCGATTGTTTTACAGCAACTTAAGTTATTTATATGAGAATAAGCATTGAATAAAAAATAAATATTCTTACCGATAGTACAATGTGCATAACGACATGGAATACTACAAAGGCGGCTAACACATAGACGGTCCACGGCGGTAATTCTGCCTTCTGGAGGTATACGGCGAAGAAAATTGTGGCAACTGGAATAAATTATGATAAATTAAGCTTCAAAAATGTGAGTTATGTCTTTCAGTGTGAATGCCCAACTAAACGATCGGACGTAGAAATTTATAAAATAAAATGTACAACAAATAAACATTGTCAAGCGCCGTTTAAATCTTTAAACCCGTATTGTTTAGAATTAAAAACGACAGGCCCTGTGTTCGATTCCTGGGAAAACGTCATATTGAAAAGGCCTCGGAGGTCTAATCGGAATAAATAAGTTACAGTATACCACGTACACGTATTTTTATATTTTATTCAGTCACTATAATTATGGTACAATAATTAATTATAGTCCTGGCAACACTGAATACCTATTTTAATTCGAAAAAGCACTTAAAAGGAACATACACAAATGGAGCTATTAAAATTTATAATTAAGACAGGGATGAGATCTTTTTGGGTCTATCTATATATCAGATAACATACGTTGGAATGACATATATGATATAGTAAAAAAACAACGAAGATAAATATATACTTACTTCCTAGAATATGCGCGGCGTTTCCAAAGAACCAATGTGCCCAGTTGAATATAGGACGCTTTCTTGTACCCGGGTGTGGTCGGAAATATGCACCTAGAAAATAAATAAAAATTATTATATAAATTACGACGCGATCAGGGACTTGAACTTGTATGAGGTCTCTACATAGCAAAGTCTTATATTATGGTTACGACAGCTTTTTTAATATACGTAATCTTATTTAATCGCAAAAAATTAAAATAGTAAATTTATATTTTACTCGTTTGCGCAATAAAGCGTTTTACTTTTACGCAAAAATGCTATTAAAGTAAGTCCTCACCAATCGGTTGTATGAAACAGAGGATGACAGTCACAAGTCCAGTGATGGCGTGGGGATTGTCACCGGTGGTAGCGAAACCACCAACTTCCACCAGGATTATGATGAAACCCACAACAGTCAGCACCCAAGTTCCCACCATCAATATTCTATGGTACTGCAATATATACAATTTATGTTATTACATAGCTAATCTAAGAAAATAGGATTTAAATTATGCCCGGAAAACGAATCCGGGATTTCATAATTTTGTCTTTCTGTACACAAATGGACAAGACGAAGGCCAGGTTCATTCGCATGAAGAAGTTTATTTTATTTCTTATCAAAATCAAGAGCTAAAACAAAAGAATAACAAACAGAAAGGACTTACAGCAAACCAAATGTCTTTGCCGCCTAATGTTTTTCCAACCCATGTCTTCCGGAAATATCTAAAATCAATATATAGTTGATATATTCAAGGACTTATAGTACACATTTAAAAAATACCTTTTAACCGTTTAAAACACGAAATATATTAGTTAACTTGTTTATCATTTATATTATCTGCTGCCCGACCTTTAGGATGCTTTGGAGCAGCCGTAGTCATATGACAATATATTTCGTGTTTTAAACCGTTAAAGTTTTTTATTGAAAAGTATTGCTTAAGTTAAGGAAATAGGTTTTGTTTTTTGTTATGTAGGTATATAAGGAAGTAATGGATAGAAAATTAAATTTAATCTTATCAGAATATATCCTTCAATCTTACCTGGCTAACACTATTCCTAACGAGGCAGTTCCAAGCCAAGCTATTAACATGAAACACCCATGAAGCTTAAGTAACAGCTTCGATGCACCAGCTGCTGTTCCTACGCTGGCTAAAGCCAATGGCTCAGACGTCGACTCAAAGGCTAGTGTGTGGAACCCTACTCTTTCAGCATCTGAAAAAAATATTAATAAAATAATCAGTATGGAATATCAGGTAACGAATTTAATGGGGTATATTTAACAGTTATACATTAGGCATTCAAATTTACAAATTAATAAAGAAGTGCGTAGAAGTAAATGCATATGTTTTTTTTTAAAACTCAATAGAGAAGGGTACCTTTCATTGTATCACCGGAGACCACCATCAAATAGTACTTATTCTTCGCCATGTCAAAGATCTGTCCTTTGACAGTGGATACAGCATCCCTCTTAAATTTACAATACAGCTTTCCATCTATAGTAGATGATTCCAGCAACTGGACGATCTCTTGTGGAGAATCAGATCTCTTAACATAAGGTTCAGACTTTGGATAAGTCCAAGATGTAAATAGGGTAACCCTGCCGTTGTCATTCCGAACACATTCCATAGCGCTGTCATCGCCCATTTTATTATCTGTGCTCAACGCTGCAGCGACGTATTTCGGGTTATCTGTGCCTTGAATTTCGAATGTGTAAGTGTCGCCAACTACAAAAATGGCGACTACAGCCTTGCAGTTGCCAGATGCAATGCAGTTTTGGGGTACGCCGAAACACAGTTTTGTGTCTGCGCAACCTTGGTAAATGACGTCTAGAGGTGGCGGGGTTGTTTTAGGCTGAAAATTAAGTTACATTAATTAGTGATGTAGCAAGCCATACAAAATAATACAATAGCATAACGGTACAAGTAATAAAAATGCGTGTACACAGAATACAACAATGAAAAAAGTGTAAATACTGTCTCTACACACTTGAGTAAACGGTTTATAACGCGAAATATATTAGTTTATCTTATTTAAACATTATTTTAACAGCGGCCCCACGTTTCGCATGTTTTGAAGCAGTCGTGCTCAGGGGGGGACTAAAGTTGGAGGGTGTCTCTAATATCAAAGTAAACTGCTACGCTATCGCCATCCGTTCCGTTGCAGTCGGCACACGATTTAGTGTAAACAAAATCTTTAAGACCTGTGATCTCATAGCTTAGCATATAACTAAATACATTTTATATTACGTGGATTCAGATGGTACCTGAAGTATGTAAATCGTGCTATCCAAAGCCAAAATAGGCCGACAGCGTGTCTTGCTGTGAGATGTTATACGGCATATACCTATATGTATTTCACTTACCATCAAGTAAACTCCTTGCTTTTTGTACCCTAGAAAATAAAATAGGTACATTTAAAAAAAAGGCTTACTTTCGACTCCATAATAACAGGAGGTTCTTGTTTAGTTGTCTGTGTAGTGGTGACGATAGATGGCGTTGTTATGACCGTATCTGGCGATACGACCTCGACCAGCGATGATTCGACGTTTCGCCAAAACGTTGCATAGCTTTGGGCAACCGTTGCTCTGGAATAACAGGATTCATAACATGAAGAGGGCGAAACAGATAGGTTCACTATATTACTCGATAAATATTTAAATTCGAGTCGAAGAGGATATATGTATATTTAGAAATTTATTAACAAACATGCTATGCTATGCTATGCTAGGTATTTTCTTTATTATAACGCGGTAAGGCTCAGGAACTACTGTTTCGAATTGATTAATTATTTTTCTGTTAGTGTGAACATTTATCGTGGAAGGCTTAGAGCTATAGAACATCGCGATACCAATAAGATCGAAGATACAGTGGAAAATGTGGAGAACGGGGAAAATTATTCATCGTTACGGGATTCCGTTGCGTACGCTGCGAAAATTATTGAAGAAACCAAAAAACTATGTATCAGTATACGTCTAAGCCAGACGATTAACTTAAGATTAACTTGTTAGACTGATGGGACGCGGACGACGTCGAGAGTAACGGCTATAATTTATTAAGGTGGTTCTAAAAATAATACCTCCACGCGGATGACGTCGCAGGTAGAACTAAAACTCAACACCTGCTTAATATACAAAAGTGCCGATGTCTATAATATCATAAGACGTTACAGTATTTTGGGGTGTGGTAGATGTCAGCTTTTGACTTATATAAAATCACTAACATAAGGTCGGTTATTACAGCAGGGCCTTAAACACAATTGTCCTTACCTGAACGCGACACCCCCCAAGAAGTCAGCTGGTGCTCGCCAAGTGAAAGTAAGTGGTGGTTTGTCTTCGGGTGTAGAGTGAGTCACAGTGTCGTTCTCACCTCGACAGTTTATGATTTGGGTCGTCTCCGGATATGGTACTGTCGTGAACTTGCCTATAATTTGTTCTGTATTCTGAAAATTAATATTGTGAATTGATAATATATGTAATTCTTAGAAAAATAGATCAAGATATTTTTCATCTTTATTAATTTCCGTAAATCTAAATTAAAAATCGATTTTAGATTGAGATTAAATGTACAACTTAAACCGGCATCAGCAGCGTTCCGTACTGTAGCTCTAACCAATTGAGCTACTGTATCCTACACGTATGTCATCGTCAAATGTTTTCAACGCTTCGCGCCTTGTAATTTCAACCTTAACAGATTAGTTTACATTTAATTTATACGCAAGTTATTAAATCCTTTTGCACGGGCCTAACGCTATTTTTTTTGCACGGGCCTGCACAATTCGTTTTGTAATTTTCCTAAATTTATGGTATATTTTTGTGCATAAATTAATCTATAGTTACCTGTATAGCCCTAGCTTGTAATATGAACCCTCCAATAGGTACAGGAGCTCCGAATGGACTGCCAATAGTTACGTTAATACTGTCTCCCTGCCTCACTTGAGCTGATGACGTAGAAATGGCGTAAGGAGGCACCGAGGACTGAGGCAAAATGCTGGAGTGGCGAGGCATTTGATCGAGGCATGCCTGAAAATATTAAATATATTAATTATCTTTTTACCTTTAGGGTCAGGGATTTGACTTCCGGTTGTGCATTAAATACGGAACAAATATTGAATTAAAAAAGACTTACACCTGGCGGCGCCCCGGAGCCGTGTTGTGTTGAAATTTTGACTAGACATAATACTCCAAGAAGAATCCACGCGTCTCTTTTCCTCGGCAACATGGTTTATTCTGGAATTAAACAAAATAAATATCAAGAGTCAAAAATGGCTTCCGTTCACAATAACAATAGATTATTTTTGTAAGCACCGACGAATAGCAAGTTTACTATACTTAAAAAATGCCTTATTTAGTTTTGAGGCATAATTCTAGTTACGTAGTAAATTAACGTTATTGTCAAAATTAAGGTTCTTTAAGGAGACCGAATGCAAATTTTTTTATTTATTAAAAACTCTTGTAGTATAACCTAATATCAGATAATATCTCAATATAACAATTGTTAACAGTATTTTAACCTTTACGGCTTATAGTTTCACGGAACTCAAAACTTCACAAGCCGGTAATTCCTTCGCGTAAAGGCCAACCGGAAGCAGTTGGCAGTTTGTCATAATACAGGTATCATGACGATACCAATGAAACATTGCCTCATAATAAATGTGATATTTTTAGAAAGGTTTAGAATCGGATCTGGATTCGGTGAAAAACCAACCAACCAAGTAAACATTTTATTCTCTTACGTCCATGACAAAGAGGAAGGCGGATGTCAAATGTGCTGTGGCTTTATTTTTTAGTACATTCAAAAAATCAATATTTCTCCTTTTTAACCATCAACCGTCACACGACCTAGCTATACATGGGTAGCTTTGAGTGTTTACCAATATTATTGATAAATAAAATATGACCAACCCCAAAAACCAGCGACAGGTAAATGAGAGGACACCATTAGTCAATTCTGCGAGGACCAGTTCGCCAAATACTAACTACGACGGAATCGCAAAGCATTTGAAATGTGGGGCCGTATTTAACGTAAATAAGTTTAACTACTGCATAGCTTTTTACTTTCAAAGTTTAAGTATTTTACTTAAATCTGCACTATTTGCGTAAACTAGAGACAGTACTGAAATGAGAACAGACGAAAAGAAAAAATAGTGCAACATGTAGAAAAAGCGGGGAATATTATTACTATATATAAAAGTGATTTAGTTACGCGCGTTGCAAAATAGATTCAAGATACCAAACATATGAACTGTTTTCATGGTAATAAAATTTTGTTGACATACTTCTGCCAGTAGTTCGTTATATTAGCTGTATTACACCTATATTCACGAAGCAATTAATTCTTCACAAACTGTCTGCATGAATGTTATAGATTATCTATTAAGCAATAGCGATTACTGAGTACTTTATGTTAATTATGTGGGTCCGAAGTACTTCAATGCCAAGGTTTGCGGAAAACGAGACGCAGAAATATTGTAATTGTACGATATAGTTTTTGTCTATTCGCTTTAGCTTTAAATTAAATATTAAAAATCTATTTAAACTGACGCTTTGACGTAATGGGACTTGAACCGTCCTTTTTTTGCTCTCTCGTCGTTCAATTTTTTTTAATACAAATAGATTTTTAATTTATTAACTTGTGTGTTAAAATATTAATATTCTTAACTATTTACTTTAAGTGTTTTAGGAACATCTTAATTTGTTTTGAAGAGTTAAAAAAAAAAAAAAAAAAAAAAAAAGGCCTAATAAATAATAACAAAAGACACTCATCAATCTAATCTTATGTTTCGTAAAAAAGACAAAATGTAGTTTAAACTAATACATATACATTTTTACATTATATTATACACGTACTTTAATTTCCACGTTTGGAATTTAGGTCTAGTTACACATCGATCTAGCAAATAATAACGAGGCCACATTCTTGATTCTAGTCGGCCTTTCCCCAAGCAAGGCAAAACAATGTCACCGGCAAGGTATCTTATACAGTTGTGTTTAAGAATCGAACAGTAGGGCAACTGAACACGGTCGAGATTTTGACCGGCTATTTGGTGCAATTGTAGTACTATGTAATCAACGAGTCATTGATTGGATTTGCATTTGGTCCATTTATATTTTAAAATATCAATTACTTTCAAATTACTGCGATCAGGAATACCTTACCATTCGTATGGCGCCTTCCTTCCCATCCTTTAAAAGACTCCTCTACAAGCATTTTATGTCACTTAATTACCCATCTGAATACATTTCACTATCTATTAAGTTACCCAGGCCTTCTTTTAGGTTAGTTTCCGTAGATAAGTTTTGAAATTGTGTGTAAGTTGTATTTTGATATTTTTAGATTATATTTAACATTGTAAAGTTTGTTTCGCCCACCTTGCACATCTCGTTTTCCCGTAAACGTTGTCCTCTTTCATCTTGGATTGCCTGAAAGAGATCGCTCATTAGCGATAAGGCCGCCCATTGCACTCCATATAAGTAGTATATAAGTCTCGTTTATATTGTTGTTCATCCTTTCTTTGTGCAATAAAGTGTAAATAAATAAATATTGTAAATATTTTTCTATAAATCTCTTAGTTAAGTAAATCAGGCCATTAATTGGTGGTTGGAATGTGGAAATTCCGTTCGGTTCGTGGACCACCACCACCGAGAGATTAAAAAGTCGTGTAATTTAATCACGTTTCGGATTTCCGAATATCCAAAGCAGAAATAGGTCGATAGCGCATCTTGTTGAGATGTTAATTGGCTGGGGTATTGTCATATTTCATCAAGTAATGTTGTTTATCTAATATGTTAAAAAACCTCAAAAGTATGCCAAAGTTCTCAATTGGGGTAATTTCCTTTAAGAGTAATTAATGAAAGAAAGCCCAAACTAGGCCACCTTACCCCTAATCGTAACAAATATAAATAGTTAACACATTGGCGTTAGGAAAATGGGAATGTAGGTCGCCTTTTCGCTTTCATGGGGTATTAAAATATTCATTATAGTTTCTTAAACGAGGTTAGGGGTGGAAAGACTTGAAGTTCGTGAATAAAATATGGTAAGAAATAGGTTTGATTAAGATTGCGATATCGTACTGCTTAAATTAATTTTATTAGTATAAAATATTAGCTAAAATATTATTATTTATGAACAATTTCAAAAAAAAAAAAATAAAGAAGAAAGTTTCATATTTCTAGCTTTAAAAACCACGGATTTTTATTAAAAAATTGAATTAAAATTAAAAAATTAAACATAAAAGTACCCTATGTTCTTTCTCAGGCTCTAAAATATCTGTGTACCAAATTTTACTTAAATTTGGTAAATATTCTTACTTATAATAAAATATTTGAAAAACTTATACCATTGTACACCGGATGAGAATAGTTGAAACATACTCGTACTAAAGAGAAAAAATAGTAAATTACAACAAATATTAAGTCAACTTTCAAAAGCTTGACAACAAGTCAATTTTTCCAAAAGCTTACAGGAACATTTGCTTCGCTTGTTCTTAAAGCGACTTTGCACTATCAACTTATGTACAAATTATATACGTTCATCTTAACGATGAATGGTTTTTAACCATTATAACTTATTAAACATAATATTATATATTGTATATAGTTTACGCGAGTAGTACACATTTAAATAAAACAATTTAACGGTTTAAAACGCGATATATTAGTTAAACTTATTGAAAATGATTTTTAACTTTGGCCCGACGTTTAGGATGCTTTGCAGCAGCCGTGGTGACGGGGGGTCTCCCCGTGACCACGTTTAACTAATATATCGCGTTTTAAACCGTTAAAAAAAAAAAAAAGAGGGGGGGGGGGGGGGGGGCAAAGGGGGGGGGGGGGGGGGGGGGGGGGGGAAAAAAACACCCCCCCCCCCCAGAAGGGCCGGGGGGGGGGGGGGGGAGAAAAAAGGGGGGGGGGGGGGGGGGGGGGGGGGGGGGGGGAAAAAAAAAAAAAAGGGGGGAAAAAAAAAAAAAAAAAAAAAAAAAAGGGGGGGGGGGGGGGGGGGGGGGGGGGGGGGGGGGGGGACCCAAATTTAAGGAGGGGGGGGGGGGGGGGGGGGGGGGGGGGGGGGGGGGGGGGGGGGGGGGGACCCCCCCCCCCGCGGGGGGGGCCCCGGAGGGAAAAAAAAAAAAAAAAAAAAAAATGGGGTTTTAAACCGTTAACGTTTTTTATTTAAACATAATATTTTTTGGCGGTTTTAAAGCGCCAAATATCTAACTTATACTTGAATTATATTTGAATATGATTTGACGTTTAGGATGCTTTGCAGCTATCGGTTCCGCAATTAGTAATTTTGTCTTATCATCCGTTAAAATAGTTTTATTTGAAGTAAGAAATTAGTTTACCTTTTAATAATAAATGAGGAAACACACCAACCGCACGTTATCGCTGTTAGATCATAACAAGATAATACGACAACGGTTACAACAAAGTAAATGGACTCTTGGGTAAATATGAGGTAATTTGAAAGGATTAGATCACCGATAGTAGTCATACGATTATTTTAGCTTTTTACTATTACTAAAATAAACGCTCTAATAAAAAATACGCGATTTTTGATCTAGCTTTGTCTTGTTAATAAACTGAGTATTGAGTTCGATTGCCAACGGATTCAAATTGTTACGATGAATGAATGATGAAATTGATATGTTGTGAGTTGCGGAAATGTAGAATTTAAATTCAACGATTTAAAACGCGTAATATATTTGTTAATTTAATTTAACGGTCCCACGTTTATAAGGAGGAATTACAGATTGTCTGATCGACCATAGGAAAAAGTTTACGGATTTCCGTATTAATTCAAAATATTCCCAACTAAAATAGGCTAACAGCTCATTTATAAGTATTACAAGGAAGGAACCTCTAACGTACGGAAGGTGGAAGGCGAGTCAACCCCAAGCTTGACTTTCCTCCTCTGTCTTCAAGCGTGTAAAAGGTGCTTTAGTTTCAATTTAGATTTTATTTTTAACAATGTATTTTGCCAGGCAGACCAGGCCGCGGGCGCAAGCTAGTATTGAATATGATTGACAATTACGAGGCAGTAATAAGTAGGTGTAAAATTAATTGCGTGACTTGCGTGAGGAAGTGTTAATGATTAGTCATGATTTTTTTCTGCGCTAACAGGTCAGTTTCGTCGGAAGTTATTGCTTATTTTAATTTAAATCAATCTGCGATAACATTCGACGGGCAAGGTCTATACATATCCAAATATAGATTCCAATGGTTTTA